TCCAAACACTTTATGAAAAGAGGAATGCAACTATTCTTTTTGCATGAGTCCTACATCCTAGTATTGGCATGCTCTCAGAATCTTCTGAATACAGATACCTCAACTGCAGCAGTGAAACTGGATGTACATGCACATACAGTTATCAGTCTACTGTTGGAACCAATCAAGGAATCCAATAACTATTGTATGACTGAAAATAAGCTGAAGTAATTCTACTTCAGATAATTTCTTTACATTGTACACATCTGAATTATAATAATTTAAGTTACCTGCAAACAGAATGAGGCACCTCATCTATTCTGGCAGCAGTTGGGACAAAAACTTCTGCACTGACAGCATATGTTCATGCCTTCAAACCAGTGATGTACAATCCCAGCCATCAGTAATATTTTCTGTAGCATGTCTAAATCAAGTGAATCATAACTCTATCTTCCTGAAAACTGTACAGTATATTTTTTCAGCCCATGTCTGCATCTGGGTTTTGTACCATCTGTAATGTCATTACAATTATTTTTGAAAACTATTTTAATCAAACAGAATACTGTCAGATTTGAGATTCTCACAGCAGTGACAATGAAGAATAGTATCTTCTGGGATGCAATGCCATGTAGTCTGGCAGAAGTCCAAGAATGTTTTGGAGAAATATCAGGGGACTTCTACCAGACATGACATTATATCCCAAAAGAGAGTACCACTGAAAACACAGAGGTGTAAATAAAATCAACAACGTCATCAGTTCTGTTCAACACTTCAGTGACTATGGTTTCTAGGGAGCAGAACACATATGAAAATATGGCCAAAAACTAAAATTTCAGTAGACAATATAATTAAGGGGGACTAAAAGCGAGCAGACCTTAACTCTGACTACCACTTACTAAACAAAATACACCCTGGTAAATAGAATGAAATTCTTTAAAAAAGAACAAAAACTCTTTGATTTTTAGTTCGCAAGTGAATTATACCGACTGAGTGACCGCCGCTTGTCGGTGAAGTTATTGCCAACTTTTGCGGATAGAGGGTGTCGCGTGGTCAGCACGACAAATCCCCATGGCCGTTAATTTCGGTTTTATAGACTGGAGTCGCTATTTACTTGAAATAGCTCCTCAATTATCATCACGAGGCTGAGTGGACCCTGTTCCAGACCCACTACTTCTCAGAAAAAATCTGGTAGTGCTGGGAATTGAACCCCGGCCTCTGGATAAATAGCCAGGAACTCTGACCACTAGACCACAGAGGCGGGAATGCCAATTAAATTTGTTACTGATTTTAGGGTTTCATTGTGGTTATTTATTGGTGTTATACTGTACGGATGTGGGTGATCCTGGTGACACTGTAGAGGTACATGCTACCTCCATCATCAGAATACAAGTTTGTAATTAGGGTGAATTTCTCTGTATATACTGTTTAAAAGAAAAACCAACAGGGCTGGAAGGGGGAGTGAATATTGGTGCCTCAACCTCCCAGACATCACCCACATCCACATGGTGTACCAACCCAAAAATGGATTTATCATTAAATAAGTTTCTATATGAATACTGATTCAAAACATCACATTCACAATGGTAAGAGGCTTAGTGTCTTAAATCTGCTGAATAATAAGTTCATCCCTTTGTATATTTGAAAGATGTAGAATTCTGGGGGGGGGGAGAAGAACCTTTATAGTTTCCATACATGTGGCACAAACTTATCTCTGACCAACAGCTGTAACTCAAAATACTATTCCTACTGGTATTAATTTAATTTAACCCAAGTATTTTCAGAAGGTTTGCAACCTTTTAAACACAGATCTTAAAAAAAGAAGGAAACAGTACTCTTCACAGCCACTATTGTGAGAACCTCAAATCTTACGTTCTGCTTAGGAATCCCTTCTCAACAGCAATGGAAGATGAACACAGGGAACACAGCTCCATAACTCTCAAGCCCCCTTTTTACCACAACAAGAAGCTCAGGAGTTCTGAAGGGATTATTCCCTTTGTGTTAATACAGGGTTCACATTCAACATGCACTTGATGACAACGGTCTCATGTGCTAAGTATGGCACTATTTCTGAATGAAAACTAATTAATCCTTTCATGTGTACTGCAATATACAACTACATGAATGTCCTGAAACTAGTATACACTTATTACTTGGTTGTATGACATCCATCAATTGCAGCTATCTTCAGTTTTCAGAAAAATTAATTTGAATCTGTGTATTATGTTTTGTATAGAAGTAGAAAGGGGCTCATCTATATTTGTTGTAACCATGGTGGTATGAAGGAAATATGAGAGTATCATTATTAAAAATATCTAAATTTTTACCATTTTGGAATTATTTGATGGATTAAGTGTGAGAGATGTTTAGATATGTGCCTTGTAACAAAATTTGATTATGGGTACTGAAGTTTTCAAAACTGAAAAGACTGTCCTGCCTATGGTTTGGTAAGTGGTAAATTAAAAAATTTTCATAAACTCATTAAAGCATTTAGGAAGAAAATTCTTCTTTAAGATGCAGCAATTTTAAAATAAGAGCAGCAAATTAATTACATTAAAGAATAATATGGCTTTTCCCGTGTATGAATGATGGCACTGGAGCTGACAATCTGTTCCATTAAGTGACAACAGTGAAAAATTTCAATATATATTATAAGGGAAAATATTTATGTCTCTTAACATTCATGTGAGAAAAACAACCACCCAACACATACTACACAAGAGCATGTGTAAGCCAAGAAAGGCAGGAGTTTAATACAGCAAGGCCATAATAAACACTAACCTGCGACAATACCCGACATTTTGTCAAATATAATGATTCATAAGGTGCCTGTACAGAAACGACCTCACTACAATAAACAACATTAGAATGAAGCTTTCCTTACAGCATACATATAGCAAATACAGAATTTAATTTTTCCCTTATCACAATTTTAACACAAAAATATTTCAGTGAAATGAACCTGTGATGTTAGCTGTCAGCCTGCATTTGACCCATTTCCCTAAAATGTACTATTATGTACGACGGCTGTGAATAAATACTTTTCATACCAGTACAGTGGAACCTCGTTTAACGAGCGATGTTTCGCATAATGAGTGATGAGAGGAGAAGTCCTGGATTGTGCGCTTGCTACATCAATCTGTGTTTAGCGCTCATTCTGCTAGCATCTTAGTGTCGTTTGTGACCACACATTTTTCCAAACTTGTGTTCAAACATATTATTTGTGTCTTTTTTTTTTGCGAAAAGTTTAATAACCCTTGCAAAAATGTCCCCAAAGAAAAAGCCGCAAAAAGACAGCCATAAGAGAATAAAGATAACCGTAGAAATGAAACGTAAAATCATTGAAAAGTGAGAACGAGGTGTTTGCATGGCTGATTTAGCATGCACATACAATTGGTCTACATCAATGATTTGCACTAGCCTCAAGAACAAGGACAAGATGAAGGAGACAGATGCTTCAAAGGGAGTGACAAGAATATCTACGCATTGGTTACATATTCTTGACGATGTTGATAGGTTGCTCCTCATATGGATAAACGAAAAGCAATTGCAAGGCGACACTATTAACGAGAACATCATTTGTGAGAAGGCGAAAGTGATTTTTGCCTCACTTCTGCTTGGAAGAAGCTTTGGTCGGAGAGCATTGTCAAATGTGACTTTGAGGGGGTCTGTAGTCAACGAAATTGTGTCTTTGGCCAAGATCATGGGGTTGGAGGTGGATAACAATGATATCGATGAGTTTGTGGAAGAGCACAGCCAAGAGCTGACCACTGAAGAGCTTATGGAGTTGCATTGTGTTTCACAGCAAGAAGTTGTGGAGCAGAGTTTGTCAGAGGAGGAGGAGGGGGAGGTAACAGCAAAGCAACAATCTTCGGGCACAATAAGAGAAATGCTGAAAGCATGGGAAACTGTTGCATCATACATTGAGAAGCATCACCCTAATAAGGCAGTGGCTATGTGCTCTACAAATTTATTTAATGATATGCTGTGTCGCATTTTCACCAAATTTTGAAGTGTTGGCAAAAACAAATGTCTCTAGACAGCTTTCTAGTAAAAAAGAATTAGATATGTATCATAAATAATAAACTAATTATTTCGATTTTTTTTTGTTCTCTGCAAATCGAATTCGCATTCCAGGTTGGTTCATTCCACATAGAAGACAAGCTGAAGACGATTCACTCTCCTTAACAATGTATATATAATTTTCTTTGAATAAACGTTATACATAAAATTTTCTGAGTATTTTTTTTTGGCATGGAACGCATTATCGTATTTTACATTAATTTATATGGGAAAAACTGTTTTGCTTAACGAGTGTTTCACATTAAGAGTAAGATTCTGGAACGTATTATGCTCAGTAAGTGAGGTTCCACTGCATCTGAAAATTTGCTCATCTCAGAACTGCTGTTATATGGGTGTTGGGTCAACTCTCATCCAGCCTATACACTGTGCAGTTTAGTTCACACAATCACATCAATGCAGTCTAAAAACATTATCCTCAACATGATCTTCTCCACAGCATGAATCAGAAGGACATTAAGACCAAGGATGAGTTTGGAAAAGATGGAATGAATACGGGAATTCAGAACAGGCTTGACTGCCTATGCCATGTACTGAACAAGATGTGATCCTTTCAGCTATTGTTTATTTATATTACTTATGATTGATCAGTTAAGAATTATTATAGTTTGCTAGTTATTTTATCAATAATATAACTGATTTTTGTATGTCAGCAGTTTCAGGTGTCTCACATTTTACACTACCATACAATATGTTCTGATCCAAGGCAGATAACAGAGCATTATATGGTCAGAGACATGGAATTATTTACAATTTACAGAAATGCATGTCAAAGGAAGTGTCTTGTTCTTGATCTAAGAAAGTGCCATTAAGAGTGATGCTCTTCATATTTTGGCTGCTAACTCTCTAGTTGAAGATATGGCCACGTATAAATGGGAGAATTCAAACAAGTCAGAAACATCTGCACGGTTGCACTGTGTATGCACTGCATACTGTAGCATAACTTTTGAATGGTACAGCATCATTAACTTATGAAAAGCATTATGTTAATATTACCTCATTCCTTGAAACCTGCTACTCTCGTTTTAAATTAATAATTAATACAAATTGTTGAACTGCAATTTTAAAAAAATATGTTAAGCTCTATTTTATAACAAAGAGTAAAATTTTCTGAGTGTTCTCTCTGTGTTACCCTTTGTATTAATGGACATCTAAGCTCTACTCAAGAGAATTCGATTTTTCTACAAAAAATAAATAATAACTATTTGAATTCAGTAGTGACTAACATTGTGAAAATGTTCACAGAAGGATAAAATACCTTGATCATTTCTGCCACTGCTTCAACAAATTCATGTTTCATAGTGCTCCTGCCTTTCTCAGTCTCCCCATTGTTTATGAAGCATTCAATAAACCAAAAAGCAATAAAATGCAGTTGGATTTACTTCAGTCACTCAGGGGGAATGGAGCTTTTAAATTTATGGTATACAGGATTTAAATATGTGGCTACGATATATAAGAAAGAAAGAACGTGATTTAAAATAAGCACTCAGAATAAATCAGATGAGCTAAAGCATCTACAGAAACCCTGATGAGAAAGAATACTCAAATATTTCATTTAAAAATGTGAATTCTTTTTTTAAGTCCAAAGATCTGCTGTCACAAATGCAATATTGATGTCTTTCCATCTGTATCTTTACTGGCACTTGGTCTGTTAAGTAAGTCATTCTTTGCTTCTCACTTCCTCACAATCTCTCAGACTTACTAAACAGGGAAATTACTGGTGTAACTCACAAAGGCCATTTTTAAATGTGCACTACCCCAAGGAATAATAAAAGCTAAGAATGGGCACAGCATAGTTTGGGGGCTTTATCCTGGTTCCAACAGCCTATCCTGGTCATCAAAATAAATCTAACTTAAAGTGACAGTAATACACCACTGCACACTGCTTCAGTACATGACTGTATCCCAGTGTCTTCACATATGCTTATAAAATGCTAAAACCTTAAAAACCAGACACTTCCCATTGCACATATAAAGGCTGAATTTCATATAGACTGCCAAACAAAAGCACATGCATGTGTGTGTGTACCCATAGTATATAATCAATACATATGTATAGATCATACATTTAACCTAAAATAAACTACCATAAATGTTCTAAACATGTATGACTTCTTTAACAATTTCTGCAATCTTTCCTCACCAATTTCTTAATATTTATATACAAATCATAAATGGCATCATGACTAGCTAACTGTGTGCTTCGTTCTAGAACACTGTACCACTTTCCTTTCAAGTTATGACACTAGTACACTACCCCCCACCCCACCTTCACACACAGTTCCCTCCCGAGAATATTACCAACGAATGTATGAATGTATACAGGGTGGGCCTTCTTGGCCCTTGCACCGCGACCTACAGTGGTTTATTGTGCTAGAATATTACCAAAGTAATATTGCTTATGATGCTATGTACTTCACAGGGAAAGAAAGATAAAAGTGAAATACTGTGAGCTGTATTGCACAGAATTACTGGCTTAAGCTAAATCTGTATCATGAGCAAGTGTGTTTGTTACACAGCAAGAGCATCTGCTTATTCTTGTACATTACTGACATCTGGTTTCTTTAAAATGGTTGGCTCATCTTTCAGAAAAGTGCCTGACCGAGAGCCAACAGTGAGCTGCCTCTCCTCTGAAGACTCTTTCTTATTTGGAGTGCACATTTCATTATTATTCTGTTTATTCTTGCCATTAGAAATCACTTTGCGAGCAGCATTATTATTAGCCTTACTTACATTTGCAATTCCCTTGCCAGTTGTATTACCTCTTCCTGCATCTCTTCCACAGGCTCTGCTAACTCCTCTTCCTGAGTCAGTGCTGCTTCTCACTGGACTTGCAGTTGGCTGGTTACGTGATTGAAGCCTAGAAGGAGTACGCTTATTTGCTGAAATACTGGTAGATGGACTGAAGAGAGATTTACCAGCCTTTTCTGGTTTAGCAGTGCATGGCACAGTGCTGTTCATGGAGGCAGCATTGCCATTTGTAGGTGATCTAGCTGCAAGCAACAGGCTTCTTCTCAGTGAAGGTGACCCCATGTATGGAGAGGATGTGATACCTGATCGAAGTCGAAAGGTGGGAGAATCACGGGGAGAAACTATTGTCTGTCGCATCACCACTCGTCTTGCAGCAGCAGCTGGTGATCGTGGTTGGATAATTTCATTTTTTGTTTCACCAGTCTTTGCTCCTTTTATCTGGTTTCCTTTACTGCCATCAAAATGAGAGTTAACTGACTGAGATTCTTTTGAAGTAGGTGATTTTGAAATGGTCACTGCTTTTGACACCTCCACCTTCCTTACTGTAGACGTTTCACCAGTAAGAGATTGTTCAGTAGCAGCTAAAAAGTCTGTGGACACTGTCACTTCCACACCAATCTTGCCCAAGCATTTTCTTCCTCTCTCTTTTATGGGTGGAGTATCTGGCCTTGTAGATCCCAAACTGCGACTAGGAGCACTTGTACTAGTCTCAAGCTTTGCTAAGACTTTCTCTCCACTGGCTACAGATTCTGCTAATGAATCTGTTGACATCACAACTTCTTCTCCAAGCTTCTGCCTGACTGAAGGTGTGTCTGGACGTGTGGAGACGCAACTTCGACTATTAATACTATCACCTACTTCCTTTGTTGTGTGTCTGCCACCACCGTTTGACTGCACCTCGCTTAGGGAATCTGTTGAAATAGCAGTGATTTCATTGTCCTTCCTCTTCTTGCTCTTCATTTCCTTCCCTGGAGGAGTTTCAGATCTTCTAACCAAGTTCCTGCTGGAGGCACTTCCCACAGTAGCAGCTCTACCCCTGCCAGATGCTTCACCACTGGATGTTGAGCGTCTCATTGCAGGAGATGATGTACGAGACGAGTCAGAGGATGATATCATGGTCTTTCCTGACCTTCGTGACATAGCTCCAGACTTCTCTGGTGTTCCCATACTTGAAGAACTTGAATTAGCTCTTTGCTTCACAGACTTAGTTTTATTCTGAAATAATAAAAGTAATACCAAATGTGACTTTACAATATGACTGTGTGAAGTTGTTAACTCCTTCTTCAAAGACAGGTGACATGTACTTTTATGCTAAAGGTAAAAGGTAAAGCTATCCCTGTAACACGCCATGGAGGCCTGTAAGGTTGTGAGACACTGAGGCTCCCACATTTTCTAGACAATCGGCTTGCAGATGGGGCTGTGAGTTGTCAGCCTTATGCATTGACCTCACTAAGTTGATGATGAATGTCGGCTGGTTTCATGTTTCTTGCATTCAACAAATGGATTACAGACTGCATTCCACATGCAGTGGGCTACTTAATTTTCTTGAACATTGTAAACACATAGGATGGTGCATAAATGCAGTTCAATTGTCTACAAATGGCGTCCATGTCTTCCAAAAGGATCAACAAACTCTGAATGCATGCACACCATAGTGATTTCAGCGCTATATTTGCAAACGGAACTTATTTTGTGGATATGCCTTGTAAACTGAAAAATCCAATGACCTCATCAGGAATAAAACTGCCAACTTGTAGCATAGTGTTTCAACCAGCTATGCTACTTCATGTCCTGTAAACTTATGCTAAGCAATGCAATCCATTCATGCAACATTGAGGTACAGTAATCAAACTGCATAAACTACATATCACTAAAAATTTTTAATTTGTACATAAACATGCAAAATTTTAAATGCAGCCAGAAGTCAAGCTACAGTGATGAAAATTTGAAAGTTTATGTCATTATTCATCAAATGAAGGTCTATTCCACTTTACATATTCAGTGACATGAATATTATAATAACCCAAAGAAATAATCTGTTATCATTCAGCGACATACAAGGGGGGACCCAAAAATAACCGGAAACGACCTGTTGCGTGCACATGCTTTGTAGTTACGAGTTGTGCTGCTAGGTGGTGTTAGCTGGGGGTCTCCCGCGACTGTTAGTGAGCTGGCGTCAGTCTGAGTTAAGTGGTTTGTCTGTGGTGCTCTGTTGTGTGCGTTCCTGTTTCAACCCTTTGGCGATTAGTGAGATGGCCGACCAGAAGGAACAAAGAGTGTGNCGTGAATGTTTGCCACGACTTGAAGAGTGAAGTGCAGTTTTCCCTAACGGAAAGCAAAATTTCACGCACACTCTTTGTTCCTTCTGGTCGGCCATCTCACTAATCGCCAAAGGGTTGAAACAGGAATGCACACAACAGAGCACCACAGACAAACCACTTAACTCAGATTGACGCCAGCTCACTAACAGTCGCGGGAGACCCCCAGCTAACACCACCTAGCAGCACAACTCGTAATTACAAAGCATGCGCGCGCAACAGGTCGTTTCCGGTTATTTTTGGGTCCCCCTTCGTATACATCCTTTCTTAGGGTGCATCACCATAAAAATATAAGAGCAAGTGCAATCAGCAAATAGACAGCACAACTGGAGAGGCAAGGCATTAAACAGAATGGAAGCACAATGAAACACATGGATGAATTATCCTGCTGTTGACCAGTTACATGTGACTTCCTGTGAGCAAAAAGCTATTAATCACCTATGTGGTCAAGAAATTCCACAGCTTTATGGAATCTGAAGGATCATTATCATATTCAGAACTGCCTACCATTGGACCTCATTCTGAGTCAGATAAATCCAATCCACATTCTCACACCATATTATTTTGAGATTCACTTTCATATTATCCTAAGTCTCTCATGTTTCATGACTGAAATTTTTTATATTTCTCATTTCCACCATACATGTAACATGTCCCATTAATCTTGTCCTTAATTTTATCAAACTGACAATACTGGTAAAGAGCGACATTATGAATCTCCTCATTATATAGTTTTCCTGTGAACTTAAAGAAGGAAACAATGACAGAAAAATATCAAGGGAGAAATTCAGAACTAAGTTCTTCTGAAGCATAAGTCAAGTGAAGAACAAACCTGATTACACTGAAAATAAAATATCTGGCACCAGCAGAGTGCCTGTCTAATAAATGGGTATTCAATGTCTGAATGGGTGATATCATAAGGAAGCAAAATTCACTTACTTCCACAATCCTCAATGGCCAAGTTTTTGGCCTGAAGGTTGTCTCTGTATTCTCTGATCCAACTTTCTTGGCCTGTGATGATACTGTTTCAGCCTTATGTGGTGGTACATGAGTGCCTGACTGTGATTTCTTTGCAGTTTGTGAACGAGACTTGGTGTCGGCTTTTAGTATGGATACTCGTCCACCAGATGCTGCACGCCTTGCTTGCTGTGTCATGGCCAATTTGACCTGACGCAGATCTAGGTTACGAGATCCTGAACTTGAGACAGATCGTGGTACAGCACAGTGAACATTGCTGCTGCCAGTAGACTCACCACGCTGAAAGAAACAAAATATGAACCCTATCTCTCAGCATAATCACTTTAAGAAAGAGCTGTATCCATATATGCATGTGAACTACTCAAGAAATTCTGATTTCTACTTACAGTCATGTGAAGATGCAAAACATTTTTCAAAGTCTTTCAAGTTCCATATCTTTCAGACCAAAACTTTCTACGTATTTCTTATGTCTTCAATACACGATACAGACCCTGCCCATTTCATCTTTACTGATGATGTGTCAGTCAGTGCAGTGCAGAGAAATCTAGAGATGGGTGCAATAAGTGAACAATGGTGCTAGGGTGCAGTAATGAGTGAAATGAGAATTTATCTCAAGAGCACAGATGGTTAGGACAGTGGGGGATCAACTGCTCCATAAAATGATAACTGTAATTTATGCACAGGTCTCCCATGTGGTATCTTCCTACTGAAAAAAAATTCTGTATGAATTTCTTATCTTCTCCAAGTATACTCTATGTCTTACCCATTTCATTCTCTTTTAATGAATCACCCTAACAATACCAGGTTGGAATGCAATTATGAATATCCCCATTATACTTCTTCCTCCACCCTTCATGCCTAGGTACAGTAAATTATAACATAAATACTATGTAAATGTCTCTTCAGTTTCTGGTGAAAATATATGGATTCAGATGTGATAGGATGAACATCTCACTACACTAAATTATGTATTCTACCACTTTCTACACATTCACCTTTGCAAGGTTGGCATGTCGGGATCTGTGGCCTTCTTCTCCTGGAACCAGAACAAGACAGGCAGCTTCCTGAATCTTCTTTCTCAGTTCTAGTTCCATCTGACCCCAAGATGGACAGCGAGCTGCTCTTGCAGCTTGGCGTACCAAACTTGCTTCTACTCGCTTCTGAATTCTGCGTAGTAGCTCAACAAAACTCTAACAACAAGGGATTTTGATACATTTGTTGTGCTCAGAAATGTAGCACCTTTGAAGAGAATGTGTATAGGAACATAAAAGAGGCAGATACATGGTGCAATCCAAAAGTTCCTGAAATATATTAATAAAAACTATTACATCTTACCTAGATCTTATTCTGCACCATCACCTTCAAAGTAGTCCCCTTGGGAGCGCATACATCGATCCCAGCGTTCCTGCCACTTTTCAAATGCATCCTGGAAGTCTTTCTTTGTTAGGGTGTTTAGTGCCGTCTGTGTTTCCACTTGAATTTCCTCAACTGTATCAAATCTTCGCCCCTTCAACTTGATTTTCATCTTGGGGAAGAGAAAGAAGTCGCATGGAGCTAAGTCTGGCGAGTATGGTGGGTGGGGAACAACTGCCATCTTGTTTTTAGCAAAAAATTCCTGCACAATGTAAGCCGTATGCGGTCATGCGTTGTCATGGTGGAGTACCCAGTAGTTGGTGCACCACTTATCTGGACGTTTTCTCCTCATGTCCTCCCTCAAACGCCTTAGAACATCGCGAGAGAACTCTTTATTGACTGTCTGACCAGGAGGGACGAACTCCTTATGAACAATTCTGTCAATATAAACAAAAACAGATCAACATGGACTTAACGTTGCTCTTGACTTGTCGAGCTTTTTTTGGCCGAGGTGAAGAAGGGCTCTTCCATTGCGACGACTGCTGCTTGCTTTCAGGGTCGTAGCCATAAACCCAACTTTCGTCACCAGTCACAACCTTCGAAAGAAAGTTTGGATCCTCTTGAAGCTGTTGCTGAAGTTCCCTGTAGACGCAATCCTCATGTTCAGTTCCTCTGACAAAATTCGTTGACATGTACCATAACTTAGTCCCAAGGTGTTACAGAGGTCTTGGATGGTCAGTCTACAATCTTGCAGAATCAGATCCCTAACTTTCGTGACATTTTCTGGTGTTTTGTCCGTTGACGGCTGTCCCGAACGATCGTCATTATCAGTCAATGTTCGGCCATTTTTAAAATGCTTATACCAGTTGTAAGTTTGTGTCTGGCCTAAACTGTTTTCACCAAAAGCTTGCTTCAACATTTGGTGTGTTTCTGCAGCGGTTTTCCCAAGTTTGAAACAAAACTTTATACAGACACCCTGCTCTCTCAGGTCAGCCATCGCAAAACCACAAACTCACAGAAACACAACACTGGAAATACGTTCACCAACAATAAACCCAACCACTCAAATCGACGCCGCTTGCCACACTGATTCAAGGATGTGTGAGGAGACACCTAGCGGTATTTCGATGTACTCATAATCATTCGCACGCAAAATTCAAATTTCAGTAAGTTTTGGATTGCCCCACGTATAATAAAAGTGGCGTATACCAAATGAATTGTGCAGATTGCCCATTAAAATATATTGGATAAATGGGCCAAACATTTAACACCAGATATAAGGAACATATACATGATATTAGAAATAATAATAGCAATTCCGGATACTCAAATCACATACTAAATACGGGACATGCATACAGAACAATAACAAACATAATTGAAGTTGTAACAACGGGAAAGAAGGGTAGACATTTGAATACACTAGAGAAATACCATATACAGTCAACTCTCGATTATCCAGGATAATGGTGGGCATGGAAATCACGATTAATCGAAAACCCAGTTAAGACAAATGTTATTAAAAGTAGTACTGTAATACTGTACCTTCATAATACTATAGGCCTACCTGTATTTAAATTTACTCAACCTCATTTTTATGTCATCTCATGGCCTATTTAATACTTTTTTTACATTATACTGAAGTGTGAATTAGTTATTTCAATCACAGTGTTCAAAAACATCCAACACTTTTTACGAATATTCACACTTAACACTTAAAAAAAATTAATATTGTTGTTTGCTTTTTCGCGGCATTTTCCTTTTTACGGATATCTGTATGAAGCCTACGTAATATTAGCTTGTCACTTAATAAACTGTTCTCTTCACTCTCCAGATAGTCTAGTAAGGATTCCAAATGATTAAGAGCAGCACCATGTGATATTTTCTTACTACTGTATTGCACTGTTAATTATTTAACTACATCTCTTTCTCCCAACTGATTGATAATTTCAAGTTTCTGTTGAATACTTAACACAACACACTTCCTTTTACAACCTGACATTTTGCTAACGCACTTGAAGATCGATACAAAGAGACCAACTGGGGTGGTGTATCTGTCCTTGAAACTTTCCACAAATCCTTGCATTCTTTCACCCCTACCCTAGAACATTGTGTTAGCATAACGGGACCAAAGAATGCAGAGCTCGGTTCACACTAGTGCGAAAATAGTGTTACAACTCACCATGTGAAACAAAAGTGAATGAATATTAAACAACACATAAGCCTCAAAAAAAGCCTCAGTAGCCCCGGTTAAGCCGCCCCCGGATAATCAAGAGTTGACTGTATATAAAGTAAGTAAGAAGGGCCTACACATGAATGACACACACACAGAAACACAATCCCACATTTCAAACAATACAAGAGATCTATATCGACTAACGGTACCCCCTCCCCACTACCCATTACCCTCCTACACTCAACAACATAAAAACACAGCGCACAACACACCAGACAGCAAACATATTAAAGATAACAGCGGCACGCACACAGGGAACCTGCACAGAGTAAGTACACATAACAGTATAAAACATATAGGAATAATGTAAGAACATAAGATAGTAATACGAATATTTGTGTATTACAGATAATACGTGAATTGTGCTAAAAACAAGAAGTAGCCCCTGCAGCACATGTAGACATAAAGCATGTATCCATGATAAAAAAAAATAATTTTAAACTTAAATCGACGAGTGTATATTAACAGAGAAATTAAACATAACTGACAAAATCAGCAAGGGGATTCTGATATATCGGGACTGACTGAAACACAGCAATGACAATTGAGAAAGCTGGTGTTTTTAAATTTTAAATTACATGCAGTGTAACAGCTACGTAAAGGAAATACACCTGATGATGGCCAGTTACAGCCGAAACATGTGGTGTGTAAGAAGAAAGACAGAACTACAATAAATTGTTGCATTTATGATGGTATTTATATTATACATGTAGAAGTGTAGAGTGCAACAGGATTCTTAAATATAATATAGTAACTTTCGGCTGCCAACAAAGCTCCCTACTCTGCTCCTAGATGTCACTGTGGTTGCAAGACTACTGAGCCCTCTGGCAGACAAGAGTCACTCAACCCAACTGAAGTACACATAACTGGATAACATTACTCACCTATGTGGTATCAAAACAGAAAAAGAGTTGCAAATATGCACAAAGCATAAAAGTAAAAATGACTTAACTGTTGAAGTGTGGCATTAGAAATCAAATGCCAATCAACCAGAAAGAATGAAGAACATGGGAAGAAATAAGGAGATAAAGACCAAAAGACTTGGTTGCTAGATGATCCACACAGAGTGTAAACATGAAAGAAAGAAAGAAAGACAGAAAGAGAAAGAGAGAGAGAGAAAAAAAAGAAAAATGATTATTACATAGGACACCACAGCCAAAGTATTATATACAATTCTCAGCATTTTATGCATGTCAAATATATTAAAGAGGTGAGTCCAAACACAATCATAAACTACCAAACAATAATTATTTAAACTGTGAAATGTACTGTATTTCTATAGTCCCTCTGCAATGTACTTACAGGGCTCCACTGCATTTCGGGTGGTGGTTCTGGTGGTTGTGCAACTGTTAGGATGTTGTGGAGGCGAATGTGACTCTGGCAAGCCTGATCTGGTGGCAGGCGATCTGTTGCAGCCATCAAACTATCCTCTAAACGACTAATATTCCAACTCAATTCCTTTCCAAGAGATAGGAAGCTGGAATGAGAAAATATTGTCTTCACAGAGTTTCTGTATTGCTCTACAGGTGAGCTGAAGATCAGTTTACTTGAAATAATGATGAAAACTAGCTAGGATAACAATGTTTCTGTTACTGGCATGACAGTGACATGTTCTGATTTTAGCGAAACGGAACAACACTGGCACTGTATTAGACTCAAGCCCACAAGATCTTACCTCTTCAGTGCTGTGTGTCATGAAGTTAACACACTGCAGATAGGTATGTACTTTTAATCATATAACTGAGTTACAGATATTTCACATGCATTTAACTTTTCAAGGCATGGGACAATGTCACCTTTTGAAGTTGCAAAGGATTTGTTGGAGCTTAACTGTGTGAGAAAGGCATGCAGGGAGTTTAGCACTGCTTTATGGAATGGAATCTCTCATGTGCATGCACATGTTCAGAAGCTAGTTTCAGTAGTCAAAGCGGTGACCATGCTTGACAAGTATACTACCGAAGAGCAGCGTTCTGTCCAATTTTTGTGGGCAAAAGGACTCAGTGTAAAGGATATTCATAAGGATATCTTTCCTGTTTATAGTGGGAAGTGTTTGTCACATAAAGGACCTCACAACTGGGTAGAGAAATTCTATCAAGGACATTTGAAAGTCACAGATGATGCCTGACTAGCTCACCCTGTTGAGATTGTGACAGAAGCAACTGTGCACAAGGTGGAAGAGTTGATTCGAGCTGACAGGAGGATAACGATAGACAGTGTAGCAACTGTATTAGTGTGTTCCCAGGGTGTAGCATAATGCATGATTATTTGAAGTTTTGGAAAGTGTGTGCATGGTGGGTGCCCACAGAATTGAAGAATTGAGAAAAAATTAACTGAATGGGACTGTTATATCCACTTGTGGCCTCATTACTGACTCTCCCTTGTATATCTATACAACCCATGGGATTTATATCATAGCTTTTGACATGACCCACATGAAATGTGTGGGATTTAAACTATTGGTTCAGACGTAACCCATCTGCAATATGTTATGCTCATGTACTCGTAAATTCAAAACTTTTAAAGTCATGGCCTGCACAGCTAGAGCTATACAAAATCTCATGTCTCTAAGACTGTTAAGCAAGATTAGAATACTGCAGGTCATTTAAAATACAGATGGTCTCTGGATTTTTCTGTACATACCTTGGGTCTTTTTAATTTGTTTTCCAACTTCTGATGATGATTTGCTTTCAATGCTATAATGATCAAAAGCCAACCAACTATTACTGCAGGGCAGAAAATCACTATGTATTTCATGCAGTCAACATAACAGCACTGTTGTATGTCCAGAAATATGATTCATGTGCATGCATGCAGATGCATATGTTAGCGCACCATGCACATATAGATGCAATTTTTTAATTTGCTTAGTGGGGGGTGGAGTCCAACTGGGTCCACTTGGCATGGCAGCCACTGATTGGCCTATTGTAGCCTGCCCCGGGTGATTATGATGATGGAGAATTTGGTGGAATGAAGATTAGCAGGGGAAACCGAAGTACTCGCAGAAAACCCACTCCAGTGCCACTTTGTCCACCACAAATCCCACTTGACCAGACCCGGGATTGAACCCGGGCCGCCGCAGTGGGAAGCCAATGACTAACGCTTGAGCAATGGCGCGGCCTCACATATAGATGCAATGCTCCAAATATCTATTTTTAATTTACAGTTTACAGACATTCAGTTTCATAACATGACTTTCACTTTGAATCAAATCCAGTAAATGTACCTGTCACTGCTGAGCACACTACAAAAGTTATTTGCAATGAACTTGATGGAGGACTCCAGAAGTTGTGAAGTTATGCCGAACACAGGTTCTGCCCATCGAACATTGGGAAGAGTAGCTAGAAGCTTATCACAGCACATCACTGTCTCTAGAATGTTGTCCACAGTCTGCAAAGAATATATATGAAGTCTGACAATTAAATGCACTGATCTTGTAATAAGAAATACACTGTGGTTGTCATCAACTTCCTTCCTAGCTTATACAAAGATTCCATTGCTCCATGCCTAGAAACACTGCTTGAAATAATTTTCTGAAAGTCCTTTCTGTAATATGACCACATGGCTCTTAATGTAAAGTGTCAAAACATGGCTTTCTCAAAATCTGTAATTCCAGAAACATGGAAAAGGAACCCGGAGTCAAATTAGGTTGCACTTTCTTTTCACTAATAAATGGCTTTACCAAAAGTGCTTTGTCGGAAGATACAATGCCATAATGCAAAATCCAGTGTGTAGCTGAAGATTTAGTCTTTTTTAATGAATGTGCTGCCATAAACATTTCAAAACTTGAAGGCAGAAGAGTAGGCTCACTTCTGATTTAAAGGAATAAATTCATAACGGATAATTCATTTGATTTTTAATAAGCTGATCAATGGCATTTTAACTCTATATTTTGACATCTGCATGTTTTGAATTATTGTGTGAATACTGGCAGAAGTATGTAACTACTGAAGGACAGCATTTTGAACATAACTAAATTTAAGGGCTTGTAAAAGATGTTGGTTTTGAAATATGGCTCGTGTAGTGAAACGTTTCATCATACAGAAGATACAAGGTATGACAATAAAGTTCACGAACTCGCCACAGTGTGCTTGCTGTGGCAGCAGTGGACAGAAACGTCAGTATGGTTTCATGACATTGACATATCAGCATTTCACAGCTGCTGCTGTTGATGATCTTTGGTAGTCTCTTTCTGAGTGGCGCCTATTACTGTCCGAGTGAGTTTTGGTGTGCTGTCGCCAACAACTAATGAAGCTTGCGTCACGACAATGCACCTGCTCATACAACACTGTCTGTGAGGAAGCTTTTAGCTAATAGAGTGCTGAAACACCCTCCCTATTAGCCATGTCTAGCACCCAGTGACTTTTTTGTGTTCCTGAAGATAAAATTAGTATTGAAAGGAAGACATTTTGATATCAGGAGTAATACGATGGTAGCTCTGAAGGCCTTTCCACAAAACCAGTTCCATAATTGTTTTGAAGAGTGGACTAGGTGCAGGCATCGATGCCTAGCTTCCCAAGGGGAGTACTCTCAAGGGGATCACAGTGATATTCAGCAATGAGGTATGTAGCATTTTTACCGCGATGAGTTCGCGAACTTTATTGTCAGAGCATGAGTATCCAAGAGAGAGAAATCTTCACTGCATCATGTCTTGCTGTGGAACCATACAATGACTTTATTAATATGAACAGCTACACAATTATCACACCTTTGACATATGTTCTTATTTTTCCTATTGTTCCATCTATTAAAAAATCTTATTTCACTTCATATTTTGACATTTTTTGTCAGAATTTCTAAGTACTTATATTTTTGAAGTTTTTAATATAATTTTCTTGAGTCAATACAGGAAAACTCTTATTGATTAAATTACTAAACTATGTTGTTTTTTTGATCCTATTATTCTCACTCTAGTTTTTAATGTTTCTCAGTGACATTCCATGATGTTTTTGAAATAATGGCATATTAAAATTATACCTCTGAATTTGTACACTGTTTCCTATCAGCAAATAGAACACAAAAGCTTTATCATACACTAATAAGGAAGTTGACTGGAGAGAAAACACAGATAAAACTTAGTATGTGTCCATGTCTCATCACCAGATTGCAAGACAAAATCATACTACAGCATGAATAGCTGTTGCTATGCAACGATCACGAGAAGGAACATGCGCTACTTGGTAAAGCTGGTAAACATGTTAGCAATACCCATGCTATCATTAGGCAACTGCTTGATAAACAGGTTCCCATGGCAAGGAACACACATGTAACAACAGAAGAATAGGGTTATCCAACCTGGTTCTAAGCAACAGTCGAGGCACTGTTGGATCATAACAATGAGAAGAATGTTTTCTATGTGGTCCATGCCAAGATGCTATAAGCAGCACAGTCTGAAGCAATGGGTTAGCCCCAAGTGACTAGATTGCCATTGTACCAGGAGCTACTTATGATAGGGCATGATCTGCTGTACTGAGCCTGGACTGCCAGAGGCCTTGTATTACAACTATTTGTTTAAATCATGCTATAAATCCTACTGCATGATATTAAGAGGAGTAATAGGAGAAGCTGCCGGTCATGGTAGCCGAGCGGTCTAAGGCATGCACTGTCTTTGCTCGCTCAGAAGCCGGGATCATGGGTTCGAATCCCACTCAGGGCATGGATGTTTCGTTTTTCTGTGTTTGTCTACAGGTAGAGGCCTTGCGACGAGCTGATCACTCGCCCAAGGAGTCCTTCCATATGTGTAAGATCGAGAAAAACTGAAGTGAACGGAGTTCATGGAGGTAGGCCTAGGCCCACTGGGGCTGTAGTGCCAAGGAAAAAAAAAATAAGAGAAGCTAAAAGGAAATATTATAATCAGTTAATTACATCAGCCAAGAACAAAATAAAAACTACCTGGAACATTATCAACACTGAAACAGGTAGGATTAACAATCAGAATAAAGAACGTCTACCTCAGACTTTTCAAAACAATAGTAAAAAAATAAATACTGAAGAAGTAGCTCATAGTTTTAATAAATATTTCACATCAATAACGGAAAATCTTAATATTAAGAAAACTAATATTTATACTGCAATGTCATACTTGCATTCCCATTTCCCAAATGGTATTCCAGATCTGAATCTTAATTTAGTTGCAGAAGATGAAATAATTAGTATAATTAGCAAATTAAAATAAAAAACTCTTCAGGGTATGATGGTGTAACAAATAAAATTATAAAACTGTGCAGACAACAAATTAGTAAACCTCTAACTTATGTAATTAATAAGTCACTAACCATGGGTCTATATCCAGAAAGATTAAAATATGCAGTCATTAAGCCAGTATACAAAAAAAGGGGAAAAGGCTGTTATAAGTAACTACAGGCCAATATCTATAGTAACTGGGTTTGCAAAAGTTTTTGAAATAGCAATTTTTAGAAGACTCAATGATCATATCATAGAACATAAAATATTACTTTCAGAGCAGTATGGATTCCAAAAGGCATTATCAACCGAAGATGCAATGTTTAAATTAACCAATGTAATACTTACAGCTTGGAATAGAAAAGAATATGTAACTGGTATATTTTGTGACACAGCCAAGGCCTTTGACGCAATATAGGGGTCAAAGAGTGGAATTAAATTATATAAATAATAAATATTATTCTAACTGGGAAATTGTTGGATGTGGTGAGCCTCAGGGATCAGTGTTGGGACCCTTACTTTTTAATATACATGTAAACGATTTCCCCCTTGAAATAAGTAAAATTTTGGAAGTTATTATGTTTGCAGATGATACAAGTATTCTTTGCACAGCTAAAGACTACTATAATTTAAAAATAAAATTGAATGTTGCTTTTAATCACATGTTTACGTGGTTTCAAAACAATCAATTAGTGTTAAATCTGGATAAAACAAAAATGATAAAATTCACCCCAACAGCAGCCATGAGCTACCCTCTATATACCGTATTTACGCATGTATAGGCCGCACATTTTTTGCCATAAATTCAAGAGGAAAACTGGGGTGCAGCTTATATTCGAAATCACACTTCATTTAAAAAAAATTATATTCATAATTAGTAATACAGGGTGTAATACTCCTGAAATAATATTCCAAGAAAATTATTTTTTCTATAATTTCTGTCTGAAAATTGTGCTGCGGCCTATACACGCACGCGGCCTATACATGCGTAAATACGGTACATTGTTTTTAATGAAAAGCTGAAAGAAGTAGAAACGATAAAATTTCTCGGTTTGCAGCTGGACAATCATCTGGCTTGTAAGGGACATATCGATTTTTTGCTACACAAGTTGAGCACGGTTTGTTTTCTAATGCAAAAATTATCCTATATATTAAATATAAATAGTCTTAAAGGTGTATACTATGTATATTATCATTCAGTGCTGAAATATGGAATAATATATTGGGGAAATACATCAGACAGTCATAAGGTCTTTGTTATACAAAAGAAAATAATAATAATAACGATGGGAGTGGGCCCAACTCATACATGTAGAGATCTATTTAAAAAGCTTGACATACTATCAATTCCATGTGTATATTTGCTTTCATTGATGACATTTGTTGTTAATAATTTGGATAAGTTTCAAACCAATAACTCTGTATATGTGATTGATAGTACCAGAAGGAATGACCACCTTCACATACCTTCAACACATTTATCATCCTATCAGAGAGGGGTGTATTATTCAGGCAGCAAGCTATTTAACACTCTGCCATCAAATATCACAGTTTTAAAAAATGACAGAAAACAATTTAGGTTTGTTTTACAAAATTATTTGCAAAGTAACATATTTTACTCTATTGATGAATTTGTTGAGCATGCAAGGGGCTCAAAAGTTAAGAGTTAATAAACGGTCTGCGTGCGTGAATTATATACTGTTGAGACTTGCTTGTTGTAAGTGTAGTAGTATGTATGATGTCTGTTTTTGTTATGAATTTTAATATTTTATAATGTAACTGTTTAATGATACAGCTTGCCAATGTGTGTGGAATGGCAAGGCGTGAATTTGACAGTGGTTTTTCCATGACCCATGTGTTGTCCTGACAACTTGAGCTATCTGTGAGAGGCCTGATTATATATTTTACTGGAAAAAGGACGAATGATATGTAGTCATCATGAATTTGTAGTATGTAACATGTTTTATATCCAGCCCTACAGGGAGACGATTGGATCCATGAAGTGAAAATAAATGTAAATGTAATGTGTTGTATATACACACACATTTAATAACATGTAAATTGTACGTATTGACAACAGACTTATTACTGCTGACTGTGACTCCAGAAAATTACAGACCCATCCTCTCATCAGAGAGACTGTCCCACAATAACAAGCCTGCAACTGACTGACAGTAACAAAGATCTGATCTTAATACCCAGATGGGCCAGACTGACCGACTGACTGTCAGTTGTAACATAACTTTGACTTTGATGATGGGTTAGTTTTTGGTTAGAGTTGTCAGCAGTTCGGTTGAGTGAAGTAACGTGAAGTAGATGGTTAGTGAGTGAGAAAGTTCAGTTGTCAATTGTCAGTTGGAAGTCAAACTGTTAAGAGAAGAGTAGGAGGTTGGTGTCAAAGGGCTGCCAGCCTGGGACCTAGTTAGTTGAGGGTTACCAGTTGACAAGAGTTCTCCACAGGTTGCTGTGACAAGAGAGTCTGACTACAATCTCCCTCAGTAGAAGCTGTAGCCAGTAAAAAGCTAGTGGAGACTGTAATAGACTGACGACACTAGTCTGTGTGTGTGTCAGTGATCTGTAAAGTGTAGTTCTGAGTGGTGCATACAAGTGGTCAATAAATCTATTATCCAATCCATAACTGATATACATGACAATACTATAAAGATAGCTAATAAGTCCTTCAAAAAGTGGCAAAGTTGCAAATTCTTTGGAAAGATAATTTTATATCAACATTTCATTAACAAAGAAATGAATAACTGATTAAAATAGAGGAGTGCTGCTACCATTTAGTTCAGAATATTTTGTCTTCCCATCTGCTACCTAAAACATAAAAAAAAAGTGAACCTATCCCTGTAACAGGCCATGAAGGCCCATAGGGTTCTCAGACATTGAGGGTCCCACATTATCTAGACAATTGGCTCAAAGATGGCGGTAAAGTTGTCAGTCTTATGCACCGGCCGAGCTTTACTCCCCAGCAACATTATTTAATTAATTCCTGGTACTCATTTATGTTAGAGGATGAGCAGACCCCAGGGCCATAGCGCGACTGGAAGGATTAGGTAAATTGAAAAAATCCAATAACCTTATCAGGAGTTGAACCCGCGACCTTCCTGCTTGTAGCATAGTGCCCCACCTAAAATATACATATTAAAACATTAAAGACCCCATGCAACTGTGTCAGAAAATACACTGGTTAAACCAGTTGTCCCATCTCCTTTAGAACACCAAAACACACAACAGATACAAGGCCAGAAAACAATGTGTTGTAGATGAACATTCCAAGATCAAAGGTGGCATTAAATATCATAAAATAGAAGCAACATCCACATTTATCATCCCTGCATAATCAGGGAAGTTAAATAAATAGCTAAATGCCCCCATAACCTTGTCATGATGACAGATATGAGCTCAGTAAAGTATGATCCACACTCTTTCTCTAAGCTTTCTTCCTAAACGTGCAACTCCTTCCTATGGATAGCACCACAATCCACATTCCCACCCTTACCCCCACCTGATAGTTATATAAAGGGCCCATGGTCCTTTCCCATTGGCTAGAATCATGCCCCCCCTTTCACTCTCTTCGTAAGACCTACATACTGGACCACATATTCACCCTGCAACATACACCCAAAGAACTTCAGATAAAGATGTGGAAAGAAGGAAAGAGGATGAAGAAGAAAGGAAATAATGTGAGCAAACATAACACTTGTATATGTATATGTATATGTATTATAACACCGTGTATATGTGGTGTTAACCACATATACACGGTGCCAAATCCCAGAAGACTGCTTTCTTCATAGTCACCGCCGTGAAAGCCTCAAATCTTAAACATAACACTTCTTTAAACAGTAAGTATTTTTTAGCATGTCCCAATAGTTTTATCTCTAAAAAACATTCAAAAATAATGTTTTACCTTAGCAATGAGATGTTGACAAGATTGTTCTTTTTGTAGTATGTCACTTTTTCTTGAAATTTCAGATTCTCATTTCATACAGACTAATCGTTTGTTCTATTTGCACAGGTTTAGCAATGGAATCATCTTACCGCGTGGACAACATGCTGCTGGTAGCATTTATCAATAAGTTCTCTGGGAAGCGAAGCAAATCCCTTTGTTGGCCAAATTCTTACGAAGTACTTAGTAATCCACCGTAGGCTCTTCCGGTATATGTCGTCAAGACCATATGCTGCAGCAAGTGGTAGGCACTCCAAAACGCCAGCAGCACACATAGTGCATGGCTGAAACAGTACACATACTTTCAACAAAGAGTTCTACAGCCTTCAAGCATAAACATACTTTAATAAATCAATTACTTACTTTGTGGAAAAAATGGCAGTATTTTACTTTAAGTGTGTACATTATGACTTCTTTTAATCCTTCAAGCCCCAGCATATCAGCCAATGTTGCCAGTTCAACAATGCTGATGGTGTCTGGAATGTTGCTTGTTCCACTGTAGATGTGACATAATGCAAAATGGACTGCATTGTAAGAAAAGCTGGGAAAAGTAAGAATCACATGTAATTCATAAATGTTAAACTTTTTATCTTATCAGCAGAGCAACTTGTATAAAGGATTCTCATATACGTTTATTTCTTAACCACTCATTCGCATCTACCTCAAAACTTTTCTGGCTGTAACCACAGTAAACCCCGTTAAACATTTCTTTTGTGGGTAGTGCATTCAAACACTAAACTCATGAAAATCTTAAATGGAGGTAATTTAACACTAAGACTGCTGACCCTGGATCACTGAAATTGAACATGTAGGAAATGAGTGAAAAGATTAAATTAAGCTAGCTAGCTGAAGAAAGTTGTCTTCTGGGTTTAGGCACCGTGTATTCTTCGTTTTGGCCGACGTTTCGGAGGAACTTACATAAGCTAGCTAGCTGTTCAGCTAGCCAAGAAATAGCTCATTTGCTTACAATACATGCACAGGCTGACTGCCACCTCATGTTAAGTCTTGCAGGATGAGATGCAACCTCATTTTTCTGCAGTTCGTGCATACGATGAGAGCCAATTTATGTTAAGGCTTCTGAGGTGAGACACAAATTCATCTTTTTTGCAATTCATGCATACAATGACTGTAAATAAAATCAATACAAAGTCCGTCAAGTGTAACAATGTTTTTTAGGTCACTTCTTTCTCACTCTTGCCTTACATGTTTCGGTTTTAGTAAAACCATCTTCAGAGGCACATGGTACTAACAAGAAAACACTGGCGTTGTTTAACTGTACACAGTATATATGCTGTGTGGGCACTGCTACAAATGTCGATGTGTAAAAGCACAACACTAGCTTGGAGTACTGAATGCACGTACAGAATGCACGTTCAACCTTCGCATTCCATCCGAAGTTGCCCTCGCGTTAAAACATCACTATTAAAATATTTAAAAAATATTTAAAAATATTTAAAAGTTTAAGACTTTTGAAGTAAAATATAAAAATGTTAGGCTGCTTCTTAATTTATCCCGATGTTGGGAGATGTCTTGAGGTTGTATTGGCTTGTAGTTGGATTATTGCTGTGCGTTGTGTGTTGTGTGTACAATTAAAAAAAATGACTGTAAACTTTAAGGAACATTTCTGGGAGCAGATGCAATCATATTTTCCTACAATTCAGGTATACAATCATTGTTCTTTTTATGTTAGATTTCTGGGAGGATATGCAACCTAATTCTTTTGCAATTCATGCACAGGGTAATAATAGTCACCTACATAATAAGTTTATGATTTCACATACAATGGTTATAGGGAACTTGTGTTGCTATTTGGTGTCTTCTGTTGAAATATTCATGAGAATGAGACTGGTTCCTCTACAATACTACTTACCCCTGAAGGGATATGACATTTCCTGCACTTTCAACCCAGCCACCACTCAGCATTGCTGCGAAGTACTGGCAACGGGAGGACAAAATACACTTATGGGCTTTCAATCTCCGCCCTCCAACCTCCACTGTCACATCAGGATTGATTTCTTCAAGAAACATTCTGAGTAAATCTTCACCTAATCTTGAAACTGGGCCACTGCAGCCTGCATATGAAGATGAAGCATCAGTCTCTTCTGTGCTGCCCTCTGTAACAAAACATGTGAATGTCAGATTTGAGATCTCACAGTGGTGACTATGAAGACATCAATCTTCTGGGATATAATACCATATATTCAAACAAAAGTCAACCCTTTTACCAGACTTTAAGCCATTATATCCCATAAGACAGAAAAATTCTTGTGAATGTCACTGACAATACAGTGTTTGAAAAATCTTAAATTCTTCACTTTAGGACAGAATTTAATGCAATCCATTATTCTGCAACAAATAACAATGTATATTCCAAAGATTAAGTTTTAAATTTCCCACTTTTTTTCAGTTCAAAATTGGATATAACACCCTATTACCATGTAACGCAAACAGTTTTAAAATATTATAATGTTGTGGTTTCTTATATGAACAGCATGACATACTCATAGAGCACAAATGTTATTTAACACAAGAATGCACAGAGGTATCCCTGAGGGTGTACTGACCTAGATATATCCAATGCAATATAAACTGAATGAACATCTGCTAGACGGCAGAGCAATAACATATGGTTAAACAATATTTGTGATCATAATACAAAATACCTAAATGATAAAAGTGCTTTACAATAAGTTTCAGGAGAATATGTCAAAGGACTCAGGATCTTTGTATGTACAGTGGAACCTCGCTTAATGAGCATAATTCATTCCAGAATCTTACTCATAATGCGAAACACTTGTTAAGTGAAACAATTTTTCTCATATAAATTAATGTAAAATACAATAATGCATTACATGCCGAAAAAAATACTCAAAAAATTTTATGTATAACGTTTATTCAAAGAAAATTATATATACACTGTTAAGGAGCGTGAATCATCTTCATCTTTTCTTCTATGCAGAATGAACCAACCTGAAATGCAAAATTCGATTTGCAGAAAAAAAAAAATTGAAATAATTGGTTTATTATTTATGATACATTTCTAATTCTTTTTTACTAGAAAGCTGTCTAGAGACATTTGTTTCTGTTGACGCTTCAAATTTGGGTGAAAAAGCGACACAGCATTATCATTAAATAAATTTGTAGCGCGCATAGCCACTGCCTTGCTCCACAGGTACTATCTCAAATCCCTAAAAGACACATTCGACAACGCTCTCCGGCCAAAGCTTCTTCCAAGCAGAAGTGAGGGTTCTCTTGGTAACCCCTTCCCACACCTTTTTGATCATTTTGAGGCAGGCAACGATGTGGAAGTGATATTTCCAAAACTCTCTGAGAGTGAGATTGGTCCCTTCAGTCACCTCAAAACAATGCTTGAAGAGTGCTTTAGTGTACAGCTTCTTAAAGTTAGAAATAACCTGCTGGTCCATAGGCTGGAGTAACGGAGTGGTGTTGGGAGGCAGAAACTGGATCTTGATGAATTTAAATTCTTCAAGAAGGTCATCTTGTAGGTCTGGGGGATGGGCAGGAGCATTGTCCATAACAAGCAAGACATGGAGTGGCAGACTCATCTCAAGCAAATATTTTTTCACAGAAGGACCAAACACTTCATTGATCCAATCAGTAAAAAGGTCACGTGTCACCCAAGCCTTGTTGTTGGACCTCCACATCACATTTAGCCTGCTCTTCTGGACTTTACACTTCTTCAAGGCTCGTGGAGTTTCTGAATGGTAAACAAGCAGCAGTTTAATTTTCAAATCACCACTTGCATTGGCACAAAATAGCAGCGTGAGACGGTCTTTCATTGGCTTATGGCAGGGCAATACATTATCCTCTGCTGTTAAATAGGTTCGCTTTGGCATCTTTTTCCAGAAGAGACCTGTCTCGTCACAATTAAAAACCTGTTGCGGCAGGTAACCCTCAGAAACTATGAGCTTCTTGAAGTCACCAATGAAGTTCTCTGCTGCCTTTGTGTCGGAGCTTGCTGCTTCACAATGCCTTACAACGCTGTGGATACCGGTTCTTCTCTTAAACTTCTTGAACCACCCATGGCTTCCCTTAAATGCTTCTTCTTCGGCCGTTGATGATCCTGGCGTCTTCTTAACGAGGTTGGCAAAAATCACTTTCGCCTTCTCACAAATGATGTTCTCGTTAATAGTGTCGCCTTGCACTTGCTTTTCGTTTATCTGTATGAGGACCAATCTTTCAACATCATTGAGAATACGTAACCGTTGCGTAGATATTCTTGTCACTCCATTTGAAGCATCTATCTCCTTAATCTTGTCGTTGTTCTTGAGGGTAGTGCAAATCGTTGATGTAAATAGATTGTATGTGTGTGCTAGATCAGCCACGCTCACACCTCGTTCTCACTTTTCAATGATTTTACGTTTCATTTCTACGGTTATTTTTATTCTCTTATGGCTGTCTTTTTGCGGATTTTTCTTCGGGGACATTTTTGCAAGGGTTATTAAACTTTGCACAAAAAAAATCACAAATAATGTCTCAACACAAGTCTAGAAAAATGTGTGATCACAAGCGACACTAAGATGCTAGCGGCACGAGTGCTAAACACAGACTGATGTAGCAAGCGCACAATCCAGGACGTTCCCTCTCGTCACTCGTTATGCGAAACGTCGCTCATTAAGTGAGTAATTTTTTTACAATTTGTTTTGCTCATTATGCAAATTACTCGTTAAGTGAGGTTCCACTGTATATTAAACTTGGTCTCTCTCATTAATGGACTGAGGTTGTTTGAAAGCAGGGTGCTAAGGCAATTACATAGGAATATGAGAGGGAGTGACAGGATGCTGGAGAAAAGTGCATAATGAGGAGCTCCATAATTTGTAATATTACCATCAATAAACAGTAGTGGATAAACTGTCTCCTGAAGTATAAAGCAAAAAAGTAAATGAAGTATATTTTATCCAGTTACATATAACATATATACCATTAGGATCTTCAGAAAAGATAAAAAAATATGTGAAAATGTACAACTATACTGACAGCACAGGAACAAATCTCTGAAACCTCAGGCAGAACCAGAATATAAAGGCATGTAATTGAAGATAATACAAATATCAAGTGAATGTACAAAATTTCATTACAACTAGTCTTCAGAGGTACCCTAAGAGAACAAGAACCTTACCAAGTCCTGATGGCCCCATACTGCTCTGCATGCTGCTCAGGTCAGATGTCTCAGAAATCTGCATATCATTATCATCTGCATCTGGCTGAGCATTTGGTGACTTGCTTCTGCCTACATTTGATGGGGATGGCGTGGCAGTCATAGTAGTATGCAAGTGTGGAAATAAACGACTCAGTGACCTGGTGCTGGTGCCACCCCCAATTGACCGTGTCATAAGAAGTTTACTCTCAATCCATGATGTCTCAGGAATACTACGAGTCATCCTATTAGCTGTGGCAAATGAAGGCAGAACATCACTACTCTCAGAGACAGTATTCATGGTTTTGTGTGATTCTTTGTCCAAGTCTGAAAGTTTAACAAAGCTTGTTTCCAAAGATTTGGATTCTGTTTCAAAACACGGACCAATTGACAATACTTCACTTTCTACAGAAGCTTCAACAGTAACACAATTTTCAACAAAACTGTGTCCTCCATCAATGTGTAAAACATCTTCAGCAATTTCTGTTTGATGAAGATCTGAAGGCTCTGAATTATTCTTGCAAACATTATCCTTTTCCTCTTGAGTTTCAATAACAACCTTATGTGTAGGACTGGATACCTTGTCTACCGTTCTGTCTGATTCTCCACTATCTGGATAAGAGATCTGATGTGCTGTTTTATTAGCATCAGCACCATCTGATTCAATGCAACTCTCTGGTAAGAGAGAACTGTTTTCATTTGTCACTTTTACTTCTGAAGTGAAGTCTATCTCTGGAGCTTCTCTGCCACTTTCTGATTTCCCTTCATAGCTCAGGGCACGTTTTGGTAATCGATCATAGCTCTTGGATGACTGCTTACAATGAACTGAACTAGACATCTCTTTAACCTGCAGACCATCTCCAAATTGTGTTAGACTTCCTTGGTTCGGAGATGTAGTTCCTTCATGAAGTGACTGGCTACTACCTCTCACTTTACTTTTCGCTAGAGATGTGGAACTAGATGATCTGCTTTCATCAGAAGGATTACATACATTTCCTCTTTCCACAGACAAACTATGCGCACGTTTATGACACCTTCTGCCATTACCTTTATGTTGGCCATCTCCTTGTTCACCAGTGTGAGGTTCTAAATTCCAAGAATGCCTATTTAAATTTGGTCTCAGACCTAATGGCAAGGCTTTACGCCTTGTTACAGGTGAATCTGCTTCAATGAACATGAAGAACCCTTGTTTTTTGTGTTCTGCCTCATCCTGGGAAGCAGATTCTCCACCTTTAGCATCTGTGTATGTCAGACTACTCTCAGGGGTCTGGCTGGGATCAGAACTGGACACTATTTCTGCCTGCCTTCTAAATCCTAACTTCTTATGAGAAGAAAGCTGTGGCGAAGACACCTTACCTCGGCCTGGATCCACAGAAGATTCTTGTTTAACACTAGTCTCACCAATATCGATGAACATTGAGAACAAGGTATTCTTTTTGTCTGTTGAAACATTTTTCTCATCACCACCACCACTATCCAATAATTTTATATTTTCATTTACTTGGTCATTAACAGACTTTTTATCTAAATTAATAAAAAATCCACAAGAAGCATTTTTTGTTACAGACTCTGGTTCATCTGCTTGAATGTGACTAGCTAACTCACTTCCTTCAGATGGCACAAGTCTTTTTTCAACAGGCTCCTTTTGTTCTTTCAAATCTACAAAAAAACCTACTCCTGAATTTCTTCTCCCAGGAGAGGATTCAGAATCTCTGACACTTACAGTCTCTTTTCTGGGCTTCTTATTTATCTGACAGTCAGTGGCTCTATCTTTCAAATCAACAAAGAAACCCAAAGCAGTGACTTTCACTTCACTCTGTTTGTGATGTGAAGCAACTCTCCCTTCAACATGATGTCCAGTGTTTCCAACCACATCAGCCTTCTTTTGTCTCCTGGGTTCCAGAGGAGGTTTGCAAGTACTGCTGCTGCAATCACTCATGTCCACAATCCATGCGGACTTCACTGAAGAAGCCACACTTGCAGATGACTTCACCTCTACCTTTTCTGGTGCTGGTTCTATCATCACTGGAGCTCCACCAGAAAGAATCGGTGTTGACTCAGTCTTCCTACGTGCCATGATAGGGCTATCCGAGATGGAGCGAGTTTGAGCAACAAAATCTACACTTGAAACACCTCCTGATACAATTGGCGTTGATTCAGTTCGCTTCTGTTTCTTGGGGCTGTCACATGACCGTTTCTCCTCAACCACTATATCACTGCAGGTTAGAGCACCTGATATAACTGGCTTTGTTGAATTATCAAAACTGCTTGAGACTTTCTTCAAGTCACCTTTCTGAGTTCTTTCCCCATCCTGCTCCTTTTCAGATGCATCTACACTGTGCTTACTTTGTGTGTAAGACCTATTTTTTCCATTAGTGTTATCCACAAAGTTTGTTTCTTCTAGGTACTCTGACCCATGATCTACTGTCTCACAAAACTGCTGACTTTTAGATCTCTGCTGTGACAGCATGTTATGACTCATATGTGTGTCAAAGAGACTGTCCAATGGCCTGTCATTATTGAGAGAGTCAAGTACCTGAATGTCACAGTTGGAAAGCACATGAGATGATAATACTAAATGGCTGGGATTAGTTATTAAAGTTTTAGAAAACACTGTTTGCCCTTCATTTTTATTTGATACATATGATCCTGTCTCTGTAAGTGATGTATCAGGTATGATTACTGGAAGGGACTGTTGATGAGCCTCAGCTTCATTTAAATCCCCATCTTTTGATGTTGCCATCAGCAGACTTTGAACATCTCGAAAGCCTTCACTCCCTGTACGATGTCCTGAAAATTGTGGAATGCAGCTCTGAAACAGCAGGTTTCCTTGTCGACGCTCATACTCCTGTCTTAACAGCGCCAATCTGTCATCATCTGGATCCAGTTCAAAAGTGTTCCTGCGTATAAGGCTTGGGCGGCGAGGTTCAGTTTCCCCTTCTTTGTCTTCACCCAACTGACCAGATCCAGGTTCTGTCTCATCAATTTGTTTGCTATTAGATACTGCAGATGGAATCACACCTGTTGAACCTTCCTCTGATGGTGTACTATTACTGTTTTCTTTCAAGCTTCCTCCTGCCAGAAGTACTTCAGTGCCCTTAATTTCTGGCTTATCAGACTCAGAAGATATGTATACTGGCAATGACTGGCTTTCTCTTTTACTTACAGCTTCTGAACTGGATGGATCAACATGTTTCAACACCCCATGAAGTTTCCTAGCATTTTCTTGTGGTTCCAAACGTTCAATCATTTTTATTTCCTTTTGAAACTCTGCAAGGATATCCTGTCCACTTGACATCTGTAAGTCATGCTTGCCAGTCCCAGATCTAACAGCAGTAAACTTATTCATGATAGGCTCCTCATTTACTGTCTGATAATTACTTTCAGTCACAGGCTCCAAATTATTCACAATTATATTTTCATCTGTTATTGTTAGGTGTGAAGACAGAAATGGAACTACATCATCACAAAATGTCTCTGTATGAGCTTGAACAGGCAATGTGTCAGTACTTGTGTACTTTGCTTTGATATTTAAACAGTCTGTTATGCCTTTAGTAACAATATCACATGTGGATGAAGTGCTTTCTTCACACGGTGATGCTGCACTGGAAGGCTTCTGCAGAACATCCAGTTCTGAAGTGTCAATTTCATTAGTTACTTTATCTTGTTGCTCAGATGCACCCGAAGGGGGTGGAAGCAACATGTCACTGTCATCTGCCAAGTCTGCAGCATTGATGAAATAGTTGTTCTGATTACTCAGCCTCCAGGTATGTGCATCCTCAGAGATAAGTGTAAGTGATTCAATGAGTTTATCTGAGGAATAGTTATGCTGAACTGAAACTGCCTGTACTACAGATTCAGGGCCTGATCGTGAAGAACCTCTTATATTGTCTTCAGACTGAGAGGAAACATAATTGATATTCTGTGATGGAACATTTTCTGGTGATATATGTAGATCTTTACTGTAAGCACATACACCATTTTTACTCTCATCTGATAGTTTATCTTCTGAATGATGAACTTTTTCTTCAACATGGTGCACATCAAGTTGTGAGTCAGTTTCCATTTTTGATACATCTTCAGTTTGTGCTTCATCAGAATATGAAAACACAAATTCATCTGAACTTGTTTTTGTCCTTACTGAATATTTTTCTTTGCCACACGACTCTCTCAAAGTTTCACCAGTACCTTCCAATGGCACTTCACAGCCCGTCATGCAATCCAGTTCTGTGACATGTGTGTCATGTGAATGTGTGGCAGGAAAGGTACTATCCCATGTGCCTGCATCAGATGATACAGAAGAAGAAGTTGACGACTTCACAGGCTTTCGGAGCAGAACTTCAATATCTCCATCATGTGGCATGTCCTCGCCAATGGCTGCTTCAGTGAGGTCAACCCCTGAAGTTTCTGAGACTGTGTGTTCACGTGGACTACTAAGACCACCACCCAGCATACAGCCTGCTGAACTGGTATCTATGCCAGAATCTGGACCACCGCCACTTGCATCCATCTCTGGGCTGCAAGGAAAATTCAGTAAATCTTCAGCAGTAAGGTTCTTCTGTTTGCAACATTCTAATTCACAATCCATTCCATCCCCTGGGCTCTCCATAAACTCTTCTTCTTCTTCAGGGATGTCATTGTTGCTAGTACTGTTATTTGACTCAACACAATCTGACTTCTCCAAAACTCCAACTATATTCTTTGATGAATCCTTTTCCTCCTCTTCCTGAATAGTGTTCTCCCTGCTTTCAAACTTATCAACTAAATACTTGTCCTTTTTCTGATAATTTATTTTCAACAAGTTATCATTGCTTTGATCTTTGTGAACAGACTGACTGGAGTTTGAACTTGTAAAATTTTCCTTATTACAAAGTGAAGGTTCTAGTTTGGATTCCAGCAAATCCTTTCCTTCTTTATTATGTCGAGCATATGTTATATCACAACTGCGCTTATATTTTTTGGTGTACTGACTAGAAGTGAAGGGCAGGGATGTTGGTTTACTGATTTTCTTCACGAAGCTTTTCTTTTCCTCCTTTGATCTGATGGAATGAAAGGATTTCAAAAGTTCGTCCTGTTCAGCTAATTCTTTTTCTAATACATTGCCTGCATCAAGTGACTTACTGCAATTACTTTCCTCAATAAAAGTTTCGTCTACAGGCACAATTGTATAATAAGACTGATTTGTCTTCTGAAGATTAATAAGTGTCTCTGCAGACTCACTTTCAGTATTATCTGAACTAAGTTTCTGTATCACATTAAAGTGGTGATAAATTTCTGATGGCGAAGAATTTGGTGTTAGATAGACATCTGATTCAGGACTTAGTCCAGAGTCACCACTAACTTTGGCAGGGTTATGTAACTCTCCAAGATACTGTACTGCATCCTCTTCACCAACAACAGCACATTTTGTGTACAGACTCCTACAATCATCAGAGAAAACAGTTTCACAATCATAAAATTTTCCCCAGTAATAGGCAACGTTAAATAATAATGTAAGTTCACTCAATACCTGCAAACAGACCTCAAGCAGCCTTTCATTAAAAAAGAAATATATTCTAAGTGCTACACGCTATTTTCTGGAATAAAATACAGTTTTCATTCAGAGAGACTCCAGATGATCAGCATATGCCACATTAATCCCTAAAATACATAAGTTTCTTAATTCAATTAGGACCAGCTACCTTGTTTCCCATCCTACTTATTTTTCCTGCAGAGCATTTTACACTACAAAAAATTATGGGGGGAGGGATAACATTTTATTTGCATGCCTGAAAGACTTGTATGTGTAGGTATGCCCATCTCACAATACTGCTGGGCTAGTTCCTCAGTAAATCAAAGATTTATTAGCGGATTCTTACATTATTAACTGCCAAAGTTCTAAAATGCTAAATGAAACTGGAAGATGCTGACAATGATAAACAGTGAGCAAGAATATTATTCTGCAATTTGCATGCATAGACTGAAAAGAGCCATGAAAGATCTCACTCAGATAAGGTGGTAACCTGAACAAGATCTGAACCATATATCTACCAAATTCAAGTGCAGAACAATGTTGCTAGACCAAACTGCTCTGTAACACAATGCTGGAGGTTATTTACAAAGATGGTGGTTGCGACACACTTATTAAATTATCTTAGCATCTGGTTAGCGTAAGTCAGAAATTAAACTTTTGAATTCTGTGTATTTCTTAGCTCACTGTTTCATCAAAGATGTCAAAAACATACAAATACTTCCTAAAATAAGGTAAAGCTATCCCTGTAACAGGCTGTGAAGGTCCATAGGGTTGTGAGACACTGAGGCTCCCATATTTTCTAGACAATCGGCTCACACGTGGCAGCAAGGTTGTCAGCCTTATGTGCCAGCCACCCTGTACCCCCAGAAGGATTCCTAGTACTAATTTCTGTTACAGAATGAGTTGACCCCAGGGCCATAGTGTGGCTGGAAGGATTAGGTCAACTGAAAAATCCAATAACCTCATCAGGAACTGAACCTGCGACCTTCCAGCTTGTAGCATAGTGACTCAACCAACTACACTACCACATGGCTCCACAAATACTTCCTTTGTCTGTCAAAAAAATTTTAAAGACCTGCATAATTTACAGACAAAGATATTCACATTCTGTATATTTCTACATAACACAGTTTAAAGGTTTTAGGCCTCTTAAAAACTGCATGTCTAGAGGCAACAAAGCATTATCTCTCACATTTTAGTTTTTATATCAGTAATTAATAATATATCAATACCAAGTGTGTTCCATTATGTGAACTTAGTAACTTCTCCAAATGAGTTGCTGAAATTTTGTATCAATACTGAATTTTGTTAAAAATAAAATAAAAAATTGATGTAAAGATACAATATGATCATGAACAACAAAGTTTCAAAGCACATTTCATGAGAAAATGAGTAAAATAAGAAACAAAATGCCTCACATGCAAAGCCATCAGTTTTCATGTTATTCTTACAAGTTTCTCAGAAGTTGTATTTCCCACTCTATGCAAATTAGTATTATGTAAGAAGTCTATCTTTAAATTTTAATACAAAATAGGAACTGATGCTAAGTCTGTGCTGAATGATACCACTAGGACTCAACAGATTAAACACAAAGTGTATATGAATAATCTTTCTGTTCTCTTTATTCAGAAGTTTAAAGTTAACTGAACTGTAAGAGTTATTCATAACTGCCAATAAATGAAGCACATTGAATCAGAATTTATAAATGAAATTAAATAATTGTACTGGCAAGACTGGAATTACATTACCTCCAAGGGTAACAGTTTTACTGCTAGGACTTCACTGGGAATAGCGTACACCAAATCAAGACGAGGCTGGTGTTAAAATATAAAAATATTTAACATACTGTATACTCTATCCTTACATTAAAGGAATAAAAAATAAAAAAATTGTTGTTGCTGTCTGACTCCATACTGTTATCTAGGCTTCTTCTGCCCTTTAAGCTAATTTGTAAACAACTGTTTCTAAGTCTTACCTTATAAATTTTTTTATATAATCCACAGAAGCATTGCCAAGAAATACAGAATGTGGTGTAGGATGTTTGGAGCAGAGTTTTGCGAAGAATCTAGCAGCTCTAACTTGCAATATACTGCAGTGGGTTTGAATTGACGTGGAATTGAACACAAGCTCCAAGTCACAGTATAAGGAATTAGTGTAGATTCTGTGAGACATGGAAAATATTATTATAGTATCGTTTCAAAAAATGAAACTGACAAGCCACACAAGCAATTTGTATTTAAAAAGACACATGAATCAACAAATTCTTATGGATAATTGAATCAATTCTGTTTACACCAAGTCAGACATCTGTGGAACAAATCTCAGCTACTGAGAAAGAAAAACAGGGAGAATAAGGAAAACATAGTTGTGTGTGTAACTGACTATACTATATTGATTATTCATAACTGTGAATGCATTAAGCAAATCAAAAAATTTAAAAACTCGACTTTAAATGTTGGATCTGAGGTTCTTACAGTGGTGATTATAAAGAGCACTGCCTTCTGCATTGTGATGCCACATAGTTTGAGAAAGCCTGAAGTTTCAGAAGAATAAGTCACCTCCAACTTCAGATCAAGGAGTATGCCTATCAATAAACCAGCAAGAAGTGGGTGCCTGCTGATTTCTTGCTTGGTACTCTCTGACCCTGAACATGGAAGAGATATGTTCCTCTGAAACAGACAGACTTTCTCTGAACTACATAATGTTATCTTCGAGAAAACTTTACTCTTTAGCTTTAAATACCATATTCCTTCACACCAAGAATAACTGTTAGATCATCACCACTTACTTTCTAGATCATTGTTGGCAACAGTGGGGGGCACCATATGATGGCCAGGTTAACATTAAGGTAGGGGAGACTGACCTTTTATAACAATTAAGAGATGGAAAGATTATAGCAATCAAACAGTTACATGTTAAAAGAATGAATATGAATGGAATACAGAGAGGAGATCTGGAATTACAAGTGGAAGGCAAAAGATGACAGGACAAACCAGACTGAGATGGATTACCCAAACAGTCAACAGTAATAAGTATAGGAAAGGTACAAATGAAGGATGAGCACAAAGAAAAGTGCGTGATAACAGACATCTGGAGGCTCTTTTATTCAATGTAACAAAATCTTGAAGAACACACACAATTAAAATATTTTAAATATGATCTGTCCCTTCCACTCTGCTAAAGCTAATATACTTAAAACAACGTTTTAAGTACATATTACTTAAGCAGTATACCATGAAGATAAAAGGGCCCCCGGTAGCGTAGTTGGTTGAGGCACTATGCTATAAGCTGGAAGGTCACGGGGAGTAAAGCGTGGCTGGCACGAAAGGCTGACAACCTTACCGCCATCTTTGAGCCGACTGTCTAGGTAATGTGGGACCCTCAATGTCTCACAACCCTATGGGCCTTCATGGCCTGTTACAGGGATAGCTTCACTTTCTTTTTATCATTAAGACAATGGGGGGAGTGGAGGTACAGCTCCACCATTCTTGACCTCAGCACAAGATCGAGATAAGTGGTCAGCTTCACCCCTCAGTCACTTTCCACATGGGAAAAGAGCACCCAGTCCCTACTGACTAGGAGGCTGGTTGAGCTCCAGAGCTGGTATGAATGTTATGGAGAAGAGAAAACCCTCTTATCTTTCAGGAATCAAACCCTATCAATCCATCCTGTAACGTGTCACTATACTGACTGAGCCATCCCAGCTCCTCACATTCACATGTATGTGCAGGTGCTTTCTTTTATTTAGAAATGTGACAGACTCTAATTTGGACATAAAGAATGCAGTAGGAAGAAGATACGTAAAAGATTTGCACATTCTATAGTTTCTTCTTCAATACAGTATTAAAATCCAGAGTATCTGAACCTACTTCATGAATACTGAAAACAGGTATCTTTAAGCATGTTGCAGTACAACACATCCATGCGTCAAATACAAGGTGGTTCAAATAAGCCCGGGACTGATTTGTGTGTAAACAAGCTGCACTGTGCAGCTGCTGTGCGACCTCAAGAGAGCGAAGCCACAACCTCCGCCCTAACTTCTGTTCGGGTTAGAACCTGTTCAGTCCTGTCTGGGAGTTGCTAGAGTGATGAGCTAACAGAAGGTACTGCGTAGTGTGGAACAACGCATTGTGATCAAATTCCTCATTGGAGAAAATGTCCCGTCAGCTGAAATTCACCACAGACTCCAACAACAGTATGGGGAAGAGCGTCTCTCATGGACCCGTGTCTTTGAGTGGTGTAAGTGCTTCAGAGAGGGCAGAGAGCGCGTGGAGAATGAACAGCATGATCGTCGGCCGCAAACATCCATCACTGAGCCAAACATTGATTGTGCAGATGCCCTTATTCATGAGAATAGGCGCATCACTATTAAGGAACTTGGAGCAGTTCTGTCCATCAGTGTTGGTAGTGTAGAATACATCATGAAATAACACCTGCACTATCGCAAGGTGAATGCACGGTGGGTACCATGAGCTTTGACGGACGTGAACAAAATGGTGTGCGTGCAAGCTGCCAGTCGTCTCCTACAGCAGTTTGAAGATGAAGGTGATACATTTTTGAAGTCTACAGTGACCACCGATGAAACATGGGTGCACTACTTCATTCCTGAGTCCCAGCAGTCATCACGTGAGTGGCGGCATACCAGTTCTCCCAAACCCAAGAGCGCGTGGAGGAGCCGTTCAGCAGGAAAAGTGTTGGCAACGTTCTTCTGGGACTGGCAGGGGGTTATCCATGTAGACCTTCTAACAGATGCCAGAACAGTCAATGCAGCTTATTACTCAGACCTCCTGGCAACAGATGTGAAGGAAAAGCTCTGAACCAAGCAGAAGACAGGTGGAAAGTGGGTAGCCTTCCTTCAAGACAATGAACGCCCCCATACGGTCAAAACAACAATGGAAACCCTCTGGAAATTGAAATGGAACTTTCTGACACATCTGCCGTACAGTCCCGATTTGGCCCCAAGTGATTTCTACCTGTTCGGAAGGCTCAAATCAGACTTGCAAGGCATGTAGTTTGTGGACGACGCTGTCATCCAGGCTGTTCGGGAGTGGATATGCCACCAACCACAAGGCTTTTCGAAAAGAGCATCAGGATGCTTCTGGAACGTTGGAAAAAATGTGTTGACTCCAGAGGAGAGTACGTTGAAGGCTGACATGTGCAAGTAAGTGTTTGGCAATTATGTTAAAACAAAATCAGTCCTGGTCATTTGTGAACCACCTTGTACAAAAAGAATAACCAAATCACATAATGCATATTCTGAAACTGTATAATCACAACAAATTTTATGTTTTTCCCAAGGACCAAGATTCAATCAAGGTCTTCTTATGTATGACTAATAGTTTTCATAGTGAAGGAGAAGAATTTTAATACCCCTCGGAGTGCTAGAATTTTCTGCCCAAATGAAACAAAACTAGAAAACCTAAAGTGAAGTCAGTGAAGTATGTTTCATACTGAAGGATGAATACGGACATTTTTCTTGATGCAATTACTCAAGTCTCATTTCCTTGAATCTGATGCTTTAGCCTTATGGACTGTCTAAATTCAATACAACTTTTATTTTCAACATAAGAATATCACACACTATTGCAAATATATAAAAAATCAGAATACACTACAGAATGACTCACCAAATATGCCAGCCTAGAGCCATAAGCAAAAATGACTATTAGCTTGAGTTTTCATAGATTTTCTCCAAAAAATATATGAAAATCTGTAAACAACAAATAATGAAACAAAAAATACATACAAATTATATATACATCAGTTAATACAACTCAATAAACTTAATATACACATTGCAACATAACATAAAAAACTTAAAACAACCAAAATATAAAGTACAATAAAGTATGTACATTTATGTTCTGTTTATCCCTGAGTTATTCACCTTAATTCAGAAGTGCTGTCTTTTTACCTATCTAATTCACACATTTTGTTTTTTGCACAAGGCTGTGTGGGTGATAACAGTGTGACACAGGATTTAAAGCCCATAAGGCATATGCAGAATCATTTGGAACTAAAACTGCACTTTCTTCCTGGGTACAACTCACAACAAGGAGTTCATAAATGTGCTTTGAACATCACTGTTCAAAGAAACAGTGTACAGATAAATTCAGCTCCATGCACAGATATAGTACTAATACATGTGAACCATCCCACCAATGGTATCTCAACCTTATCGTGGTGGTGGGGTTTGAGAGCTCCTGAGACCCTGAGAGCTATGCAGGTGGTAGCGTAGCTACTGGTAGGGACACCCATGCTGGACAGGCCAAGGGGTAGGAGCCAGACAGAGAGGGATACCCTGGTCCTCCAGGTTGGGGGTTGGGCATGAAGCTAACAACCGCACACCGTAAAAACTAAATTGTTCAGAAATCCGTGGAAAGAGTAGCCAGACGGACCTATTCAAGATGACCTGGAAAATGTTTAAAGGATTTGAGAATTGGATCTTTGAATGTGTTATCTCTTTACAGAGCCGGAGCACTAAAACAGCTACTTGAACAACTAGATAGCTATAAACTAGACATCACTGCTTTACAAGAACTGAGGTGACTGGGTAAAGGAGTCATGGAAAAGAGGGATCATGTTGTATTCTACAGCTGTCAGAAGAAGAGTCACAGGTTTGGAACAGGTTTTCTTGTTAATAAAAAATGAAGCATCTTATTTTAGACTTCCAGGCAAAATCTCACAGAACATGTAGGCTATGAATTAAGGGAAAGTTTTTTACCTATAGCCTTATTTGTGCATATGCCCCAATTGAAGATAAAAGTGATGAGGAGAAAGACTCCTTTTATGATCAATTGGATGAAATATATGGTGAATGTCCAAAAAGAGATTGTTAAATAATTACGGGACATGAATGCTAAAGTGGGGAATGAGGATGTATATAGATCGCTTATTGGAAAACATAGCCTACATAACAAGTCAAACGATAATGGGATGAGATTAATAAATGCTGTTTCCTCAAGAAACATGGTAATAGGTAGTACAATGTTTCATCACAAGGATATACATAATTGAACCTGGAAATCCCCTGATGGAAATGTGTTTAACCAAACTGATCACATCCTAAGAGATGTAAGACATTGTTCAGACTTGATGGATGCCACGAGCTACAGGGGGACCAACACTGACTCTGATCATTGCTTAATAATATCAACGATTAGAAGTCGAATATCTAATGCAAGGAAGATACATGGATCCCAGGCTAAGAAACTAATTGTGGAAAATTGGTGGAACAAGGAGTTGCAACCAGATATACTGTATTAATTAGTGAATGCCTGGCTGGTCTCTCTGATAGTGAGGATGTCAGTGAAGCTTGGAGGGGCCTCAGAGATGTTATTATAAATGCTGCTGATGCAGTTTTAGGAAGAATGGAAAGGATAAAGTATAAGAATTGGTTTGATGGAGAGAGTGAGCAAGTGACATATAAAAAAAACAGGCATATAAGAGAATGCAGCAAAGGAACCATACTCGAGGGGTTGTAGAAGAAAAACGTGAAGTGAGAAGAAAAGAAAAAAAGATTGCATAAAAAGAAGAAAAGGGGATATGATAAACATGAACTGATTGAACTGGAGCATTTAAGAAGTTCAAACGAAATTAGAGCGTTTTATCAAAAACTAAACAAGAGTCGAAAGGACTTTCAACCTAGAACAACCTTATGTAGAGATAAAGAAGGCACGATACTGAGTAGCGATCATGCAATATTGGAAAGATGTGGGAAATATTTTGAGGAATTATTAAATGGTAATGCCTCTGAACAAGTGGAAGGTATGACCACAGACTGTAATCAAGGAATTTTTAAGGCTGAAGAGCCAGCGCCGACCATAAAAGAAGTAAAACAAGCTATCAAAAAATTGAAAAATAATAAAGCTCCAGGAATGGATCTCATCACGGCAGAATTAGTGAAATTTGCAGGCCAAGAATATGCTAAGCACTTACACCAGCTAACAGTTAAGATATGGATAACTGAAATAATCCCAGAGGAATGGAACCTAAGTACTGTTTGGCCTATCCATAAGAAAGGCGATGTCATGGTATGCTCTGACTATGGAGGAATTAGTCTGTTGTGCATAGCGTATAAAATGTTTTCCAGCATTATATTTAACAGACTCTCTCCCTCTGTGGAAGGCATAATTTGGGATTACCAATGTGGGTTTCGTAAAGGAAGATCAACTAACGATCAGATTTTCACTATTTGCCAGGTCCTTGAAAAGTGTAATGAATTCCAAATTGAAACCCATCATCTTTTCATTGACTTCTGATCAGCCTATGACTCCATAGACAGAGATAGTATTTTTCTGGTAATGGAAGAGATGCACATTCCACGAAGTTAATCGCCTTAGTCAGAGCCACTATGAGAAGGACCCAATGCCAAATTAAGATTCAGAATATGTTGTCCAGCCCTATAATAACTAGAAATGGAGTTTGAGAAGGGGATTCCCTAGCCTACCTTTTGTTCAATATAGCATTAGAGAAGGTAGTTAGAGATGCAGGCATCAACACAAGGGGAACTATATTCTAAAAGTCAGTTCAAATTTTGGCATTTGCAGATGATATTGATATAATTGGTAGAACACAAAATCTATGAAAAAGCTTTTCTTAATTTGGAAAGAGCAGCAAAAAATATGAATCTACAAATTAACCAAAATAAAACAAAGTATATGCCGGTAACCAAGAAAGACTGTGCTAATTGATTTGCATATATTGAAATTGGCTCACATAAATTTGAGGCTGTATGTAGTTTCACTTACCTTGGATCAGAAGTTAACTGTAAAAATATCAGTGATGAAATAAAAAAGCGTGTATTTGTGGCAAATAAATGTCTCCATGGCCTTAGGAAACACCTGAAATCCCAATTAATACCCAGGAAAACCAAAACTATGATGTATAAAGTACTTATAAGATCAGTGCTATCTTACGCCTCTGAGACCTGGCCACTGTCAAGATCGGATGATTGACTGTTAACTATACTTTTAAGGAGGATCTTGGGATATATCTTTGGGCCAGTGGAAGAAAATGGAATATGGAGGAAGAGGTATAACCATGAGCTATACAAACTATTTAAAGAACCAGACATTATTGGATTTATAAAGGTGAAAAGGCCTGAATGGGCTGGACACATAATATGTGCCAGTGAGACTAGAACAATTAAGAAAATACTTAATACTAAACCAGAAGGAAATAAGAGAATGGGAAGACCAAGATTAAGATTGGAAGAATGTGTGTGGCAGGACATAAGAATTTTGGAAGTAAAGAACTGGAGGAATACAGCATTGAATGGAGAAGAATTGCAAGCAATCCTGAGGCAGGCCAGGGCTCACAAAGGGCTGTCGTGCCAGTGATGATGATGGTGATGATGATGATGATGATGATATGTGGATCAATGATGTACAGTTTTGATGCTGACAGCAACATCAGATAACCAACTTAAAAGTATAAAGAATATATGGAATGGCATTTGACTGCACTGCCAGGACTAAAATGACTGTTGAATGATATATCATTAGAGTTAGTATTTGTTAACAAAATAAATCTTCCACTACCTGGACTAGGTGATGAAAGAAATAACACATTCTAAATCACTGGCTACATAATATCCATAATATCAGACACCTACGGTTATATTTTCTTAATTGAAAGCGGTTGGGATCAAGCAATACAAATTTCAAATTTTGCCACTTTCACCATGAGCTTGGTCACTGAGCATAAACTTTCACACTAAAGTCCATCTACAAACTGTGTCCATGACTTATTTAGGCAACCTTACTGGAAAAAAAAAAATGCCAGTGTAAGTATGTTTGAACTTCCCATCAGCATATGAATGCCAGCATTATCATGTAACTCTTTACATCAGTAACTGATGATGTGCATCCTTATCCACAGTACATGAAGTATAGTTATGTCAAGATTGTACTGGAGTGGTAATAAGGACTGAAAGAAACTTAAGTTTCTCTATGTGAAAATCCAAAATTTCCTTTGAATATTTATGGCCTTAATATCACTGATCATGCCACATCAATATTTATGAAAATATGAGTCAAATTTTTTGTTTCAGACTCCTTACTTGTATTGGAAACAAACTTTTATGCTGTATCCAGAACTTTGCAACAATATCATCCAAATCTGCACATCTTATTATGGGGATTCAATACTGACAATTCCCTGAAGGCTGCCTTCACTTCTTTATCATGCCTACAAATTCATTCCAAAAATGACAGAAAATAGAACTCTGAAAGTATATCCAGCCAAAAAGAGACGTTCTAGTCCGCCCTTTCACCAAAAATTGAATTTAAATTCTATGTTGTAATCATAATATTACTGTAATACACCTCACATTTTAATCCCTGTCTTCAAATCCAGCTCCTAATACATATAACAAATCTTGCATACCTCCACTGAGTTTCCATATAGAAAATAAAATCACTCATTACAAAAATTAAGAATGTTTTCAGACCTTTCAATATCCTGTTGTAGTTGTAAATGAAGGTGCTCCCTTAACTTTCGCCACTCCAAGTTTTGTTTCCTCTGGAAGGCTAAACTGAGAGATGTCCTAGAGACAGCCTCTCCTGCCATGAGGCATGACTCCTTCAGTCCGAATCACTCCCTGCAACCTGAAACAGAATACATACATAACACAGAAGAAATATGTCAGCTCCACTCATGTTTACAAGAAACAAAAAACATCTTACTTGACACTGTCATTAGATAAAACTAGCTGTACCTGGTGTAACATACATATGCCACTCCAGTAGATATTATAGGTTTTTAACTAAATATCAATGCATTTCATTTATTAAATCATATATTCAACTTCAGCTGATGCATTTGTTTATGACTCAACAAATAGGTTAACTTGTTGTAGCATCTTGTCCAACTGTGGCATTACATAGTCCATGCATCTTTGGTTTGACTGATTTTCAAACTGTTTTATTGTTGCTTCAGAAGAATCAAAAATAGTAATCCACATCCCAGCATATATATCTCGTATGGATATGTAATGCATTAGGGAAACGAAATCAAAGGCATGTGGATGATCTATAACACCTGGATTTCATGACCCTTTCGCAAGCAACAGAATGACATTAAATAATGCGCTACATAATTTCACTACAGAGTTCTACTTCGCAGACACATACTTACTCAAATGTTCATGAAATTCTGTCTTTTATGCACCCCTACCATGATCACATAAACCGGCCACTGGGCCCTATCATGAGCCACCTGAACACAGTCCACACCCTAATGTTCTACTTCAATTTTACTACTATAAAAAAAAATACAACACGGCTGATACACAACTTGGAGAGTTAACGTAACACAGAGTTACGCAGTGGTCCTCGACTGTCACCTTTACCACCAATAATGTAGACTGTTCAAAGTTTATTTTCACTCATCATAGTCTATACCATACCACTTCGTTGGCTGTCATACGACCGCACATTAAATACCAATAACCTTTTCAGTAAATCAATGATGGAAAGTAGGGTAATTTTTGGCCCTCTGCTAACGAACGGTGCACAAAATACATCCACATCCGTACACAGTGCACTGCTACAGCTTTATTATTAACTGTAGATGATCATTCATTTACGCCATATATAAATCAACAATTGCATTTAAGTGTTTCCGTTGTTATACACAGGAACGTTAGTATTTTGTGTGGCTTCTGACTTTATTATTACTGTGCATCCAACTCGATACTGCGTATCACTGTATTTATCGCCAGGGCTATCAAATAATTAAACACACGACAAACTAAGCAAGTGTCACAGTAAAATCAGTATTACAGAAATACAGAGTACACGCATGTAACAAATGTATAATACAAACCTAAATTAACCACCATACATTAATATAACGCACAGCAACATTACCTCTCGAGCACAACACAAACGTCAAAACGAAAGTATTTTACTCTACCATCCACTGTCCATCACCTGCCCATTGCTGCACCTCTTCTAAGCAGACGGACATTTGGACTTTCATACCTATAACAGGCTAGCCAATATACAATTCCAGAATGGAAATACCTAATAGAGATTATAAGTTTTCTCATCACCTGAACAGAATTATTTCGAAACGCATCCTTGGACGCATGCTCGAAATCTAAGCGCAATAGTATTATTATCAGGGCCAGGATTTTGATGACATGTCATCTTTTTTTCTTTGTAATCGATGCGATGCTCTTAAATATATAAATATCGGATATGAGCTGCGGGTTACAGAAATGTAAATTTTATAGGTAATTTTTTCTCATTTTTTGACATTTTTAGGTTTAAGGTCATTTCTTCATTTTGGGGGTAATTTTTTTTTTTTTTAAGGGTATTTCTTGTTATTTTTTTTGGCCATTTTAGGGAATTTTTCTTCATATGTATTCTGAAATGTGAATAACATAGAAGCAAATTGTTCTCACTATTCTCCTTTAGGTCATCTTTCTGGATTTTTTCGGTCATTTTTTTTTATTATTTTCAGGTAATTAAAATCCGGGCCCTGCATATTACATTTTTGGGTCATATTTTAGGTATTTTTAAAATATTTTTAGGTCATTAGAATCCGGGACCAGATTATTATTAATAGCTTGTGTTTTTCTTGTGTTGTATTAATCTACTTCTGAGTTTCATGTTCCTGGTCTTCCTGGCCGTGTGACAGAAATAACGGAGTAAGATGACAGTATTATAACGCCGGGCTGTTCTCGAACGCCGAGAAATCCATTCGCATACAAATAAATATGAAACTTGTCAAATCGTAATGGGTCTTCCATTAGGTTTGAATCATATGAAGTTTACCACCGGGTAAGATATCAGAATAATACTAACAGAATGGAAGTAATGCAGCTTACTTTCCTAATGTACACGCACACTTCCAGCCCCTCAAGCCTTCCCTTTTGGGAAATGTTAGCCTTTGTGTTCCTCCCAGCAATCTTAGGGACTTCTCATTGTTTGGTGTTTGTCCATGTAATAAACACTGTCCTGCTCGGTACGTGTATGCTGCAAACGCGGTGGGTAAAGATCTCGATATATTTGCAATCGGAACAGTTTCTGTCAATCACATTGAAACTAAAACTGTTAATAATATTTATTAATACTCTTAATATTAAAGTGTGTGTATGTATGTATGTATATTGGTCTTATTTTATTTTTCCCTCCTGTTAACGTGAACTTTAATTTTTCTTGGAATTATTATTAATTTATTGCCATTATATAGACTCTCAAATTTTGTATTTTGTTTTTGTGTATTTCAGTGTACTCATGCTAACCTTGTAATTGGCCACTGTGATGTTAAGTTTGCACATAAATAAACATGAATTGAATTGAATTTCGTTATTAATATTATTAGCATTATTAGCTTGAATGTGGGCAGTTCCCACAGCATTATTACTGATATTATTATTATTCCGAAGAGGGGTGAAGTGACAGGAGGTTGGAGAAAACTGCATAATGAGGAGCATCATAACTTGTACTCATCTCCAAGTATAATTAGAATGATCAAGTCAAAGAGGATGAGGTGGGCAGGTCATGTAGGAGGAATGGGGGAGAAAAGGAATGCATATAGGATATTAGTGGGAAAGCCAGAAGGAAAGAGATCAGTGGGAAGAACAAGACATAGGTGGGTGGACAATATTAAAATGGATCTTAGAGAGATAGTACAGGATGATATGGATTGCATTGATCTCGCTCAGGATATGGTTCAGTGGAGGGCTCTTGTGAACATGGTAATGAACGTTCGTGTTCCATAAAATGCTTGGAAATTCTTGAGTAGCTGCAGATTTGGTGGCTCCTCAAGAAGGGCTAAGCTCTGTAAGTAAGTAAGTAGGTGTAGAAAGTTCAATGTTGTGCATTTCAAAATTGATACAATTAAAATGAATTTGATGGTGGAAGTCTCCATGGTTTTTTTCATGTAACGTTCTTATCCTGTGACACATTTCTGCTACATCATCTTCAAAGTAAGAGTTTATTCACATATTAAACACTAGATGGTATCACACTTTTGTGACTTCATGCCACATGACCACACAACATCATAACAGTTTGGCATTATCTTTGCACGATCGGCGTGTATTCACAAACTGAGTTCATGCAAAACAAAAAGGATACCATGAAGAAAAAATGACGAAAGTCTGGCAGTGGACAGTAATGTTGTTTTACTTTGTGTTTTTGCCAGCTATCTGGTGAGCACTTCATATGTCAACAGTAAGCTGGAATTTAGTCAATAAGTAACATTTTTTGGGTAAATGAAGCAGTTAAGGAATAGTACCCGTAGTTTACCTTCACAGATGCTTCCAGAAGGATGACAGTGTTTGGGAAAATGAAAGTGGCTGTGTCAGAGTGCAATCCTTCTGCATTAAAATGAAGTGAATACTATTGGAAATGGTATCCAGAACTTCACATAGGTACTTGTGACTTACTGCTCTACCATGTTATACATCTTTCTGACTGCCACTGAGATATATATGGGTGTAAAACTGAGGTCAAAATAATGGGAATTATTGTAGGGTTGTGTGAACAGATGAACTAATAGCTGTAAAAGAGGACGTCCTTTCGAGAAATCATAGAAATGTCATTACAACTTACAACTGGAACACTGTGGTTCAGTGGGTCAGATTATTGCCTTGTATTTTGGAGCACACATGTTCAAATCCTAGCCTGGGGACCAGCTATCCTGACAAGTTATGAGTGGTTTCCCTCAGTCCCTCCACATACATACTAGGATGGTATCTCAAACTGGGCCTTGTGCGTCTTCCCACATTCTTCCCAATCCTTTTATTCACTTATCATATCATTAATGACATATGATTTGAGCTACTGAAATCAGTGTTATATAAACCATAAATAAATAAATACTAGTGTAACACTTATTGAGAATTCAATGGGTAGTCTCATAATTTGTTATATAAACTTTTGTACTATTAGCTTCCCCTTTCTCCCATATTTGTTTCCAGTCCAATATTACTGAACGATGCTTTGAGGCCAATGTGTGATATTATCTGTGATGAGAAACCAGCACGAATAGTCAATTGTAATCTGTCTCCTCTATATCAGTACACTACGTTTCACATACCTACATCAAAATATTACCAATAGTCACAGAACAGACATGACAGACCAAAACAAATGACTGCTCACTTGATCATGACCTACTACATAACTGTTGTTCATGCAAAATGTTAACACTTGATAATGTGTTGCTATGGAGACTTGAAATTGCACAACTGAAAGATAAATCTCATGTTTACAAGAAGTTTCTACGCATGCATGCACACAGAGAGAAATTAAAATACAATTTACGGTGGTTTGGAAGCAGCAATCTTCATCTTGTGTGTCTGAGAATGTAAAGGATACTTAAATTAACAGGGATGCTACTGCTGGATCTGCCTCTTACATTTCAATGGATCCAGTTTTCAGGCAAGGAAAAGAAGTGAATAGGAAAATGACCATAAACATTCCAGCTTGAAGTGAAAGATGGTTTATTTAGCTACCCCTTGCACTGAATACACATTCCTTACAACTATAGCATGAAACACTGTTACTGCACCTAGTAGTTTAAATACAACAGACTAACATACATGTATGAAATAGTCTTTCTGGAAATGATGCAAGAAATTTATCGTCCATTCACACAATTTGTGGAGTAGCCTCATTGCACAAGGTATGACAGAACTTGTGCTTTGACACATTAACTAGTGCACTCAGGACAAGGGGGTTGACAAAATCCGCAGCACGCATCTAAGACTGTAATTTTTTAAAATAAATTTTGAAACTGTACAGGCAAAAATACAAGACAAATGCCATTAGTACTGGCACAAAAAGAAATTTTCTTTTTAACCCTCCAAATTGAAATCTACTGACAAATAGGTGATAAAAGTTGAAATAGCTTCCTCTTTTCTTTCTTTTTTATTTCTTCAACAATACTCTTTTGTTATACTAACTTGAAAATGATGGGCTTCTCAAGAATGACATCTGAGACATAAATAAATCTGACACAAAGTAGTGTACCCCGCTATGCTCCTACTACAAACCCCATGACAAAATGATTTAAATAAAAAAAATCTATACCAAAATACATATTTATGTATTGTATTCTGTATGTATGTACATTGCTGAACATCATCCCTGCAGGGCACATCCACACATCTGAAACACATTTAGGAATTCAGCAAGAATCTTGAGAAGCCCATTCAATAATAATTATTTTAGTAATATGTACAAAAAGCTATCTGAGCCATGAAATTTTGTCATTTCCCAACCAACGTTAGGAGTATCAGTCTTGGCCTAGGAATGACACCCCCAAATCATCAGTTTGCAAGTGACAATACAACATGAATCAGCACTGGAAATTAAACCACTTAATGTGCAAAATAAAGGAATATTTTACATTCTTTGCTTACTCCCAAGTCCCTTCTTCCGTCATTGTACTACAGCACAGGGCTGTAGCAACTCGTCTTGAAATCGTATTTCATAACAAAAATTTATCTTGGAGATCTGTAAGCTATTAAATTATTCATCTTTTTGTAAAGGAACATGGCATCCACATAGAAGTGTTCACTGCCACTGATGTCTGTAACCTATGAAAGGTACACGATGCTTAAATACATGATCCTAATTCCTTTACAAAAAATAATTAAAATGCTGGCCCACCCCACTTTGCCAATACAGTAAACACATAAAGAGCAAGAATGACACGCACTGCAGTCAGTTTCAGATCAACACAGTGACTCCAAATACCACTTTCCCTGCAAGAACAACAAATAACTATGCAGTAGTTAGGAGGTGTATATGCTGAGGGGATGTCACTCCTCACCACTGCATCTTCACATACCAAATAACTTCCTGGCCCTCCCACTCACTCATTCGATTGCTCAGTTCCAACACATACTGCTATCATGTGCTTGAATCCTAGCACTATGAATCATCAGACATAAAGGAATTTTGGGATTTCAATTCTTCTAACGTCTTGATTTGTTGGCGTAGAAAAAGTATCCTGAAACACACGATCAAATTAGATTTGTAAGATTTCAGAAATATGTGTATTACTGAGAATGTTACATACAAACTAGTGCATTTATTAAATATAAAATTATATCACCTCTGTTCCTGTAAAGTTGCTTGAATTTCAGTTAACCTAACAATTGATCGTGCTGTCTTCAAATCAGCAGACACCCGAGTACACTGGAGGCTTCCCATTGTATGACCCTCCTCACTCAATTTCTGGGCCTGAAATGTTATACGCAACAAAAATTAAAATCTCAACCCCAATTGATCAATAAAGAATGCCAACTCAGAAGGAAGCAGGATTCAACATGCTTAATTTTTCATAAACTTCAGTCACAGTGTAAAGTTACAAGTGTTTTCACTGCTTCATGGAGTTCTTACTCAAGCAAGCATGGGCACACATGCACACACATATTCTACAATTCAGGCAATATGTTCTCAGTATGTTTGCTAAATACTGATATCTAAATTGTGTGTCATAAATGACAAAACAGCTTTAAGATATATAACAACCAGTCAAAATCCAGTGAACATAACTATGGAAATGTTTCCAAAAGTGTTACCTGTATCTATTGCCAATGTTAAGAATGCATTCAGCTAAATGTCCAATTTCCCATAATTCTTCATAGTATGGGGCTTGATTGTTAACATGAGTTGCAGCTTAAGACTTTGATGAAAGCTTTATAAATAATCTTACAGTTTTCCTTCTACAGCTGATGAACGGGTGCAATGCCTTTAGCATGGGTATGGAATAATCAACATATTATCTGCCTAACCTATATGTATGATATATCATGAGAGACAATCTGTAAAACTGGAATCTGCCATGGTTTTCTAAGTCCTTACCAGGATATAAAACAATATGCTCCAAGGCATACCTGTTTCTCTAAGGTGTCTGCAGGCCAGCCACGTACGTGATTTACAAGGTCATCTCGGTAGTGGTTGGCCAAAGTGGGAGTGAGATGTGGACCTTGTGGACGCAGCGCGTGAAGCGAGCTACAACTACCAACTCCAGCTTGGGCAAGGTTCTGCAGTGAACTCAAATTGCTGGGTGGGCTTGACACTGGAAAAGAATCATTCCATACAAAATTAGCTGTCAGAAATTATTTAGATGATCTTGAACTTCCCACATAAATAATAAAGTTTACAAGTAACCAAGACTATCAAACAATTTGATTTGTTTCATTCTAGTCCATCACACTAACAATATTATAAAAGATATAAAACAAAAACAACACAGCACGCCACGAACAACCACAGGATGACATCAAAGAACCTCCCTCTCAAGAAAGACAGGTGGCACAAGTTTGGCCCCTGTCAAGAGAGGTGATAAGAGAGAGGACACGAACCTATTTGGTTTATAAATTCTAACTTAAATAATAAAAGTTTAAATTTTTAATATATCAAGAAAGCTGCTGTAGTTGTGAAAACTTTGGATTTTGTATCCATTTGTGTATTGTCAACATTGTATGTATGTATATTTTAACATTCAGAACACCTAGTGTAATAGTGGTTTCCAAACTGTATCGATATCCCTCTGATGATGGACTCTAAGGACCCAAACATGTAAGGGCATGAAGAATTGAAATAAGAAAAACTTCACCAGTCACACTGGACGGAATTGTTTTATTTTTTATAATTATCAAATAAGTTCCACGTGCTTAGTATGGCATATGGAAACTACTCACCTTCAAAAATGTTTGTGTTAAGCTCCAAGTTGTATAATGGGAGAATTTTGTTTGGATGTTGTGTATTCTCTGGCCATGAAAGATATACCATATAAACCAAAATATAAGGTGACCCTCTATTTTCCCCGATAGTAAAATCAGGAAAAAAAAAAGCTTTTTAACAAAAGAAGTAAAATTGGTACCATTAAGAAACAATAAAGTCTTTTTCAAGGGCTTGTCTATCTAAACTGGTGTAGAATCAAGTAGTATCTATCCTGTAAAGCCCATTAGATAAAATGGTGTAAAAAGATTAACAGTGTATGATGAATGTGACTTGTCTTCCATGTTTCAAAATTGTATAAATCATGGCCACTGAAAATTTTTGGGTCAATTTATTTTGACAAATAAGCTGCTTCCCACATCATAGAAACCTCTCAACTGCTCCCTAGGAGAACAGAGACAAACTTCCTTCACAGAAATTCTGTACCAGGGTTTTTCAACCAGGCCACTAGGCCTACTGTATACTACTCTTATTAGCACCTCATTCCTCTGTACACACATTGTTCAGTTTATCTTTCCTACTCCTTTTCCCCCAATTGTGCTCCTGTTAATGTTTTGTCTTTTTTCTCATTCACACTATACTCCAATAGGCTAAGTACCTCCCATTTCTTTACTGTCCCTCCTGATTTCCCACTACTCTTTCCACTTTTTCTATTCTTCGAAAATAATTTTTTATGGCCCCTACATTCTCTTATGGTTCTCCTTAACCCTACAAGTCTGCTTAGGGCCACAGTCCTGACCCTCCCTTTCCCTACATCTGTACTTTTTCCATGCTCAGCTTCCACTTGTACCCTGAAGATGGGAGGCTCCTCCTCCACACATCAGTAAACATCTGCCTGACTACATGGTGTGAAATCCCAGTCACTGTCAGTCAAATCTCTCATAGATATTAAAGTTGCTGGATAATTTTCCTGAATTCAGCATGACTAATGGGGATGCAGTGTATATTCCATGAGATGGGAAATGAATTCTTAAATGTTATTTATATTAGTTTCATGCTTCAGAGACTTAAAATATGACATGGAACAAAATTAAAACCTGTGGGTATCCTACTTACATTTTCTTGCATCCACGCAGTCCTGACTTTCTGAGTGTGTTGGTGTGGGAGGGCCCTCTCCTATTGATGTGTTGTTAGTTGTGTCCACTTTCAGCGGTTGCAATGGTTGGGAAGGATGTTGGTTATTAAGACCAGTACTCCCTCCTCCTCCCCCTGTTCCTACAGTTCCTGGTTCAAGGGACACCTGTCTTGAAAGAAGCAGGGCTGTCTGATTGGTCTGTAGGGCTTTCTGAGGGGATAATTCTGGCTGTTCCAGATTCTTGGCACCCGTAATCTGAGAAAGCAGACGTGATAAGTTGGCCAGGGACACAGGAGGGCCTGTTGCAGCTACAGAACCCTGAAGTGGTGCAGGGACCATGGAAGGAGTTGAAGATGCTGAGGACTGTTGGACAGGCGATGGGATTTGCTGAGTACTGGACTTACCAGATGGCTGGTATAGGTTCCTGCCTGGAGCTAAGGAAGCAGTGCTAGTGGGAGTGGAGATGTGAGGATGAGATATTAGATGTGGAAGGGCATTTGCAAGCAACACTGGTCCCGTTGTGTTGGATTTGTGATGCTCTGACACCTGAGCTTGTGTCTGCTGCTGCTGCTGTGCTTGTGGCTGAGTTTGGGGTGCTGGCTGCTGCTGTTGGTGGGATGTTCCTCTGCTGGTGGGTGTGTGTGTATATGATGTTTCTGATGTTGGCGTGCTGTCACCTGGGGAGATGTCCATGTCTTGTGCCTGAGACTCTCCTGCCAAACAAAGACAGCACAAATTTCTCTACTAGAGGCATGATTAACCTCCACATCTTTACCAGCATGTAACAGCAGTTAATTTAACATACTAACCAACAAAGTAAAGGAAAAACACAATAATAGTAATTCATTCTGCTCAATGAAATGTGACTTACATTACCTTATTTTAGCATTCAACTCTGCCTTTAGTATAAGCACTCCAGTAACAACTAAAATATTGTGACATGTTGCGCAAAGGAGAACCCCCCCCCCATCAGCAGTGACGCGGCGGGTGAGTCAGCGCTCCCCTCCCCCTCCTCCGCACGGTAACGTAACGGTGATGCAACCGGATTGTTACGGTAGTAACAGCGGTTACTACCGCTAGCGTTACTAGCAACATGGCGCCAGGTAACAAGGGTGCCTATTACGTGGCCGTTTTCCATATTGTCCGATCAAGGCTACATAAGGAGCAGCGAAGGCTATTCACAGTGAGTTGTACTGAGTCAGTCAGTCCTGGAGCTACCTACGAGTCAGTCCTCGAGCTACCTCCAAGTTAGTTCCGAGTTAGCCAGCAACCAGTCAGTTGTATTGTGGCATTTGGAGTGTACTATTTGTGATACTGCAGATAGCAGTAATCGTAAATCTGTAATTTGGGTGATTGTAAGTGCGAATGTGAAATAAAATTCCCTACATCAAATACAGCGTGAAGTTATTTGTCGCGATATACGCCCGATACGCGACAATATCATATAAAACTTGAAATTTTCACAGCAACTAAATGTGATAAAATGTTGGGTACAGCCAAGCCAAGGCACGTGGACTGCCTAGTGAAGGAGGGCCATTGAGAACCAGCTTCAGGCCAATAATTTATATAGAAATAATGGTTTCATTTAAAGATGGATGTGGTATACTCCCATCAACATGTATCCTCCATCACTTAACAGTACATGTATACAACAGAATGTAGCAATAGGTAGGCCGCATGCCAGCATGTGTCAAGACATGATGTCTGTGACGTGACACAAAGAAAGGAGCACAATTGAAATAAATGAGATTATGAAAACTGCCGCACACAACGGTCTGAGTCATGTCACAGACATCATGTCTTGATGCAGGCCAGTGTGTGGCCTACCTATTGCTACATTCTGTTGTATATATGTACTATTAAGCGATGCAAGATACTGGCCTGAGTCATGATGCTGACGTCATGACTCAGACAGTTGTGTATGGCAGTTTTCATTTGTTTGAACTGTGCTCCTTTCTTTGCGTCATGTCACAGACATCATGTCCTGACTGTTACATGTCTTGATACATGCCGGTGTGCAGCCCACCATATGCAGATATGCATCTTATCGAGCTGGCTATCCACACAGACGTCATGAATATGTCATCCAATGTTAACAGCTTTCAAGTCAATAGTGAATATGTGGTGTGAACATTTTCACCTACAAATTTAATGAACTGTTCTGCACAAAATGTCACCTGTCATTCAATCATCATCATTCATTAATGTGCCAGTTACTACAAAATAATCTACATTCTTTTCAATGTCATTGTGTGAATCTAATAAATGTTCCATACTACTAATATCTAAACTTTTTGTCAGCTGTTGCTTTGACAGCACAGCTGATCTCTTCATACTTCTAGTGAGCATTAGAGTATCGGCTGGGGATCTAAATGATTTATTAGATCTCAAGATAGTCTTACAGTCAGTATATAAAAGCAAGCAAACATAATGAAATGTTCTTTTCTTGAATGAATAAACAATCTGACCAGACCTGTGATGACTTTCAAAAAGAAGGCAAAAAATGTGATGACAGCATTAAACAATTTCTTGATCCATTTACAAATCCCCCCCCCTCTCCCAACATACGCATAGAATATGAGAAGGATCAATTAGTTCTGACATAGAGCTCTTTGATTCCTTCCAAATATCTCTACCTCTCAGTCAGATTCCTCAATCAATGGAGTACTAAAGTGTTCAGTGATGAGACAGAAAACTGCAGTAAAGAATGGCGGGTAATTTAATTTGCCATACTAGGATTTCTAATGGTATAAATACAACAAAAAGTTCAGATCTTCATTTTTCAGTGCTTACCAGACTTAAAAATTAGTTATGCAGAAGCTGCCTCAAGATAATGTAGTTTTAATGACATTTGGAATAAGAGGGGCTGTGATATATGATATGCAGGCCTGACATGACTAATCAGCAATCTTACCATCAAGATGTTTTCTCCGATCATGCACATCAGTCTCATCCCGGCTGCTGCTGGACTGGCTGTTCCAGTACACATCCCTTTTGTCTGTCTGGCGTGAAGATGCTGACTTTGGTGCGGGATCCCTCGAATTACTTATTGAGGGCCGAGAGTTGGAATGTTTATCATGTGCTATAAAAATATACCAGCAGGCTGTAATAGAAGTGAAATCAACAACCCTCTATGTACATTACTAAATATTAAACGTTTTTCACTTACAGGAACGACTGGAACTGCTGCTATAGTTTCTATCAACTTCCCTGTCTCTGGCCTTATCTCTAATGCGCTCACGTTCCATCCACTCCTGAGGTTTCTCCCATTGTGACACCTCTGTCTTGCAATTGTAATAGTACTTCTTCCCTGATGAACTGATGTGTTCTGACCAGTCTCCCACCCGAGCAATACGGTCCCTTTCCTCGCGTTTTTCCTGCAAAATTATATCATGACATTTCATTTCTCAAGCTTACTTCCAATGTCTAGGAAATTACAGCCTTAGCATTAAATATATTTAAGGATAGTATAAATTCCCCCAGAAGTACAGTATGCGCCAAAATAAAACAGTACTGAAAATGAAAAGACTTCCTGTTGATACCACTGTCTGCTCATGTGAAGGGCCCTTACATGACAGAACCTCTTTCCTTTTTGATGCTAGTGGGGTGGGACTAAGTCCCTTGTACTGCGGCCACTTCTGGCCTATTGTACCAGCCCAAGATGATAGGTGAGGGTGACTGTGGAGCAATTGGTGGAATGAAGATTGGCAGGGGAAACCAAAGTACTCCGAGAAAACCTGGCCCAGCGCCACTTTGTCCACCACAAATCCCATTTGATCAGACCCGGGATCCAACCCAGGCCACTGTGGTGGAAAGCCAGCGACTAACCGCTTGAGCTATGGCACGGTCAACAGAACCTTCTCAAATCCTGAAGAAATGGTGTGATCACTATGTCCCTGTAGCATTGTTGGGTGACGGTAAGAGCATTGCCATCCTCATCCTCAATGAAATAGGGGCCTAATATACCGTGTGCTGAGATGGCACACCATATGTTCACACGTGTACTATGTAGCAGTTTCTGGATGATAACATCTGGCAGCTCAAAACCAAGGAAGCAAGTTGTTTGGCAACCACTTCCGTATGAGCGGAAATAATACTCAATTATGAATACTTTTCCCTCCATCGAGAGACCCATTTCCAACAACTGCACAACACAACTTCCTTTTCACTAGTGGGAACATGTGTGGCTGGAGCTATGCCCCATCGACAAACGCACATGTGCGTTCAAGATGCGCAAGTTTAAGTGCTGCATATTTTGGCACATACTGTATTTCTATCACTGCAGCTATATTAATAATATCTATAACAGGATTCATGGAAAGAACTTTTGATTTCCACTTTCCTTTAAATGCCAGGGACAATGACATCTCTTCACCAATGACACTTGTACAGCCATTTTTGAACATGTCAAGCCATGCGTACACCTTCCACTGTGTCAAAACAGTGTTACCATACTGAGTTTGTAGTTTTCAGTAAATTTCTACAACACATAAACCTGCAGCCCACAGAAGTCGAATCACTGCATGCAACAATTCTTTGGTGCATGTGGTAAGCAGAGTGGCCAAGCTGATGCCACTGTGGCAAAAGACAAGTGAACAATAAAAGTGAAATTAAGTAAGTCACAACAGACAGGGAGGCTCCATGCTTGTGGCTGCATTCACATTCGGCAGTGGGGCCAACTGCAAATAAAAATATGAATATTTTGAGGATATGTCTTACTTATCCTCACATGATGTATACAGATCTGTATTACATATGATAATTCATGGCAGTTCTTGTATAAAAATATCTTTAACACATTTCATCCTGCAGCTACATCTTCTACTTTATTCTAAGTTCATGATTACAAACAAATTGTTCTCTCTGCCCTGTACAATTTCACATGCCTTCACACATAATGTAGAAAATGCCAGCCACATGCTGATAATCACTCACATCTTGCACACTGTCACTGTCTTCACTTTCAGTTGCTTCTACAGCAACAGCTTCTTGAGCAGGTATATCATAAATTACTCTAGAGTAACCATCTGAATGAAACCAACTACTGTCAACATCTGTAACTCCTGGCCCTCCATTTTTCTGTTTCTACCCTAAGCAACTATGTCTGGCTACCACACCATGGATCAGGTTCTTTTATTCCTATTCAGTGAGATAAACAAATGCTCTATGCATTACTTTGTTGACCTACATGTGTTGTACAAACTGACAATATATAAACTAAGGAGCACGTAGTAGGCAAAGCTGTAAACTGTATTATGAATTACTTACATACATCCATACACATTTAACAAAACATCTGCGTCAAAGTGTTGAATGTAAAAGTACAGCATTTATTTTTCTCATCAAGTTCCTTATCTAAAAGTTAGGTCTATAACTTATGTAAAGGTAAAAGTAAAGTTATCCCTTTCCTTAACTAATTAAACACTACACCATGAAAGCACACGGGGGAGTGAATGTATAGATCCACATTTTCTTGACCTCAGCACTAGTTAAGAGGTGAGTGGTCAGCTTCATGCCCCAACTGCTTTAACCCCTGGGAGAGAGTCCCTAGTACCCATTGGATAGGAGGTTGGGTGAACCCCAGAGCCATCCTGGATGACATGGAGAAGTGAAAATTCTTGATGCTACTGAGACTCTGACCCCTCGGTCGTCCAGCCCACAGCCAATCACTATACCAACTATGCTATCCCGGCTCCCTCTGTAATATATGTAAACGTATAAATTTTATAAGTAAATGTGGTAAATACTTGAGAGTGGAAGAGAATCTTGCCCAAAATTTCTCCCTTAATTTTGTATAGTCGGGATATTTTATGGACCACTGCCACAGTAAAGCATGCCTTCAATGAGTTACATTATTTGCTCTTGGTGAATTAATGATAATATCAAGTATTAGAAAGTTTTTCACAGTTTCAGAATAAAGAAAGACTATCATAATTCCTTGATCAAAACTTTTGAAAAACATCACTAATCTACATGTTCCTTTACACACACACTTTTTTAAGAATTCAACTCTACGTAAGTACTCTACTCATTATAGTATGCAAACTATCATACTTGACAAGAATTGTGAAGAGGCTTCCGCTGTGATTCCCGAGATGATGCATTCTGCGCTGTTAATTTAATAGGGTGAAGAATAATTTTCTAAAAAGAAAATATAACACAAATTAGAAAGCCTGTAAACTACAATGTATACACAGTTTGTCTTCCACAGAAAATGCCACTAATCCAGTCACAAGTAACTTAAACTCTGCAATATACCATTAACAATTTGCATTAATTGACATAATTTTAATGTATAAATGATAAAAGAAATATATGAAACATTCAAAGTATCCAATGATGATCATATGTATTAACACATGTATACCAAATCATCTTCACATTAATCTTGCTGTTATTACCTTAAGATTTAATCAGAATATTAATACTAGTATACTCCAAAATTAAACTTAAAAGTTGAACTCATGGAAGGCAAGATACAAGAATGCAGGAATGTGTGTACAAAAGGGGCCTTTTTGCTAAACACAATGATTTAAAAATCAGTCAAAAACAGCTTGGATTTCTTGGACGTTTTCGCACACAAACTCCATGCAACAGAGTCATTCATCAGGAGCTGAAGTTATTTAGCATGTCACAAGAGCCTGTTAGTGGATCCATACTCAAGAGACAGGTTAATCCACTCCACACCCCCCACCCTATTTCTCTAAAATGTATTTTAACACTATGCTCCCAACTGTGCCTAGGTTTTCCACCAAGTGCACTTCTTGCATTTCCTGCACTCTCTCAAGTTTACTTAAGAAAACACAACATTCATTCATTCATTCATTCATTTACATTCCATGGTTCCTTACATGGCTAGAAAACCACTGGATACAGAAACAGTCAATGATAAACAAGATAAGTCATGGAAATTACATAAATACAACTTAATTATACTTAATCCATCACAACTGCTCATATTATCCATGAGAAATCATTATGAATAAATCATTAAACAGTTATAAAGTATATACATAAAAACATGCATCATTCTATTCTCATACAAGATAATCAAACATAAGAATATGCTTCTAGCCGTCCAGCGTAAATAGTCTAAGATCATTAATTAATTCTGAAATGAAAATATTCTTCCAATGAGTAAAATTAATTTAAAAGTAGAAATCTTTTTAAGCAAATCTAAATTGTTTTGTGTCATGAGGTAAGTTCTTTATACTATAACAGAATGAAAATATGAAAAATAAATCATGTTTCCTGTAACATACGTGTATAAGGTTTAACAGTCCTCGCTGTTAATTAATAATTAATCCAAGAAATATGGTATTACTAGATTTGGCAATCTGATTGTTTCTGTACTCGCAAAATCATTTATATATAAGAGAAACAATAAAGGTCCCATAATCAATCCCTGGGGAACGTCATTATTAACTTTGCCCTATCTGGAATGAATATGCTAATTATTAATTACAACTCTCTGGTATCTGTTTTTGAGGTGGGATTTTACCAATGCACTGGCTTTACCAACTATTCAGTAAAATTCCAGTTTAGATAATAAAATATAACTGACACAGTCAAAAGCTTTATTCAAATCACAGACAATAAAAATTAATATTCTGATATTCAGCACATTTAATATTTCATTAATTAATTTATACATGGCCGTTTCTGTAGATGAATTACTTCTAAAATTATATTGTTCTTTTGCTAATATGTTGTTACTCATTATATGTTGGTGCAGTCTTGCATACATAACCTTTTCAACAACTTTTGAATAGGAAGTTAATAATGCAGTTAATCATATTAGTTTTATCTCCATTTTTAAATAGTAGTTTTATTTCTAAATATTTCAACCATGTGGGGAAGACACCAGTTGCAAGGGATCTGTTACAAATATAAGTTAATTGCAAACTAATGAAAGGCATGCCGATTTTTAGAATTTTAACTGAAATTTCATCATACTCATTGGAATTTTTTTATTTTAAAGATTTAATTATCTTTTCAGTTTCTTTACTAGAAGTATAGTTGAATTTAATTTTAGGGACGGGAGTCCTGAAAACTTGAGAGAGGCAATTCAAATATTTGTCAGTTTCAGCCCATAATGCGGCCAACACTTGCATTACTAGTATTGATTTTGTCAGCTATAGTTAGAAACTAATTTAAAGAATCTGTTATCATATGATGATTATCAGTTAATTTCACAACAATATTTAAAAACTGTATACCTGATTTATTAATTTTTCTACCTGTGACTGATTTTATAATGCTCCAAGTGGCTTTCATTTTGTTATTAGAACTAAAAATTAATCTATTATAATAAAGATTTTTAGCTGCTTTAATAACATTGGACAAAATTTTGCAGTATGTTTTATAATATTATTTTAGGTTTTGATCACTACTATCCATAAGAGTTATACAGAGCTCTTTTGTGCTGACATGAAATCTTTATACCACTTTCATCCATGATTATAGTTAGTTTTCAACTGAACTTGTTTTTTTGGAAAGTTAGAGTAGAATATTCTTAAGAAAGGAGTTAAATACTGTATCAACATCCTGATCAACAAAATACTGTCCCAATATTCATAACTTAATTGAATCAAAAAGTCATTCACAGATGACTATTTAAATTTCCTTACTAATTGGGTGCAACTGCTCATGTATTTGTAAGTTAATATTATTTAGGTATATAATCTGGCCATCATGATCAGACAGATCATTAACAAACGGGCTTATGGTATAATTTCCACTTCTGTTAAGATCAGTAAAGGGCCGCACCATAGCTCAAGCGGTTAGTTGCTGGTTTTGCACCGCGGTGGCCCGGGTTCGATCCCAGGTCTGGTCAAGTGAGATCTGTGGTGGACAAAGTGGTGCTGGGGCAGGTTTTCTCCGAGTACTTCGGTTTCCCCTGACAATCTTCATTCCACAAATTGCTCCACAATCACCCTCACCTATCATCTGGGGCTGGTACAATAAGCCAGAAGTGGCCGCAGTACAAGGTACTTAGTCCCACCCTGCTAGCAATAAAAAAAAATAAGATCAGTAAAAATATTATCAGTTATAGAGATTAATTATTTTGGATTCTAGTAGGAAAGTACATAAATAAACATTACATTCTAAGGAGCAGTATCTGCATTACCAGTGAATCATATAAGAGATTATAATTAAAATGAAGCAGGAATTCAGATGATGCCAGCAGGGAAGAAAAGAAACAAAGAGAAAAAACCATAAGCTAAATACAGAGTTAATACAAATGATTCATTCCATTTCAAAACACTATATTGGTCGCCTGGTGCTTTTCCGTTTACACAGACAATCAGTATCCTTAAATTGCTGGTACCACCGCAGAATGCTGTTTACATGGTGGTTCTTTTCTGTGCTTTGCTCTGAATGCATGCTGCACTGTAATAACAGACGAACATCTCGCATATTTCAACACACAAAAACTCTTTTCCAGCTTTGTCACCATTCTGTGAGGCACTGCATTCATGCTGCCAACTGGTGTATCACGATACAAACTTGGTGAGTTTGCAGTTCTTTTCATGTATCAATCATATTTGTATGTGTAATACTTTGGAAAATATAGTGGTTTTGAAATGGAATGAATCATTTGTAGTAACCCTGTATTACATGACAATGCAATAACTCAAGCCCACTGAATCTTGATTGTTCAATCTTACAGTACTATGTGGATTTCAACCATCCTTTTCATCTGTTTCTATATGCACTTTGTATTTAAACCAGCTGGATTATTTTCAGCCAGGAAGAGCACAAAGAATTCTCCAATTATGGCAGACATATTTCCTAAGCGTATTCTTTGCACATTTGTTTACATAATTTGCCTTGGTATTTATTTAGTTGCTAATACAAATCCTGCAGTGGGATAATCAGAACACAATATACAGGGTTTGTCCGAAAAGTAATGTCAGTGATTTTATTGTGAAGTGACTATACGTCGCAGCACGCTCAGACTGGTTGGGATCGGTGCAGGGGGAAGTCAGCTTATGAACGCGGGGTCACTTAGTTGTCTCCGAACTTCCTGAGAGTGACGAAAGGCTTTTCCGTGAAACTCATTTTTGTCTCCCGTGCAAGCCGCAATGCAGCGCTCCTTGGAACAAAGGATTGCCATCAAGTTTTGTGTGAAAGCTGGCAAGTCTGCAGTGGAAACTTTTCCCATGATAAAGATGGCCTTCGGTGATGATTGTTTGTCGGAAGGTCAGGTATACCGGTGGCACAAGGCCTTTTTAGAAGGCTGTGAAGAGGTCGGCAATGAAGCCTGCGCTGGACGGCCATCAACAAGCACCACCGACGAAAATGTGACGCGTGTGAGAGAACTTTTCAACTCAGACCGTTGTTTGAGTGTTTGTTTAATGGCACAGACATTAAACATTAGAAAAGTACCGTTCACGAAATTGTCACGAAAAATTTGCAGATGCGAAAAGTGTGCGCAAAGCGGGTACCCAAAGTGTTAACGGACGACCAAAAGTCGCGCAAAGTTGAAACGTGCCAAGAACTTTTGGACTTATGTGAAAGTGACCCTCACTTTTTAGATGATGTCATCACAGGTGACAAGACTTGGGTGTTTGAGTACGACCCCGAAACAAAAAGGCAAAGTGCCGAGTTGCACACCTCAGCATCCCCTCGTCCCAAGAAGGCCAGAATGAGCAGGTGAAAGGTTAAGGTTATGCTCATTGTGTTCTTTGACCTCAGGGGGCTTGTCCACCATGCGTTTGTGCCACATGGTACAACAATCAACGCCAAATTCTACGTGGAAGTGCTAAAGAGACTTAAACAAAGGGTTTATCGCATCCGACCCGACATCGTGGACGATTGGAAACTTCACCATGACAATGCGACAGCCCACACTGCCTTCCTCGTGACCGGCTTCCTGACTGATTCAAAGGTGCCAACAGTTCTCCAGCCACCCTACAGTCCTGACGTGGCTCCCCCCAGACTTCTTTTTGTTTCCGCACTTGAAAACTCCAATGAAAGGACATCATTTTGGGACAGTTGATGAAGTCAAAGAGGCTTGCACCAAGGCTCTAAAGGACATTCCGGAGGAGGCCTACCATGACACCTTCGATGCCTGGAAATCTCGCTGGAAGCGATGTATCGATGCAGAAGGAGCCTATTTTGAAGCCTTTTAATGTGTTGTACCGATCTAATCAATAAATGTTTTTTAATTGGCTCAATGACATTACTTTTCAGAAAAACCCTGTACAGTTTATAAGTCAATCACAGTGGCTGTGCAGTCTAAGGCCTAACTGTCTTTGCCTACATGAACAGCGAGTTCACAGGTTCAAATCCCACTTGAGGCATGGAAGTCTGTGTGCATTTATTCTGTTTGTGATGGTCTCTACATATGCAGTGGCCTTGTGACAGGCTGATCCCCTGTCCAAGGAGCCCTACTGACTGTGTACAGGATTATGAAACTGAAAAGGAGGCCAGGACCCATCAAAGGGCTATAGATCCACTGATGAATGAATGAATGAATGAATGAATGACTACCGTTGAGAATGAGATATCATCAGCTTAAATACTGCACAGAATAATCTTCTTTCAATGTTGTAACAACACATTTCCTCCAAAAGAAATGGTGGTGGTGGTGTGGCGTAGGGGGGAGGGCCAATAATCCATTTCATTGCAGATACAAATGTCTCATTTCAAAGCTATTAACAATAAAAAGAGTCAGAAACAACAATTAAGCTGTATTTCAGCATGGATGTTCTTTCTGCTGCACATCTTATTCATCCAAGTCCATTTTGTTTTGAACACAAAACCCATGTCCATATAGACCATAAAATAGATATACATTCACACATACATAATTTCCACATAATGCACGTTTCAAGTTTCATACAACTACAATACATTTATGTAGTAATACACTTTCCTGATTTCATAAACATATTCATTTTACAGAATATTCATCTATGTGTATGTGTACTGAAGTTTGTTGTAATGGCTTCTTATAAAAGACAAACATGCTCTGCATGGTATAACAAGAAATGGAAGTATGCTCATCAAAAAATAATGATAATCTAAAAGAGACTGCCAGCACATAGGGGGGGACTCTGGTTTCAAACTTTTTTAAATATGATAATCAGCTGAACAATATAGTAGGAAAGTAATATCTGCTAAAAGATGCAGGAATGTCTCAAGACATGGACTCCACTATCTGACAACCACACAGAGGTTGCAACACAAATATTACTGGCACACTGTTAGGAAGAAAATGTCTGCATGGAACACCTGTGAGATTAAGATTTTTCCAAATTTATGCAGTGTGATGATCATGATACAGCAAAAAATTTCCTTAGTGCAATGGTTCCTGAACTTCTAGCCAGGTGCCTGCCTTTCAGTTTTCATCAAGCCCTCATACACCTCCCAGTCTTTACATCGCTCAAATAAAAATAAATATTTATATTCACAATTATATTGCTATTTATGATCAACTAACCTGTAATTAGCAGTGCCAAAACTGCGAGAGAAAAAATTCAAATTTTTAAATTACAAATGCTACATGGTTCTCCATATTGGGCAATGATCAATGCCAAAAATGTTGAAATCTAATCAATCTAATTTTTTTTTTGCCTGAATTAACAATTATGCTGGATGCATACAGAAAAATACGATTAAATACAGCTAAGAATAATTATTTTGGCCGAATCTGACTTTACCCCCCTTATTTTGTCTTCACATTCCCCTACAGCCCCTTCATCACCTGACCTCCAGACAGAGAATCACTCCATTAGTGCATGCACTAAGAGCAACACTTAGGCAAGTCATTAGTGCATTCAACAAGAGAAAACAATCAGGAGAGTCCAATTCGCCATTTACGCTTACAGAAGCACTGTATGCCCAACAGAAACGAATAACACATTTCATTTCTAGGATAATTTTTCTCTTTCATATACCATGCTTTTTGTCTGACATCAGTAATGACAACATGCAATTGATACATGAGCAGTGCTTCATATAAGGTAAGCACGGCACAAGGGCAGAAAGAAGTACTTGTTATGATTGTCTATCACTCATATACTTTTTACCAAATTACCATTCCTACACAAAATTATAGAATTTCAGTTCAGTAACAGGTACTTTTTATGAATATATACAAAGCAGCATACTGCTGTGATGAAAATGTCGCAGGTACAAAAGTCAGTTAACAAAATGCCTGAAAAGGAAGAATAAAAGCAAGATGCTTACTTCTGTGCTACTCCTGTCGTGATTTGTCCTATGTTCTGAATCTCGGCTCTCCCGACTCCGCTTATCTTTTGGTGATCTTGCGCAGTCTATCAAAACAAGACAGAAAATCAAATAAAATTCAGTACACCTATTAACTCTAGAAAAAGCAAAAAACAATTTCTACAAGTACCAACAGTATGCTGTTTACATTTTGTAATAATTATATCAAGACCTAACACAAGGAATTGGTAGCAACTTCTGCCATATTAGTTTACTATAAATAAACACTTGTAATATCCACATGTCAAGCATGAACAAGGTAATTACACTGAATGAAATAAAATCAACAATTTCTCCTAAAATACGAAGCAAGAAAATCTGTGGAATGGATCTCAAGATTGTTAGTTAAAAAATGTCAATCCGGTAAGGCGATAACATAAAAAGAACTTAACTATCTTTGTATATTTTATGTGGGTGAAATAATATTATAAATATCATCAATGTCCTGTAGCTTAGTGTAAAAATACAGGAAAATAAAAGTCTGGAAGCACTTGTAATGTTTGTGTATCTCTTCTTTGCAAATTTTGTAATCTGTGAAAATGGACAACACAATACAGGAAACATCAGAAGTGACTCTTACATGCTAGGGTATTAAGTTGGAGATGTTCTTACGAACAGTGGCACTGAAGGTATCCTACAAAACTTATATCTCAGCACTGAATACTGTCAAAGTTACAGAAGTATTGTCATTAAACTCAAAATGTGGTACATAAACCAAGAAGTTTATGAAATTCTTAATCCATAAATTAACTAAATGTTGCATCATAAAAATACGTAGGTCAGTCAAAAAGTTCCCGGAATTCCCCTGCAGATGGAGAATGAGCAATAAGATAGCACACACACTGTTGTGGTGGGAAGCTCAGCATGTCTGCTCGCACGTGCAACAGGTCTGGACAGGTTTCAGTGTGCAGTGTCGTTACTGCTCCGTTTGAATTAGACGTGAGTGCTGGTCATTTGGCGCAATGTAGCAGTTCGAACAGCGTGCGAATATCAAGTTCATGTGCAAATTGGGAAAATCTGATTCAAAAATGCTATCGGCCCTGCAGCAAGTTTACGGTGATACTGCACTAAAGAAATCCACAGTTTACGACTGGTTTTCCCAGTTTAAGAATGGGCAGGAGACGTTAAGAGGATGACCAGTGCAGTGGGAGACCTTCGACATCCAGAACCAAAGAAATGATTGGAAAAGTGTGACAACTGATTCAATGTGATCGAAGAATGACCATCGCGGAGTTGGAGCAAGAAGTTGGTACTGTTACTGGCCATTTCTACATGCAAGTTTTGCAGAGGTTGCACGATGCGGTTTGGAGGAAGCAGCGCGACAAGTGGCAGGGACAGTGGTTTCTGCATCACGATAACGCACCAAGCCATACATCGCTTGTTGTGCAGCAATTCCTTGCCGAGAAAAACATTCCTGTCATCACTCAACCACCATACTCTCCAGATCTCACTCCGAGTGACTTTTGGCTGTTCCCTACTCTGAAAATGGGCCTCAGTGGGACATGCTTTGCAACCATGGAGGACATCAAATCGAATGTGACAGCTGACTTCCGGAAGATTCCAAAAGAAGCCTTCCACCCCTGCTTCCAACAATGGCAGGATCGATGGAGCAAGTGTGTGTGCATGCAAAGGTCCTACTTTGAAGGTGATTAGGTAAGCACTGCTGTATGTCCTACCATTAGAGTGCTGTACCACCATTCCAGGAACTTTTTGACTGACCCTCGTATATGTGATTTCATAAGGATGAGAAACCTCCATATTTTGCTAGGATTACATCTTCTTGGTCAGACAGCCCATTATCAGGGGAAATGGCTGGCTGACAAAGAGAAGTAGAATGGCTCTCTAAATCCCCATATGTTTACTTTGTGGGAACATTTAAAAACCTATCACTTAGAAACACCACCCCTGAATACTTGGACTGCATAAAACAATGTATTCAAGAAGAGTGTAAGACAGTAATTGATGATACACTGATGAATTGCTTGGTGCCAGAAGTTCATACATGCAAAACAGAGTGGATTACAATTTAGACGTTCATAACTATAACACTATGGTTCTGTACCTCTGTTACACCCTATGTACAACGCAAGCAAAGTACAGTTAAAGAGTCTTAAAAGACAATTCAGTTTTTAATATGACTCCACAAAGTGCTAGTTATCAGAAATAACGTCAATTATACTCCTTATGGTAATGTGTATATTTTCACTTGCTAGTAATGTTTAAAGATATCTGCTCTGTATGTACTTATTCTCTGATAAAGGGAGAAATAAAAATAATGGGAAAAAATCTGTGAAATACTTAACAAAACCAACCCTCAAAACTTCTGGCTGTGTAAGTACTGCATGAATACACAGTCTTTATTATGCAGGAATAAAAATACATATGTTCATGCTCAAAATCAAATGCTTATTCATGAATAGAAAACACTTTATAATAATAATAACAACAGCATAAGTCCTTTTCACCCACAATTTTGACTTTGTTGAATACTTTATTTACTTATGGTTTATTTAATAAAACTGTAAGCATCTCAGGCTATACAGCATCAAATTATTAACAAATGATGAACTGCAAAGCATGTGGCAAAATATGAGACATTACCATAGCATATTCTAGAAGGACTGAGGAAAGACATGAAAACCTTAACCAGTATAATCAGTGGGCTGACATTTGAACCTGGAACCTTCTGAATACAAAGCAGTTTTCCTATTGCCTTACAGAAGAACAAACATTCATCAAAAGTATGAGAACCCTGGACATCCTTCTACCCAAAAAAAGAATAAGCTGGTATCTCAGGTGCATGATTTGATGTGAAAATGACAGAAGATTGAATTTTCATAAAATGGCTGAAAAGATAAGAGAATTTCACATGGTTCATTTAAAGCTATTTTTATTGAAAAATCTTAAAGTCTGCAAAGATGTACAACTGCTGAAAAAGGAGAAGAAACAAAATGGCTTGTCTGTGATATATGAACTGTTTCAATGTGCAGAAACAATGAAAACTTCCCAATCACATCATGACAGGTGCTGAAAAAGGGGCCTATACTTATGACCCCAAAACTAATCAGCTTTCAACATAATGGAAATTCCATTCACTGCTATGACTGAAAATCATATCAAGTGCACAGCATTGTAAAACCAAAGTATATTGAGTCATTCAAAAATATAATATACTCTTCAAGGTAGGAACGTTGGATTTACAGCTTATAAGTGATGCCTTAACTGCCATTATTTGGCTAATGTCAGCTTACCACCTAACAGTGCTAGACTGAGTGTGACTGCTTGCACTGATTTTCTGGAACTGGAACACCACTGAGGTGCAGTGAAAAGTACAATTGATAATGGACATGTGCATAACTATCCTTTGTGATTGAATCTGTGAGATCTAGGACAATAGTTGACAATGATGGGAGATTAATTCCCATTAAAATAGACCCTTTTCATCGCATTCACACATTCCACCATTCGTACCAGTGTTGATGCTTTTACTCATTTATGAGGGTGTTGTGCACAATTTGTTAACTAGTAATGAATATATCTGTTTACACAAGCTGCGATGTCTCCATGATACAGTACTTATATAAGAATCTGGTGACTGGGAAATTTAAAATGATAGTGCATCTGACTAAGCCCAGCTTCTGTGGCTATTTTTTTCTCTATACACAACATTCTGCAAGTGATGCAGCCTCCCCTACTCATTATGTGTGATCCTGTGACTTTCTCATTGCCCTAAACTTAAAAATATGTTGACAGGCAAAATACATGATGATGTAAGAACAATGACAATGCTGCAATGGGGCAGCTGCCAGTTTTGAAGAGTGAGTTTCAGCGGTGCATCCAACACTGGTAGGAATGGTGGAATGTGTGAATGCGATGAAAAGGGTCTATTTTAATGGGAATTAATCTCCCATCATTGTCAACTATTGTCCTAGACTTCACAGATTCAATCACAAAGGATAGTTATGCACATGTCCATTATCAATTGTACTTTTCACTGCACCTCAGTGGCGTTCCAGTTCCAGAAAATCAGTGCAAGCAGTCACACTCAGTCTAGCACTGTTAGGTGGTAAGCTGACATTAGCCAAATAATGGCAGTTAAGGCATCACTTATAAGCTGTAAATCCAACGTTCCTACCTTGAAGAGTATATTATATTTTTGAATGACTCAATATACTGAATAAAAAGGGACCAAATCATGATGATGTACAAAGCACTTTACAACACAATAGACAGCAAAGTTCATTGTAGTTACATTATATTTTAGGTATTTCCATAGCGTTATGTGCTCTTTTTAGCTGTCTTATACTTTAGGTACTTTACAAGTGTGACGTACTGTACACCAATTTATTTCAAATATATAAGAATCCATGGTATGCAGCCATTTACCAAACTTATGGGAATCAGACTGAACTTATGTAACATGACTGCATAAAAGTTTCTGTTTCAAGTTGGAAGCTCAGGAAACTCATCCTATATGGGTAATCTTCTCCTCGTCAGAAAAATATCTGTATCAGAGTCATCTGATGGAAGACAGAATAATAATAATGTTAGTTACTTATGATCCAGAATGAAAACATTACAATATGGTGACCAGGTACCTGAACATCTTAAGGGCATGCTAAAATGACATCTATCACCATGCTACAAAATTTCTTTATGATTTCTTAAGCTTACCAGACCTAACACAAACACAAACCAAAATATATTAAATAAAGTTAAATTAATGTCACCAAATTCGGATTTATGAGAAAAATATAACAAATTACAGTGAAGCTTTGAAACAATATTTCAACTTCTGTGGTAAAAATAATGTCTTGTCTATATACTGTGCAACTAAGTCAAAGTATAATGTGAACAGAATTGGACTAACTTACTGATGGCATTATTATGACATATCCCAACTGTGGCTACTAACCTAATCACAACAAAGGCTAATCTATCAAAAATTAATATAGCCCACAGTTTTGAATCATGGAAGTAAGCTGTTCATTATGTACACCTGTCAACTGTGCTGATGACTAATGACTATTTTCAAGCTGCAATAAAGATCAGTTCTGCATAACTGAAATTCAGTTTCAATGTCATACCAAACAAGAGTTCCAGATATATATGAAAACTATTACCACGTGATTCTTACCAGAATATTTCTCTCTGGATTTATAGTCTCTGTCTTCTCTCTCCTTCTCACGAATTTTCTGCAAATATGAACTCTTAGTTTGATAGTTTCTTTCCCGTGGGCTTTGTGAATCTGGACTGTCCGATCGATAGGAATTTCCATTGGGCGAGTCTCGCATTCTTTCATGGTTATAACGTCCATCATAGTTTCCTTTTGAACTGCTGTATTTTGAATTCTGAAATAGTATTTCGTTAAAAACATTATATTTTAAGTTCCATTGTGCATAATCCTCTACCTGCTGTCAGTTATTAAGTATGAAAATGATATCTTTGAGGTATATTTTCTGAAATCATGCATTATTATACGAAACCCTTCTGAGTGATTTCAGAGGAAGAAATATCAACACAATATTCTGCCTGCCTAGATACTGGTAAGGCAACTAAACAATGCCTATTTACATTACAGTTACAGAAAACAAAGCTCTGCCTTCCTATTGGCGTCAACAAATGCTACTTGATGCATCAAAATAATATTTTAACGAATAATATTCAGTATGTCAAAAGAAATCAAAATAATCAATGTTCCCTAAATAAAGGTCTGTGCCTTTTCACTGATTGTCGTTTGTTTTAACAGGCTTATTTCAATTCCTGAAGTAGTTGATTCCGTACGTTGTTTACCTGATATGGATGGGCTTGGTGTTTTTCGAAGTACCTAGAATGATACAAAATACAAAGTTATTAAGAATAAACACTATTCAGTACAAAAATTGACATTTAAATTGTCGACCTCCATCTCCAATTTACGGAATATGGCGAAGAGGTTGTGTCAGACGATTACGGATTTAAATTTTAAGAGCTTCGTGCGTACCCATCGTTAATCCTCTGAGGTTTCCTTGCATGCATTACCATCAATGCAAGTGTCTATAAAAGATGTGCGGCTCCTATTGCAGCCTTCTTGTTGATTTAATGTCATAAAAACAACATGAACGTCTATTTAACAGCAAACTTCCTTCTCAGACGCCATGTCACATTCGGGTACGTGAGCCCTATGATGGGCCCGGAGATCGTAATTTCATTGGCTAAATTCGTTGGTTCAGTTGGTGCACTCTCCGTAGATGCCGCCAGGGTCACGGAGTTCAGTATGGATGGAAAAGTGTTTGTATGTTTACGTAAGGAAAACATTTGGGCAATAAATCCCAAAATATACTTCAGGTGAAAGTGTACGGCATTTCTTTGGTATATTTTTCATAAATGAGTCTAAATACAGTTTTGTTTCTAAGGAATGTTCAAATTAAATTATGAGGTTATACACGGCCTTCTATAGATGGTTTTATTTCTTGTACCCGAAACTACTTTATCGGAACAATCGAAACAATTTTCTTCTGTCCTGTCTAATTCACGTAAGATGCACTCTGATGCAACATCGATTTCTGAAATTCGCGCCAAACTTTTATTATTCCATTACATGACATGAATGAGTGCTAACGAGCTAGGTTTGTCGATGTTAAAATATTGGTCATTTCGGTGGACAGTAGTGTCGATGAATGACACTGATAGTGTAACATCATTTTCCAGTATTTTATGTGATGCGTGCGAATGAATGTTAGCCCATCTATACGTTTTTTTCTTTTCGCAAAAATGAACGGTAGGGATAAGGGAGAGTTTTAAATAATCAGGATTAAAAATGACATCAGTATTACATCTCTCCCAGATATTCCGGGGTTGGGAACCTGTGCTTTCGAAGTTGAACCACATGCCAAGTTGTCTTCAATTTAAGTTTTTCTTTATTATTATTATTTCTTCCTTATTCCATTACATCTATAATAGGCAAAAGCCTTAGATACAGAATTGTGTCAATTTATCTTGCTAATACTCTTAAGCAATTGTCAAGAAGACTTATAAAATAAGACAATGTATGTTTACATCATAATACAATTTCCCTCTAGCATAATACATTAAAATTTAAGATAAAAGTTTCCATCAAAGGTAACAGAATATTTTGGTCAGTATTTGTGTGCAGGGGATGGGAAACGAGAAAATTTGGGAAAACTGAAGAAAAAGGACCATGCCTAATATGCTGAGAAATAATACAACTTTCTCTTTCACATCTTGCACTCCAAGCAGCCCCTTTCCTCAACATTCCACTTTCCACCAGGTTATTAGCAACTGCTGCAGTTCAATTGGCTAAGATTGGAGCTGAACTAGCCTGTAGCATCTCTATAGGAGTTGGCAGAAAGGCAATCAGGGATAATCAAAAGCAGAAGCACAATAGGTCACTGTAGGTTTCGGTGCAAGGGCTGAGAAGGCCCACCCTTTATACATTCATTCATTCAACTGTTGCAGTTTAGTTTTATATGAGCTATTATAATATAACATACCTACTTAACATATATTGATGTGTTTCATGTACAGTGATGTTCTCATTACTGTTGCTAGGAAAAGGAGAAAGCTGCTAAATAATCATTCTTGGCTGGGGATATACATACCATTAGTATCCTTTAAAAACACAGCACAGAGCTTGCCATTGTTACTGTGCAACAGTTTATACATATACTCACAGGAGTGGGACCTACACACTTGAGTGTCTTGATTTGATGTGGTTATTATCACATCCTTTCTGTAGCACCCTTTCTTTAACTACAAAGTTCACAGATGGTTGGTTCAAGCCCTCATTCTGCAAAATGTAAGCTTTCCAAGTCAGAATTCACATTTATGTCAGGCTTGATTCTGCCCTTCTGAATTTGTAGTAGCACGACAGGCATGCAACCCTCAACTGGTTGCAGAAGGCATTTCCCTGTATGGTGATCACCCCCACCAAACACCCTTTAGCTCCATACAGGTCTTCCTGTATTATATTTTCTCTTGGAAAATATGGACATATTGCAATGTGACCTGGGCATTCAGTTCAAGTGGGTTTCTCCAGACTGTTATCATGTTTGCTGTGTTGATTTCATTCATGGTATAAGCAGTTCCAGTCATCCTGCAACATTGTCTGGCTCAGAATTCTTTGAAGCTATACAGACATTTCTAACAGAACCCATAAAGTGCTTTTTGTATTTACCAGAATTATATCAGTTGAGGTGTGTTTGTAACATATATCCATGTATGGCACCATGAAAAGAGCTCTTATCTTTCCATTCTCAAGTTAAATTTCCTACCTGTTATGGAAACTTGCTGTAGCCCTGAAGAAGACTGGTTCTGTCCATTCCTCGTAAAATTTCCCTTTTCTCCTTAAAATAATGGATTTGTGGAAAAGTTTCTCTCTCTCACAATTCCACTTCTTGTCTTGACAATAAGCCAGTCTGCCCCTTAGGGGGATGTTTTTTTTTTTGTTCACTGCTTTCTTCTGGCTGAGACCAGGTTCATTTTTTTACCCCCCTCTCCTTGGGTCTCATGAGCACCCTCCTTGTAACTTCCTTGTATAACAAAGCCTATTTCTGAACCTACAGATTGCAGCCTTGAAGGTGGAGGGAGCCTGTGCCTCCAAAATGTATCTGCCCACAAAAATATACGATGTCACAATCCAGACCACAATCATAACAGTCATTGCCATGAAAACCTCAAAAATTTATGTCTCCATTTACTTCCTTGACCGTATTTTGACCATATGTATGGTCAGTATTTGAGCTATTGTCAATTCTGTATTATTATTTTCTGAAGGTTCATGCAATATTTTTAAAACAATTGTCTAATAAAACACTCCCACTACTGATTGTACTTTTTCCTTCAACCTTCACTGACCAGAGTTGCAAATTTAATTCTTCACTCTTTGCACAAGTAAAGGTAAAGATATTCCTGTGCTTACTTAATTAAGTACCATGTGAAGATGTATGAGACACCAGAGGTACAACCTCACCATTCTTAATCTGAGCACTAGATGGGAGTGGTCAGTTTCATGCCTTTGCTTCTTCATCCTTGGGGAAACACTCTGGCACCCACTGTGTAAGAGGCTGGGTGGACTCTTAGAACTGGTCTGGACACTGGAGAAAGAAAACTTTCTTGCTTCTGCCAGGAACTGAACTTCATTTCCTCAGCCATCCAGCTTATGAACTAGTCACTGTACTGACTGATTTATCCTTGCTCCATTTCCTTGGAGGGATTAAGAGAAGCCATGGGAAACCTTAGTCAAGATAGTCAGTTTTCTAGCCGAGATTCAATCCAAGTACCTCCTGAATACAATTCCAGAGCATTACTACTACACCAACCAACTCCATATAAGGAAATGTATACACACAGAACCAGCAGTATTGCTGAGGGTTTATATGCACCTTGCACATTAACCCTCATACAAGGAAATGTAAAAACAAACACACAACTAACTGCATTAATAATGACTGATGCACATTAACCATTAGTAATAGAGTTGGTTCTGCATTTGTTCATACACTTCCTTTTATGTGTATCAGATATAACTAGAGGCATCAAGCAGGTTGGTGTAGTGGTAATGCTGTAGAATTATACCTATGAGGTACTTGGTTCAAATCAGGCTGGGATACCACCTATACTGACTGAGGTATCTCGTTTTTTTTTTTCAGTCCTCCCAAGCAAATATTCACATAGTATCTCAAGTAGGCCATGGCCAAATCATTTTCAAGTTATTCATCGATCACCCTATCATTTGATGCCATATAGTCTCGATATTGACAGCATAGTAAAATAAACCACAAAAAAGCGACCTGAGGACATCATTTTAGAACCTTATTTTAAAGGGTGATTAGTCAAATGATTTTGAATTAGGAATATGACTGAACACTGAAATACAGCTGTCAAATTATATTTCTTAGAATTCTAGCACTGTAGTGCTGATAATCGAAAAAGAACTATCATAATGTATGGATCACATAAGTTTGCCTAGTGCATCTGACTAGTTATACCGAAGGAAAGGCCGCGCCATAGCACAAGTGACTTCTCACTGTGGCAGCCTGGGTCTGGTAAAGTGGGATTTGTGGTGGACAAAGTGGCGCAGGGGTAGGTTTTCTCCGAGTACTTCGGTTTCCCCTGCCAATCTTCATTCCACCAAAATCACCCGGGGCAGGTACAGTAGGCCAAGTGGATCCAACTGGACTCCACCCACCACTATGCGAAAATATACAGAAGAAAAAGCATTAAAGCTGGGAGACATAAAAAACTCCATAGTTTTCGTCCGCAAACGAACTATACTGACCGAGTAACCGCTGCTTTGTTGGCGAAGATAGTGCCAACTTTAGGGGATAGAGTGTGTTGTGTGGTCAGCACAACGAATCCCCACGGCCGTTAATTTTGGGTTTACAGACCGGAGCCGCTATTTCCTTGAAGTAGCTCCTCATGAGGCTGAGAGACATATTGTAATATTAACATGATTAATGTAGATATCTTATATTTCTCAGTTATTCTTATTACAATCTTACAAAATCTACACAGAATACATTAATTCATCATCATCAGTAATCTGTCAAACGACAGGTCCACAGTCTCTTCCAAAACAGTTCCTCCACTTAATGCGATCTAGAGCTTTCTCCTTCAAATGAGAATATCCTCTTCTGTCCCCAGGGTCATCCAGCATCTTCTTACGTCTTCTTGTCACTTCTATCTGCCCTTCTATCCTTCCTTCAGTAACTTCTTTTAGAAGGCAGTTACTGGGTAAGATATGACCAATCCAATTAGCATTCTGTTTTCTTATTTCGTGTAGGATATTCCTCTGCTCACTGACTCTAAATAACACTTCTTCATTTCTCACATAATCTGTCCAACTGATCTTCTCCATCCTTCTCCAACACCACATTTCAAAGCTTTCCAGGTGTTTCTGATCTACTGCCCTAAGTGTCCAAGTTTCAGCCCCATACAAAGCCATGCTCCAAATGTAGCATTTCACTAGTTTTTTCTCAAATTTAACTTTCCATTCCCCATGTCCTTGATAGCTTTTTCCACCTCACTTTGTAAAATATATGATCCTTTCTCATCTGTATCTACTTCTTCTTCCGGTTCCACTTCCAAGGTTTCTGGCCGATTAGGTTGATCATATAGTTCTGTAATATAATTTTCCCAAATTTTCAGCACTTGCCTCTGATCTACTATTCTATTCCCCTGGGAGTCTTCAATGCCAACATTTTGAATCCCATGGTTCTCTTTCCATCCTAGTTCTTTTGTCTTCATGTACATCAAATCATAACGTCCTGTCCTTTGAAATTCTATAATCTCATTACATATCTTCTCAAGATATTCCTTTTTGGCCCTGTCCGTGGCTCTTTCAGTTCATTCCTCAGTCTCCTGTATTTCTTCCTGCCTTCTTCATTGTTTACATTCCTCCATTTCCTTCACTCCTCCATTTTACTCATCGTCTCCTGTGTAACCCATGGTTTTCTTGCTATCTTCTCAACTTTACCAACCAGTTCACTAATGGTATCTAACATGCATTCTTATATATTGTTCCACTGCACTTCAGTATTTCCACTTTCACTTTCAATTGCACCGAGTTTCTCTTTTAGGGTCTCCTGCATGCTTTGTCTTTGAGCATATAACTTCTCCAAATCCCATCTAGGTCTGCGCTTTTGGAATCTTATAATTTTCTTCAACCTGGTTTGAAACTTGGCAACCAGTAAGTTGTGGTCAGAGTCAATATCCGCCCCAGGCAGCATCTTCACATCTTTCACACTGTACATTAATTACAACAAGACAAATCCAAGATGTGCATGACAGTTTTTAAGCAATGTTTTCTGTGCGCAGCAAGCTATAATAACACAGACAGAACTATGTTATGTGGTCCTTTAAGTAAGCATTTACATTGCAAGAAGTGCCCATAAAACCAGTAATTTAACGAGTTTACTTTTGCCCCATAGTAATTACACTTATGAACTCCTATGCAGCAGAGCCACAACTGATGAACACATTACACTATGCAGTGTGCATTTTCAGCTGACTGTGTAGGATTTGAGGTTGTCACAGTGATGGTTATGAAGACCTCTTTTAGAATATTGTCACGTGACAAATAACTTTACATTGGTCTTGGATTTAGTGAATCTTTATTGGACGCTCACACTTACACACCTTACAGTTATTATCGTTTGTGATATCACTTGACTTCTGGCCCAGTACTCCAATGTGACGTCTCAACTATCCTTTGCCGTGGTTGAATCTTAACTGTCTCTGGCGGTGGCTATTCCAAGACTGTTGTATGGTGGCTAGGTTCCAACTGTGTTGTTGCTGTCTGTAGCTCTCAGCTTATGTAGGTGTTCTGCGGACTCAGTAGAGGACACCTCTCGCCAAGGTTCGGTTTCATGTATTCGGCGATCCGTTGCTTCGGGAACGCTCTTTATACACTGGTAACGAGTTTCGTCTCATCCGTTGTTACTCAACGGCCTTCTGTTGTTCATCTCCGGGGAAACGTGTTCGTTGTTTCGGCATTGTCTATGCAACGGCCCACTGTTATTGCGTTACCATGGAAGTATCTACTCCAAACACATTACAATATAATGCCATGTAGCTGTTGAGAAACTGATGCTTCAGCAGAACATGTCTCCATATTCAGGGTCAAAGAATACACCAAGCTAGAAACCACTGTGAAGCAGTTAGCATGCAGAGCTCTTTGACCCTGAGGATGGAGGGGCAGCATGTTCCGGCAAAAGGTCAGTTGACTGTCAGCAGACTACAAGGCATTATATTCCATAAGACAGAAATATTTACAGCTTATTGTTTGTACACCCACTAACAAACAGAACACTTAAATTATACATGTACTTCTCAGCAGCACCAACTTAATCACATGGAACTAATCTATCTCAGATCTGGGATGAAAATTAAATCCTGTCTGAGGCCACTGTCCTGTTTGCCAATTCCTGTAAATCACTTGCAGACACAGTATGAGTGAATGAATGATTTGAAGTGCCCTGTGTTGTGGTGCACGTTTATTGTAATACAAAATTATACAATATTACTTGCATAACCAGAATCTCAGAATTACATCAGTTTTAAACATACAAGTTACATTACTTAAAAAATTACAGTGTTTGGTCAATAAAACATGAGTAAAAGCCCTGAGCAAAAATGAATTTTTGAATTTGGAATTTGGCAACCTGTTAATTAGTGTATACTCACAATATATTCACATCATTCCCCCAGATATTCTTGTGTACATTATGCATGAACATATCCTTATAAATGGTAGGAATATGTATAATCTCCCCTATGTTCAATCAGGTCAAAGTGGCTTCCACTTGATCTGGTACACATGTCACACAAATCTAAACCCTCTCCAGTATCTGTGCACTGACAGGTGTTTAGGTTGGTTTGATTCTTCAATGACATTTTTCAGGAACGTTTTTCTGCATTATGTATATGAAGATGTCTTTTTAGCTTACTCTGTTCACTAAATGATTTCTTACACTCACCACAGGAATATGGGCGCTCCCCACTGTGTATGCGTTGATGTCTCTTCAGAGTGTACTTCTGAATAAATGATTTATTACACATATCACATGAATAGTGACACTCCCCTGTGTGTACACGCTGATGTCTCCTCAAACGACATTTATCGCTGTATGATTTGTTACACAGTCCGCAGGAAAATGGGCGCTCTCCACTATGTACACGTACATGTATACGCAGATTGCTCTTTTGAATGAATGACTTATTACATACATCACAGACAAATGGTTGCTCGCCACTATGTATGCGAAGATGATCCTTCAAGTGACTTTTACAACTGAATGATTTGTTACATACCCCACAGGAAAATGGACGCAGAGGCTCCCCACTATGTGCACGTTTGTGTGTATACAGATGACTCTTCTGAATGAACGACTTATTACACACATCACAGACAAATGGACGTTCACCACTATGTATACGTTGATGATTCTTCAGATGACTCTTATCACTGAATGATTTGTTACATACATCGCAGACAAATGGGTGCTTACCTTTATGTATGTGTTTGTGTTTGTTCAGGTTACTCTGTTCACTAAATGGCTCATTACACATATCACAAAAATATGAATGATCACTCTGCATGCACACATGAGTCTTAAATGCAGTTTGAAGAGTAAAAGATTCATGGCACCCAATATGTCTGAGCTGATGTTCATTTGGAATAATCTGATAAGAAAAGGCAGAAATATTATAACAAATATTAATCAAATGTAATATGCATTCCCAAAATAAGATAAATACTTATTTCAACACAAAATTAAGTTCCTAACTAGACTAAGTGTACACATAAGGCCATGTCATAACTCAAGCAGTTAGTTGGCTTCGCACCGCGGTGGTCTGGGTTCTATTCCGGGTCTGGTCAAGTGGGATTTGTGGTGGACAAAGTGGTGCTGGGGCAGATTTTCTCCGAGTACTTCGGTTTCCCCTGCCAATCTTCATTCCACCAATTGCTCCACAATCGCCCTCACCTATCATCTGGGGCTGGTACAATAGGCCAGAAATGGCCACAGTACAAGGGACTTAGTCCCACCCCACTAGCAATAAAAAATAAAGTGTATGCATGTGCGTGCGTGCATCACTGGCCTCACTGTAAATATGCACCTGCACAAAAGAGGGAACTAAAAATCCATGAACAACAAAGTAAAATTACACAAGTAATTGTATATTACTTAGTGAATTAAAAACTGGGCCTAAAATGCATCTTATACAAAATGCCTGATATTTAGTTCCTAAAATACATGGATAAAGAACTAAACAACAGACCTTTATCACAAACTGGACATTGTATGAGGGAGTTTTGAACATTAAGGGGCTCCCACAGGCTGTACAAACTGATGTTAGCTCTCGCAACATCTGTGGGTTAAATGTAATTAATCTAAAGCCACACACCAATCAACTCCCACATCTCTGCAGGCAGTTTTACAACTTTTGACTTGTTCTGTGTAAGAGTCCATCTTGCCAGGCAGGTAAACAGCATGAAAAAGACTGGTATAAACATCACTATGTACAGCCTGTTCAGGTGTTGTATCTCCACATAATGAGAATTTCTTGGCAGTTGCACTGGCAGCCTCATTAATGGGGATGCCCATATCACCAGGTATCCAACAGGAAACTATGAACTTCCCTGCCTTATGGAGGTGGGACACCCGACACAATCCCAGTCATGACCAGATAGTGTGGGTGTGTGTTGAGGTTCTGTATGGCACTTGGGGTGGTCCAAGCAAAGGAGGCTACATGTTTGAAGTTACTGTTGAATGAAGAGAAGAGCTCTGTATGTTGCATGAAGTTCATCCATGGAAGCTCTGTTAATGACAGAAGCAGAAGGGATAAACCTGCCCTCCACAGACAAGGTCACAGCCAGCTGAACCTTGGAGAAAAGACCTGCCAGTATACACAGCCATATAGTCCAGATAGTCAAAATACAGTGCCATGAAACACCAGTGATAAGTAATGACAGATGTTTCATCTAATGTGTCTCATGAGTCAGTGGTCACAGATTTGGCATGACTTCACAATGTCAAATCAGCAAGAGGCCATTGGGAATGATATGCGGCAAGCAGATGTCATGATCCCCAACAAGGTGATAAAAGCAAACACCCATAGGTCAAAAAACACTGGCCTTCAGCTTGATGAAACACCATACCATAAGAAGGGAAATAGGGCTGTCTTCCCAACTTCATCATATAACTGTGGAGGACAAGGGGGTGTGGAGGTTGTCCAAAACAGGAAGAACAGTCTCTGCACAGCCCCATAACATGGCCAGGGTACATCCTTATTACAGGGATTCCTCAATGATATGGCTGGATGGATTTTATTACAAATCAGAAGTCTTCCACCTAGCACAGGAGAGAGAACATATATACAACTCACCTCATGTTCAGGCTTTATTACTGGAAATGATATTAGCAGAGGATCCTCCTCATGTTGTTCATCTGTGGCCTCAACCTGTACACCGATGACCTCGTTTCCATCATGAGATGTTACACATGTTTCACTACATAAATCAGGTTCAACTTTCAGCAAATCCTTGCAGTTCTGTAAAGTTAACGATAGAAGAATCAATTCACAGTGAAACCATAACTGGAATATACACAAGAGATGCATGCAAAATTTAAGGTTAGTCATTTTTTGTTTCTTTGCTGCTGTCTCGTAATGTGGCTCTATGCAGCAAAGTGTACTGGAGAGGTTAACAGTCATTTATCTGGTCAACAAATTCCTTACTGTTTATGGAACTGAAGGATTTACAGACACTTCCACTGGTCCCTATACTTAGCCAAATAGATTCGATACACACCCTCATATCCTATTTGAATATCTTTTTAATATTATTCTTCCATCTATGTCTGGGTTTCCCAAGTGGTACCTTCTTTTCAAATTTTCTCACTTTAATCACTCACTGATTTTTTTATTTTGTCCTCATATACTACACTCCCAGCACACTTCATCCACTTCTGTGAAGATTAACAATCGTGAAGCACATCGTTACTCAAACTTTTGAATCTCTTCCTGTCATCAGGTGAAGGGCTGGAAGGCACCTACTTTCTTGAGTCCCTTAGAAAGAGCTCAATCACTGAACCAATACTGGCGTTTTCCATTCCTTCACCTGAGAATGGAAAGATTTTGAGTTTTCAAAATGTTGTGTTCTTTAGTGTTTTTCAGAATACCAGATGATGGACAAAGTCCAAAAAACCAATAATTCCAAGTAAAATTTGGTCCTTTAGGAATATTTTGAAATAAAAAAGGAATGTATAGCTCTAGTAAAATTTACAAAGATACATTACAAAATTTGAAGTACTGAATTTTGGGATTATGTGGTTCCCCAAGTTCTTCCTGCTAAAAATCTTCCTGAAGGTTTGTGTGCGCATGCACAGACATACACGAACAACCAAGACACTCTGAAGACACAAAAACATGGCTCACCTTGGGTTCAACCTTTTTCACAGAGAATGGTGATGGTAAGTAAACCTCTTCAGTTTCCATGCTAATGGGAACTTGACCTTGAATATCAGCATTTTCTGCTTTGATTATGTCTATGTTTGGCTGTAAAATTATAAACAGAAGACAATTCTGTTAGATAATACATTCCCTCTGACTCCAGAACATACTTGTATGCAGTACTGGAGACAGCACATACAACAGCAGACTCACACAGCAAATTCTGACATTTCAATACCATCATACAGAAATATGGGCCTTCAGGAACAAAAGAGGTTGTACATAATAATGGCACTGTCCCTGATTTTAATACCAAACAAGCATTCACAACAAAGGCATTTTCAATTCCTACATACAGGGCTATGATTTTTTAATGAGAGGCTTTAATGATAATTTGTTCACACTTAAATCTGTAGTAGCACTATAAAATCTTTAGTTATAATTTTAAATCCTTTAAAATTTTAAATTTAGAGAAAATTTTAAAGGATTTAAAATTATAACTAAAGATTTTATAGTGCTACTACAGGAAAACCAAAATTGACGTGTGCAAAATAATCTACATACCAGACAGATATCAACGAGGTAGATGTTGATAATGACGAAGAAAGTAACAATGTGTTTTTAAATGTTAAATTTTAGACTGGGGTCAGTGTGGCAGTAACGTAAGAGTATACACCTGATGATGGCCGTTAGAGGCCGAAACATGTAGTGTAGAAGAGAGCAAGATCAAAGACATATAATATATATTGTTTGCACTTGGGACGGAGTTTGTGTCATTTGTCGTGTGGAGTGCAACAGGATGCTTAAATATAATATAATACTTTATACTTACTTAAGAACTTTTTACTCATGTTTTACTAAAAAAATTATTACTTCCAAACTTAAATGCAACCCGTGGATGACTTAAGGGATACGAATTTCATGTGGGAAAAAAGAGGAAGTTATATCTTAAATATAGACAAGATGATGATCCACATTTTAAACTGTATTATAAGAAATACTGTAAAGTACTTACTAAAGTTATTAAAGAGGCTAAGAAAGTACACTATGATAATAAAATTTAAAACTCTTATAATAAATTAAAAACTACATGGTCAATTTTTAAAAATGAGACTGGATCTAAAACTCAGAAGGATGAACCCCAATCACTGAAAGTCAATAATATTATGATACAGAATAAAAAGTGCATTGCAAACACGTTTAACGAATATTTTATCTCAGTAGCTTAGACAATTATAGATGATTTAAGCAATAACAAAACTCCAACTGACATCAATCCATTACATTATCAGGGCAATAAATACACGTCTACTTTTAAATCTATCAAATGGCATTATGTCTCAACTACCGAGATTAGAAAGATAATCAAATCTTTGAAGACCAAGTCTTCACATGGTTGACGAAATTTCCACTAGAATTCTAAAAGCAAGTATGCCATATATAACTTTGCCACTAACTTACATGTGTAATCAAGCCCTTGCCCAGGGAACGTTTCCAGACAGAATGAAATTTGCTGTGGTTAAGCCAATTTTCAAGAGCGGTAATATATATGAACCAGCCAACTACAGGCCTATTTCATTATTGTCAGCCTTTTCTAAGGTTCTTGAAAGGGTTATATATAATAAATTGTGTGAACATACAGACAGTAATCATATATTGGACAATAATCAATATGGTTTTAGACCTAATTCATCTATAGAAAAAGCATCTTTCAAATTAGTAGAGGAAATACTAAAAGCAATGAATAACAGACAGTTTGTTGGAGGAATATTTTGCAACTTACACAAAGCCTTTGATTGTGTCATTCATGATATACTTATCAAAAAATTAAGAGTTTTATGGAATAACTGGCAAGTTTGGTGCCTTAATTAAATCTTACCTGAATGGAAGATATCAAAGAGTAACCCTTGGCCCTAAAAGTTCTATTAATAGCTCGTCTAGTTGGGCAGAAGTAAAATTTGGTGTACCCCAAGGTTCAATTCTTGGCCCACTTATTTTCCTCTTGTATATAAATGATATAACTAAGGTTTCAATTAATGGAACAAACATATTCTTATATGCAGACGATACAAGTATAATAGTGACTAATCCGGAATACGCTGACTACAAATCAACCATGACCACAATATTTTGCAATATTAATACATGGTTCAGAACCAATCTGTTAAAATTAAATATTCATAAAACCTACACTCTCCAGTTCACTTTAATGAACTATGAGGATCATATTATGCATAATAATATTGATCAAAATTTACCGACTAACTTAGATTGTATCAAATTTTTAGGCCTAAATACTGATAATAGGCTGTGTTGGAAGAATCATATTGATTACCTTGTCACTAAATTGAGTTCGTCTTGCTTTATTATGAGAACAATTAAGCCCATGATATCATTAAGTAGCTTAAGAATGATTTATTTTGCTTATATATGTTCTGTGATGACATATGGAATTATTTTCTGGGGCAATTCTTCATACATGACAACTTTTTATGATCCAAAAGAACGTTATAAGGATTATGATGGGATTAAAGAAAAAGATTCTTTCAAGGGAATGAAAATTCTGCCTGTGTTCTCAATACATATATTCCTTGATGCAACACACTATAAATAACATACATTTGTTTATGAGAAATACGGAGGTACATAATATTGGTACCAGACAGAATGTTAACCTATTTCCACCGAGTACTTCTCTTACTAAAGTTCAAAAGGGTGCATATTATTCAGGTATAAAAATCTACAATCATCTGCCTAAAGAGCTCAAACAATTATCTAATAACCAAAAATCCTCTGAATGTTCCCTAAAAAGATTTTTACATGCTAACTTTTTATGCATTAAATGAGTATTTTAATTACAAATGTACATACATTTCAATGTTTTAACGCTGTATTTTAATATAGTTGGTATGGGAGATGTGAGGGGTTGTATGGTTTGGATTGTATTGTGGTTACTTGTGAATTATGTCTGTTAATCAGGATATTATCTTTTTGCCTCATATTGTTGTATGTGTTAGATAGTTAATGTGGGTGATCTTCGTTGTGTGGCTTGTGTGATTTTGTGTATGTGTTTGGTGACTATTTCCACATCCTGGGTCTGTTTTCCGTATGAATGTTTATGGAAAGTGGAGGGTATGTATGTATATGACGAGTTCTGTATCAATGTATTTAGATTTATGGGAAAATGAAATAAAGAAAGAGAGAAAGAAGGAAAGATAATTGGTCATAAGTGTGTAAATTTATAATGCATTTAATTCAGTTAATTTGGGTAATTTGAATTAAATTGTATTAATTTTAAGTTTTTATAGTAATGTTATTTTTAAATTATGTTTATTAATTATAACTGTAATAAGTTTTTTATTCTATTATCTATGTTAATTGACTAATGTATGTGATTTTAATTATATAACTTATGTAATTTATTATATGTATCTGGACACATCTGTTATCAAAGGGACTATTTCCACATCCTAGGCTTTTTACCTGTATTGATATATGAAAAATAAAGGAAATGAATGAATGAACCATTTCCTTCCATGCCAACTCCACTTTATTATTCACTATTCATCCACTCATTTGACACTACAAAATATTAGTGAAGGAAGTACATATAAACAAAAGACCAATATATATCTTTAAGGTTAGTATGATACTATAATTTTTTGTTTGCATTACGTACCCCATCTCCATACTGTTAACACAATTTTTAAATAACGTTAGACATTTGCTCTTCAATTAGTAGAAATATGTCTTGAGATCAGGCAGAAAAATGAATATACATACTTAGGAACAGTTTAGTACCAGTGTTTTCCATTATGAACAATACTGTCATGTAAAGACAATATTACAAAAGGAAGTATTAATTACAACAGTCACAGGACTACTCATGAGGGCACATTTTATGTCATGTAATGAACAACCTTTTTTTTTATTATGAAGATATTCATTTTAAAGTTAGTTTTCAAGCCTGTATATTTTAATACCTTTTCTCATTCATTTGATAGGATAGTAGCAACCATTTAAGGCCCAATTGAAGAACTCTTTAGCTTGCAGATATATTCATATATATGATCCATTACATTATTTGTTCTTTTTCCTTGGATGTTCCCTTGTCTGATCTTATGATTGCATCAGGTGACAAGCAGCATACAGCCATGTGATGAAGTTTTTGCTACCAGATCTGATTGCTACCTGCTTCATGCTGGTTTCTTGCTTGGTTTATTATTCAGCCCTCAAGATGAAAGCTACACATGCCTTTGAAATGTCAGTCAACTTTCAATGGACTATCTGGTGTTATATCTCAGATGATAGGATTCTTCATAACCACTGCTTTGAGAACCACATATCCTAGAGATTAGCTTCTGATGATCACCGATAACAGGAAACTAAAACCTTTCGGAACCAGTTACTTCACTTACAAACTTTGGTTGACTATTTCTGGCACAGACAGCAAAACTAACATGACTCTTGATCACCACCACCACTGTATAAGAAAGATTTGGTCCATATGGCAGTCCTTATTACAAGACCTGAGAGCATAACAACATTCCTTTCATCTGATTGCTGGCCAGAAGAAATCAAGTCCAGTGGTGGGGATGCCACCTTTCAGCCTCTGGATTGGCTGAATGCTGCATTTCTTCATCTCATATTCCACGATTTGATAACTGGGCAAGTTTTACAAGATGGACAGTCATTCCATCCCCAACTTTCCTCCTTTTGCATCTGAGCTTATGAATGGCAGTAACAGAGATGATCAATAGGACATCCAATGAAGAGATAAAGAAATAACTTAAGACTGTAACAGGCCTTAAGGCCTAATACTTGAAAAGAGGATGAGGAAGGATAAAATAAAGATTGTCCAAAAAGGAAACTGTAATTCAGGGCATTCTACTTAAAAAAAATTTAAATTAAAATAATTGGTGCTACTTTGTTGACCAAGAAAGTCAAATATGGAACATTACACTTCGTTCATTAAGAATATTTGGGGGGGGGGGAAGTATGCCTACACATTTTCAAAAATTATGTCCCATTGTTTGAGGTACTGCATCCTGAAATCATCTCATCCCCCGGATTGCACTCATAAGAAATTCTCAAGAAAGTTTTCAAATAATCAGGTCCCTTACTAACTCACAAGAAGTTTTCCAGTTCAATAAAAATAAGGAAAAACTTTTTGAAATTTTATCATTCTTCTTCCTTGCAAACACAAAAACACAGGCACAAACTCATGAACACAAATAAAGAAATGTGACTCACCTTGGGCTCAGCCTCTTGTACACAAAATGGTAATGGTATGTGAACCTCTTCAGTCACCATGCCAATGGGATCTTCTTCATTTTGAATAGCATCATTTTCTACTTTGATAATATCAATGTTCAGCTGTAAAATTATAAACTGAAGGTGATTCTGTTAGATAATACATTCCTTATGACTCCAATACACACACAGTATCGGACACAGCACATATTGACCACTGATTCCATACTAACATACCAATACCAATATCACAAATACCATCCTTCAGAAATGGTAACACACGTAACCAAGACAAAATGATTTCTGGGCAAACAGATACATCCACAATTCCCATTCATACAAAAAATTATGAGAAATGATACACATGAAAACATCTGATGCATGAAGAATACTTATACACCACGTTACTGACCCAAGAAACATATCAGCATTTTCCAGTGGTCAAGGTTCAAAGCCCAAAAAGCAAGCCTATCAGGCTCCGTGACTGAAGCATACAACTGTTTTTTAAATGCTCATATTTTTAAAGTATGTTTCGTTGATTACTAGCAAAATGTTTTAAACAAGAAACTATTTCACCAAACAGGTTGTTCTAGTGGTAACATTCTAGGTAAATGCTGGGATAGTCCTTCATTAGGCCATGATCATGTCCTTCCAAATTCTTTCCAGTTCATCTATCATCTTACCAACCAATGCTACATGGTCTTGATACTGAAAGTATAAATATCAAATCCTTTTCTTCTAATGATACCCTACCTCTAACAAATTCCATCCTCATAACAACAGGTTATGATCCCCTTATGTATAATTCTTGTCCCTAACTGATGGTAACATCCCCATTTAAATACAAATATAGACAGTACGATCTGCTAATTCATAGCAATCCCTATCCCACCTAACCTACATAACCATAAAATATATATATATATTTACACTTTCCTAAAACTTAGCTACTGTTTACAATGAATCTGACCTATATAGTCTCCTGGTGTTTTGAGAATTTGTGCAAGTACAAGGCTGTATATCATCTTGTAACAACTGTACATTTTTTTATAGAGAGGAGTATTTAGCCCCTGAACCCTCATGCTCGAATGCCACCCTTGTCATCATCTGCCACTGCTTATTTAGCATACTCACACTTGCCCTCCATATTTGAAATCTCTCTCCTCCATCCACAACCTGAGGATGCACCATGCTGTGGTGAAAAGGGACACACACAAAGCATACAACACAGAATAGTAATACTGACAACAAAAGGATGAATATGCTCAGATACACAATTATCAGAAAGAAAGACAAAATATTACAGTCTCACTACTACACATAATCATGTTCACTGACAACCAAAATATGTACATGAATGTGTACAATGATCCCCACAGACGTGAGAGAACAGAAAATGAAAATTAACATGTTTCTCACAAAATATTATTTTTATTTGACCATGTAAATTCAGCAAACAAGACAAATTTATTTTCTGTGCACATGACATAAATGCTTACCAAGCCTTCTTCAACAGCAGGAAATAGTTTCTCAACTGTTTTTGCTATATCTGTTGCTACTCTTGCTGTGAGAGACTGCAGATTCTTTTGTTCACACATAATAGTGTAAGAAACTCACTTAAAGGAATCCAAGCGATATTGCTTCATAATTCTGCAAGTGTATATAACTGAGAACAATTGCTCAGGTCCTGAAAGGAAACATATCAGTTGTAAGTGATCTTTACAAACATCACATTTTATGGAAACAATTATATTTTGCACGAGGTAAAGGGACATTCCTTATGCATTTGGATATATTGCAACTTCAATTACATGACCCTACAGCACCAGTTTTGAGTCTTCTTCAATAATAGATGTGAGACTGGCATGTCCAATACATAGGAAAAGAAAACATACATTGTCAAAATGAGTAATAACTATCTACTTAACTAATTAACTTCATGGAACTGAGCCCTTCTTGAGAGGCCACCAGTTGTGCAGCAACTCAAGAATTTCCCAATATTTTATGGAACCCGAAGGTTCATTATCACATTCACAAGAGCCCTTCACTGGCCCTAGACAGCTCAATCCAGTCCATAACACCCTAAACTATTTCTCTAAGACCCATTTTAATATTGTCCACCCACCTAAGTCTTGATCTTCCCAGTGGTCTCTTTCCTTCTGGCTTTCCCACCTAAATATCCTCTAGGCATTCCTCTTTGCACCCATTAGTGCTACATGCCCTGTCCATCTTACCCTCCTTGACTTGATCGTTCTAATTATACTTGGTGAAGTGTACAACTTGCGATGCTCCTCATTATGCAGTTTTCTCCAACCTCCTGTCACTTCATCTGTCTTTGGTCCAAGTATTCTCCTCAGCACCCTGTTGTCAAACACCCTTGATTCAGATTATCTGACATCCAGATTAACCGATTATTAGATGTAAAACTGACAATTTCCTTATCAAAATGGTTGTAATACCTGTATGTATGGACTGTTGAATGATAATAAATGATAATAACTGTACCCAGATTAGCGAGGGTTTACTGTATTTCTGTATCATCATGCACCCTATTACTCCTGGCAAATGTGGAGATGGTACCTCCATTTGGCCAGGACCACTTCCAAATCCTTTCAAATTCATCACTCATCTATCATCCTACTACCCTATGCTATACAATCTTGACACCAAAGGTAAAAAGGTAAAGTTGTCCCTGTGCTTAACTAATTAAGCACTACATCATGAAGGCATGTAGGGGAGTAGATGTATACATCCACATCTTCTTGACCTCAGCATTAGGTGGAGGTGAGTGGTCAGCTTCACGCTCTGGTCGCTTTACCCCCGGGGAAACAGCCCCTGGTACCCATTCGATAGGAGGTTGGGTGGACCCCAGAGCTGGTCTGGACAATGTGGAGAAGAGAAAATTCTTGACCTTACCGGGACTTGAACTCCGACCCCTCGGTTGTCCAGCCTGTAGCTAGTCGCTATACTGACTCCACTATCTTGACACCAAAAGCATCATTAAATAACCTACAAGATCCCACACATCAATAAGACCATGAAAGAACTGACAACGGCAGTCATAGAGGGAATCCAGCTGAGACAACTGCAAATCCATGGAGCATGGTACTTAGTGAGAGATGGCAGTTGTTCTGCTGGTGAAGAAATTTCCTGCTATTTGTGGAATCAGAAACTCCCCTACCATGCGTTAGTGAACCTTACTCTTGGCCAGATTAATCCAGTCCACGTCCTCATAACAAATTCCCTGTAAGGTCCACTTTAATATATTCACGTGTTGGGTATGTCACGTGACAAATAACTTCACAACGTCAAGGATGTACTCGTAGTGAATATTTATTGTGCTTCGCTTCTACACTCACACACTTTACAATTATTATCACTTGCAGTATCACAATTACCGCTTCCACTATATCTCGGCGAATACTAGCCTGCCTTCAATGGCAGCTCTCTTAAGACTGACTTCTGGCCCAATACTCATCTACCCAACTCTCTCGTTCATACGGGACTATCTAGCTCTGCTTTCAACTCTCTTATATACGCATTATGCGGACCAGATACCAGACACCATTTCTCACGGTCCCATTTCTGCCATTTCAACAGTCCGTTGTTGTGCAACGAACCTTCTGTTGTCCATCTCCTTGGAAACGCATTCGTTGTTTTGGCATTCTCTACACAATGGCCCACTGTTATTCCGTTACGATGGAAGTACCTATCCAAACATGTTACAATATTATCATCATACCTATGTATAGTCACCCATGTGGTCTCTTTCTTTCAATATTTCCAAATGAGACTTATTTGTGAAATTTATCAGATTATTTGTAGTATGTGACTTTGTTCTGTTGACCTAAGAAACAGTAATTTTTGATGAAGTGAACAACTATGAAGCTCCTCATTATGCAACTTTCTCTCTCTTCTAAAGCTTCCTGTCTTTCAGGTCCTAATTTTATTCCCATTACCTCATCCTCAACAACGATGCATGTTCTTTCTGTACAGTAAAACCCCGACCCATACAAAGCAATAAGTCATGCAAGATTTTGTACATTTTAATGCTTGGGATTTTACATAAAAGACAGTAGGATTGAGGAATCTGAGCTACTTGATAAAAACAGAAAAATTAATATGGTACTACAGACATATTATTGAGTCCTACTGGCTCAATCAAAGGATCTGACTTAGGGGTTTCTGCACCATCTAAGTGCAATATAGTTCATTGCTCCTTTATTATACACTGTTTCACTACATGTTTCAGCCTAAATGACCATATTCAGGTGTACAGGCTGTAGTAGTTCAGGACTCTACTAGTCACTGTAACGCTGTTTTTCTTTCCTTTTATTGTTATTTTTGGTTATGTGGGTGGCACGTGTTTGTTTTTCTGTAATGTGTGATGCCCTGTGTTGGAGCTCTAATACAGTGCATCATACATTACAGAAAAGCAACCACGTACAACCCACATAACCAAAAATAACAATACGAGGAAAGAAAAACAGCATTACAGTGACCAGTAGAGCCCTGAAGTACTACAACCTGGCCATTTGGGCCAAAACATGTAGTGAAAAAGTGTCTAATAAAGGAACAATGAACTATGTTGCAAATGATGCAAGAAGATGTTGAAATATAACACCATCAAACAAAGGTCATATTATCGATTGTAAGACACCTACTGCAAATTTTCAAGTAACATATCAAACCGAAATTTCTACTCTAAAGAGTAGATCTGCAGCAATATGAAATCAACACTGTGATCACATCATTAGTATGCAAACTTCTGTTTGGGAGGTCCGGGGTTCAAACCTCCACCTGGAGAGTTGCCATCCTGATGAAGTTTTTTCTTGTTTTCTCAGTCACTCCAGACATATGACATGACACTACCATAAATTAGGCCATGGTCTCCCCCTTCCACATCATTTCCAATTCAGAAATCATCAAATAATTTCATGCTATATAACTGTGTGATAAAAAGTTCAAGGGCAAAGTCAGACCAGAGAAGGAATGAGAAAACAAGATTATAATCATAAAAGAAAGTAACTGACAATTTCAAGAAATATTCTGGCACACAACTGTTTTCACAAACACAGCAAAACACAAGAAAAGGCGGATTCAAATATGATAGTGAGACCAGAAAATTGGAGACAGAAACATCAAAAGATGGAAGCAGAAATTTACTGGGCATTATAAATGCAGATCACAAATGAAATACAAACTCAAACAAATTTAATCATTTCAAACATAAATGCTGAAATGGTACACTAGAAAATTAAATGGTTACAATATGTATAGCACTGACAAAGGAAGAAAAAGCAGGTACTAGGATGCAATGTTGGCTACTGATGTGAGAAGTTTTAAATTTGCATTGAAGAGGTTTCTATATCATCATTCTTTTTATTCCATGAATGAATATTATCAATATAATTGGTCATAAGCGTGTAAATTTGTAATATACACATATTTAATTCAGTTAATATAGGTAATTTAAATAAAATGGCATTAATTCAAGTTTTATAGTAAGTTATTTTTAAATTATGTTTATTAATTAAAATATTATTACATTTTTTACTTTATATTATTATTTATGTTAATAAATAAATGTTAAGTGATTTTAATTATGCGACTCATGTAATTTTGTATATATATCTTGATATATCTATTTTCAAAGGGACTATTTCCACATCCTAGGTTTGTTACCTGTATGGATATATGGAAAATANGTGAGAAGTTTTAAATTTGCATTGAAGAGGTTTCTATATCATCATTCTTTTTATTCCATGAATGAATATTATCAATATAATTGGTCATAAGCGTGTAAATTTGTAATATACACATATTTAATTCAGTTAATATAGGTAATTTAAATAAAATGGCATTAATTCAAGTTTTATAGTAAGTTATTTTTAAATTATGTTTATTAATTAAAATATTATTACATTTTTTACTTTATATTATTTTTTATGTTAATCAATTAATGTTAAGTGATTTTAATTATGCGACTCATGTAATTTTGTATATATATCTTGATATATCTATTTTCAAAGGGACTATTTCCACATCCTAGGTTTGTTACCTGTATGGATATATGGAAAATAAAGGAAATGAATGAAAGTTACTGGAGTGACCTGACTGTGGAAAGCCAAACAAAAAATACAGAGAAGTACATCTAAGAGAAGCAATTAAGTCCACTGTTGCATTGTTTATCACGTTGAAGTAACCTGATACGTTAAATTAGTGCCACTGCATTTCTATGTTTGATTATAATTTTCTGTAATGTACTTATAAAGCTTCTTTACTAGCAACAGCACTTATCACAGAAAACTGATGTGATTCATTTCCCCTTCCTTCAGCACTTACTATAAGCTATGCGTAGCGAGCCATCCATAATCATGAAGCATCAAGTTCTGAATCAGAATTGTCCCTAATTGTGCAATTATTGCTAGTTCCATAAAAAATCTGTTACAACAAAGGAGTTATACCTACAGATGTGTGTAAATGTCATAATGTACATCACGTGGACCTATATTTAGAGAATTAAAAATTTTAATGGTAACATCTTTGTATATTTTAGAGGTGTTAAGTTATTTCAAGATATATAACATTTACACCACAGAAAACTCTGACCTACATAAGTATGACAGGAAAAAGAAAGTAGACCTTCATGTGCAAAGTTATAATATCTTAGAATATGAGAAGGGTGTTATAAATATGGCTATTAAGCTTTATAATAGACTGCCTTTGGACCTAAGAATGGTAACAGCAGATAGAGAATTCCTACACAGACTCAAAATATATTTACTGGAACATCTATTGTATAATTTGCATTAGTTCCTCTCAGAAGGATAGTTAAACGAATAAGATTCTCCTTGATAAATAGATTTAAGTGTAAATAAAATGACTAGTAATTAGGTGAAGTTTTTTAATATGATTTAGCCTATAAAGGGAATGGAAGTCTTAAAAGAGATTGCACTCCAAATTATTTAATCGTTATCTAAATTGAATTTTATCTTTTGTGGATTATTTTGATATAATAGGTTTTAAGTTTAAGAATATGATGGTAGTAATTAAGATATATATAGTAAGATGGCCTTGTTTTTTATAATGAAAGGTAGTCGTAAATTTCATTATACCTAATATATTTTAATTATACCGAGAGTGTGATTTTAATTGTAATTGAATATTATGTTATGTGATACATGATGACGTTCAATCGACTGGGCAGGAGGCCAATCAGACTGGAAAAGTTGTATATGTATGTGACTTGTTCAAGAGTTACAATTTGTAACTCTGATGAATGTTAAATCAAATTATTATTATATTTCTGATAAGTGCACCAGTACCTAGCTCTGAATATTTGCCCACGTCTGTAAGCAAACATACTAATTATTGTGAACAAACANACTTCAGTTCACAAGCAGCACTTAATAACACATTATTATTCAGCATTAAAGCATTAAGAAATGACATACATGATAAGTTTGGAGTGGAGGAAATAAAGAGCAAAATGTAATATGGACTCACCTGCAGTCAAATTAACAAGAATTCAAATCCAGAACTTTACTATATGAGGTATAACACTGTAGTGAATGTTTGTTTTTGGGGGGGGGGATATTTGATGCATGGTATTTAAATCACTCTTACATAAATACCAACCCGTATAAAAAGCAAATTTCTAATATTACTTTTCCCATGAAATAGGATATTGGTAGGAAAGCCAGAAGTAAAGAGCCCACTTGGAAGACCAAGATATAGGTGGGTGGACCATATTAAAATGGAGGGCTAAGTTCCATAAATAAGTAGGTAAGTAAGTAACTATTCCCATAATTGTTTTATACAAGTATCATGCTGGCCAACCACGTGGAACGCAGGACCTTCTGAATACTACACTGGTACACCACTGTATGCCTTACTGTATTAAATTCGAATAAACAGATATGTGATACTCTTTTATTAGCATAAACACTGCAGCCTAGATCGGTGCAATCGCGAACGATCGCGAAATACCTGAATTCATTAAACATTCTCAAGTTCTTACCAACACTTTGCGGAAGCGTTTCATGATGTTCATGACCTTCATGACCTTCCTTTGCCCATCCATGTTAATACAGGACTTGAATTTGGAAATAAACCACGACGGCTTCCCTTTACGTGCTTCCTACAGCATAATCATTTTAGTCTTCATTGCTCTTAGCGCCGTCAATTACGATTATCTTAAGGGTCTTAAGGTTGTCACTTCAAATGTAGGACGGACTTAACTGCCAGCATTCTTCCGAGCTTCCGAGTTTGATCCAAAATACAGGTAAAATTTTACGAGTGTTGGGTGGTCCAAAGCCAAAGATTACAGGGAACGGAAAATCACATATAGCGTCATTTAATACGTAGAAACTCCCGACCGTTCAGGACTTACGGAACGAATGGGGCCAAAATTACCCCACAGACGCAGCATTTAAAGAAGTGCTACTACATCTACCACATCTACTATGACGACTTGTTGGTGACGTAACAGTAAGTCAATATTATAACTAGATTTCTTTATTTGTCATTCTTACTAACAGGGATAATCCACTATTGAAACGTCGGAGGGAAATTCAAAGATATGTGAGGATTCAGAATTACAGCGTTTTCGGACTTTGTCCACCTTCCGGTATTCTTAAAACCAGACAGCGCAACGTTTCGGAAACTGGATGTGTTTCAGTCCTCAGAGGAGGGGTGTGGGAGATACTGTTGGTATTATTTAATCCCTTTGAAAGCTTAGAAAAATCTAACCTCAATCACTGGATCGCACTGGACAATCCCTGTCACATTTACTACAAACCAAATTCGTGAATTTGTGAACACCAGTGCATAGAATCAAATGGGGAATCTATGAAAACATATAGTGCCAAATACTAGAGATATCTGTGGAGTAAATTCTGAACACTTGACACTAAAACCTTGTAGAAACTCAGGAAGAAACTATCACATCATACAGATCTTCTGTGTGAGTTGGTAATACCATTGTTGATATGGGGGATCCAGATTGGAGAAATGTCCAACCTGGATTGGCTGATTGAATTGGCTAAGTATGCCATATGGGCCAATTCTTTGTATTTCTTATACCTGCTGTTACTCTTAATTTAAAAATCCCAACTTCATCCCAGTCTACTTTATGACCCTCTTCTTTTCTGGAAGACCCTCTTAGAGATTGTGTCCACGTTCATGGAGCTGCACAGCTAGAGGTCTTACTGTTTCCCCAATGTAGCTTCTGCCATATTCATGGGGAATGCTATAGAAGCACTGTGCCATCTGTTGTGAATCTATGTCTGGCCTGGTTTTCATGATTGAACTCCTAAGAGTGTGCTCAGTTTTGAAGATCATCCTAATGTTATATCGGTTCCCTATACGTTTTAAATTCTCTGAAACACCCTTCACATGTGGAATGTACACAGAGCCCAAAGGCTTTTCATCTATATTCAGACGACTGGTACCCTTGGAATTAATAACCGAGCCAATGAAACCTTGGGGATAACCAGTGAGCAAAGATCACATCTCAGGCTGCTAATTTCATTAACCAGATCTTGTCCTTCTTGGCATATGGTGGAAGCTCTACTGCGAAGACCCTGAATAAAACCTCTTTTCACAAGTGACAGATGGTTAGATTTGAAGTTGAAATATCGGCCAGTGTGGGTGGGTTTCCTGTAAACTTTCGTGACTAGTGTTGTCTCTTTCCTGATGACCAGAACATCAGAAAGAGAATTGAACTGTCTGTGAACTGGATGGAAGGCCTTAAACTATTGAGGTGGCTGAGGAAATTCTGTAACTGCTGTGGATCATGAGGCCAGACCACAAATGTGTAATCAACATACTGGAGCCACAGCAATGGTTTGTGTTGTGCTGAGTCAAGAGCCAGTTTTTCAAAATGCTCCATGAAGATGTTGCTAACAATGGGTGATAAAGGGCTTCCCATAGCCATGCTATCTTTCTGTTGGAAGAACTTGTCATCCACCTGAAAATATGTGATTGTCAAGCAAACCTCCAGAAGTTCCATGATGACTTTGACCTGCAAGACAGACCATTCCGTCAGTGTGTCAATGTTATGCAGCTTATTGCTGATGACTCGTAGGGCTTTGCTGACTGACACATTAGTGAAGAGACTGACAGTGTCAAAGCTCACGAGGTATCTAAAAATTGAAGGTTTACAGACTTCAACAACTGTATGAAGTGGCACGAATTCTTAGTGAAGGATTTTGATATGTCTCAACAGCACTGAGGCCTTGCTGCAGATTTCTGACAACGTAACCTTCTTTGTGGTCTGTTGCATATATACAGGTGTCATCGGCAAATAGACCTAGAAAGACACCAGGTGTTTGGGGTGTATCATTTTTACAAATACTGTACAATGTGGGGGATGGGATGGAACCTTGTGGCACCCCTGTTTGTATATCCCTTGTAGACAGTTCACCTTCAACCTAGGCTCTGAATTTTCTATGGGAAATTAAAGAGCTAATAAGCTTGATTAGACTGCTTGAAAATTTTAATTTGGATAATTTATGTAGGAAGCCAAGGTTATATCAAAGGCCTTTTCAGTATCCAAGAATATCACAGCTGTTGACATGTTAATGCTGAATTTTAAGGTAACATTTGGGAACAAAGTGATGTTTCTGCTCTGGCTATAATAGCTTTGATTTCTAGGGATTACATGTTTTCTGGGGTGTAATGCCACATGGTTTGGTATGTATAGGTGAAGTTGCCCTGTGCTTAACTAAGAATCATGCCATGAAGGCATATGGGGAGTGGTGGTATAGCTCCACACATTTTTAACTTCAGTAAAAAAAGGTAAAGTCCCTATGCTTAACTAATTAAGCACTACACCATGAAGACGTATGGGGGAGTGGATGAAAAGATCTATATTTTCTTGACCTTGTCAATAATTGGAGGTGAGTGGTGAGTTTCACGCCCCTGCCACTTTACCCCCGGGGACAGAGCCCCTGGTACCCATTGGACAGTAGGCTGGGTAGGTCCCAGAGCTGGTCTGGAAGATATGGAGAAGAGAAAATTCTTGACCGTACTGGAATTCCAACCCCTTGGTCATCCAGCCTGTAGCCAGTCACTATACCAACTGTGCTATATCATGTCTCTTTCCTTAACTCCAGTGCCAGAAGCAAATAAATGGTCAGTTTCACACTGCAGGTGGTTTGGTAGAGAAGTACAAATGTTTGGAGAACACTGACACTTTCATCTTTTAAAATGCAACCAGCTGTTTCCTCCAAAACTTTAGTACCTACCACACTACATGGTGTCTGATCACAGAAGACAGTAAACTCTGTAGTCCTACCATGAGAACATAAAATTTCACATGCAATTTCTATGTCACCTGGACTTATTGCAAATTATAAAGATGGGTAAACAGCACTTTTAACAATTCTTAAACAGATATCTGAAGGCTGAAAGTTTTTAAAATTGTACACATATAATGAAGGTCAAAATTTGTGCCATCTGTTATCTTCTTTTAGCATTTTCTGTATGCACAGTAATACTTTGATAAATTAAGAAAAGTAAAGTGGGCTGTGTATACTGGTAAGCTTGAATTAGGTCAACACATATTCATTAAAAAAAAACAAACAAATAGAATTTAACAGGTACTAAACAACTGATGTTCTGAAAAAGAAAATAAGATGGCATCCCCTTCCAATTCAAGCACTGATTGAGAACATATTATGATGGCAGAAGGACTGGGGGCTCTAGCCTCAGTTAGTGGTAAAGCTATATTACATATGCATGAGTAAATATAATATTTTACCTCATATATTTTATTCACCCACCAATTTCTTTTACATTTAAATATAATGTTGTGCTTAATAATTTAATCCATAAGATTTTTATTTAAAGAACCCAGTTCTTTTCAAACTGCAGTTGCCATTTCATTACGGATTAAGTCAGGTACTTAATTGTTCATAAAAATTAGATTAAATGTAATCAGCAGTTTTGAAGCACACAGACAATATTGAGTGGCTCATTTTGTTATAATACAAATTAAATAATGTTCAAAATTATGAAACATCTGAGAAGTTCCTCAAAATAGACCCCTTTAATGTAGTAGTGGATTTATAGCTCGCATCATATTCTGGCTATTTTTACCTAACATTTTTTTGTGCTGTAACATAATTGAAGTCAGTATTTAAAATGTATGTTAGATATCTGAAAAACAATGACAAGAAGAAGAAGAAGAAAAATAACATGTAGCTAAATTTACACAATAACCTGTTCACATACACCAACCATTTTATTACAACCCATCATCAACAGCTGGTTAAACAGTTTTATCAGAGTGGCAGAAACTGGATGTTAATTCAATTAATTGAATGAAAAATACATCTTGCACATAGGAGCTTATGCTTTGTTTGTTAACATAAGAAAACTTTGTCACCTGACCTTAATTTTTAATTAGGCTGTGCTAGCAGCTTAGTCTAAAGACTATGCATCAACCAAAATATGAATTCATATTTCTTTCACTTGTGTGGGTATATATCAGTTTAAATACAGTTATCACTAACCACTGAACACTGCAGTTTGCTTATGTTATCTTCTGTATACATAAAATTCACATATAAAGTTATAAGAAATACATCTGAGGGAAGTATGAAATAACACTTTACAATAGTGTATAGTTTACAAATAGTTATCGTTGCACACAAAATAGCTCACATATTTTCCAGCAAAATAAATGCCATTCATGAAATGTGTGGTCCCTAATGAAATAACAGTTATAAATGTCACCCCTTTCCTGGTTGTAGTGATCACAGCTGGAAGGAAAGCGTACATTGTGACAGTGTGAGCTGCACATCCAAGAGGGAGGGGCTGTAGCATTCTGACATGCATACACAATTTTTTGTCTGGTGACAGCCTTCAGTGAAAGAGAATTTATAAATGTCAATCACTAACAGCACAGGACTATTCAGATGCTACTGAAATGTTTATTGGTAATTTTGGTCATCTTGATATAAGAAATTTACACCAGCCAGATATGCATGGACCAGACATCAGCAAACAGCAGCCAGGAAGTGGTATCAAATTGTCTTCCTGATAGACAAAGGTTGGAGAAGAACCTTTGAGCACAGTTCATGCCATGGAAATGTTACTTAGAGTAAAGTCTGACATGCAGTGGAACCTGTGTGGGTCATTGTGGGATTGTGTAACCCTAGCATATCACTTGCCTGTCCATGTTCTTCATCCATGTTTACTTCTGCTCCATATATATTCTGAATATAGTATAACTCCAAGATGCAGAGTCATTGTGAAGCCAGTAGTTGCTCAGCTGATTAAGAAATGTTTTTATGGAACCTGAAGGTTCATTAACATGTTCAGAATGGTCTCTCTCTGGTCCTTTCCTGAGCCAATCGAATCAGGTCTACACCCTCACATTGTATTTCTTTAAAATCCATATTAATATTACCCTCTCATCATTGCTGAAGTCCCTAAAGCGGGCTCTTCCATTCAGATTTTCTGACTAAAATATTATAT